ACAATTGCCAAAGAACAAAACAGATAAAAAAAAATGTTTGTGTACTCAAGGATGCCTGTTTGCAATTTAAACACAATCGTCGTGATACATTCTTGATTCAGATCATTAGCAGAGTCACGCAGCGTGTAAGGCAATTTTGCTGTTCATCCTCTCTGTACGACACAGTGGTTTGTCATCAAAGTCAAACTGACACTCTTATAAGTCCCGGGAGGTCAGATTGGACCTGACACACTTCTGGGTCAAAATGACAAGGTTTCCCCTAAAAACGACCATTTTTTCTTTACAGCATGTTCTATGTCAGAATGACGATCATCTGAGTCAAATAGCCGGACGGGTGGCCTTAGCTGGGAAGTGTCATTTTGACCCGGAAAAGTGTCAAGTCAAATCTGACCCGGATTCGGGTCGAATCTGACCTGGGACATTTTAGAGTGTGTGTGATTTGCTGGTTGTGCATCTGCACTGCAAACATTTTAAATTGGCAAAGAAAACTATAATAGACTTCAAATCTGTACGCGTGTGCAAGAAAACCCCACTATATAAGTTGAGACACAGGTGATGCATGGTACTCGTTGATTTCTTATCAAACACTGAGGCTGTATGGGTGGGTGGTTTGGTCCATTTCCTTCACAAGTTCAACTAAGTTGGCCTGACATCAATGTATTTATATATAACATTAATACATTGAGTATCCTTTGGGTAGTGTGATAAATCCAACCAGTGATGAAAAATACATGTACATTTTTGTAAATATAATTATGTGTTTTGATAGAGACTGGTTGGCCTGAAAATTATGGTGTTTGTGTAATAAAAACCTTGAAAACATTTATTTTATATGTTGTATAAACTTTGGTGTTAAGATTGGTAAAGACCATTATTAAGAGCTCCAAGCAAAGCAATAACTGTTCAAAGGGGATGCGCGGGGTTCCATGCACAACTGTATTTGGGATTGTGTCCGTTCCTAGTGAAAAGGAAGACTACCAAAAATGTGGATAAAGAAAGGACTTCGGACATATTTAGCCTAGATGTAAATCAAGTGCGATGCACAATGCAAAAATGTTGAATTTAGCAATCGTTGACCGCTGTGATGTGGGATATGACCTCTTGAACCCCCTCATATCCCACATCACAACAGTCAACAATTGTTTTGTGATACCCATGTCTTGGATTCTTCCGTGTTTGATGTTAAAACACAGCAGTAAACACAAAACTCATGACAATCGAACGTCAACTTACATGCATGTCGCGTGCTCGAAACAGCTGATCGTCTGCTGTTTCGCTGCTCCCACTCATATGTGAAAACAAGGTAAAAATAGAGTGGGTACCAACGATACAAGCCTGTGGAGAGTGTGCAATGACTTTTTATAAACTTAAAATGGGATCGTTTTATGCCAATGAAAATACAGTATTCAAGACAGAGGTTTAACAATATAATTTATAGACTGGTTGGCTAAAATTTAAGGTATTCATGTGAAAACCTTGAAAACATTGAGTATTGAGTACTTTTGGGATTACTCCAACCACCAACTATATAGGGTACGTGTAATAATACAGTCTATAATATAAATGATTGTTTTGTTTGTTAAGAAAACTATTTATTTTACATTTGGTTTATATTTTGTATAAACATTGGTTGTAAAACTGTTGAGAGGGATGGGGTTCCATGTACAACTGCACTCGGAATTATATCCGTTCTGAGTGAAAATGACGACTACTAAAATGTGGATAAAGAAACTTCGGACATTAGATGTAAATCAAGTGTGATGTCCAAATAACGCTGACTCTTTGTTTTAGTTAGCTGTGTTCTTCAGCTAACTGCAATGGGGGACTTTTGAGACGCTGGCCGCAGCAAACATATCGGTCCTTTTTCCATTGTTTGCGTATGATATTGAGCATGCGCGCTTTGGATTAAACATGAGGTAAACAATTGAAAAAGGACCGGTATGTTTGCTGCCACCAACGTCTCAAAATCCCACAATCTCAAAACCAACGGTATAAAATCCTCTCATGTCAAATGCAGTTTATGTATTGCTGATGCAAAAAAGTTGAAAGTTTGACTTTATTTACGGAATAATTTTTAAAAATATAATAAAATTATTCAAAGGCAGATTATGTTATTCACCAGATTTTTGCATCAATATTCGGGAAAAAATAACTCGAAAATTCTTATTTTTTGCAAGTTTGACTTTATTTGCGGAATAATTTACAAAATAGAATAAAATTACTCAAAGGCACATTATGTTACTAACCAGTTTTTCACATCAATATCCTAAAAAATAACTGGAAAATTCTCATTTTTTGCAAGTAATAACCTGATGGAGTAGAAGTATGGATTGCATTCTGATTCCGTAAACCAAAATACATCATGTTTGTATCTCACAATTGTTTCTAGTGTGATCATTTTGTGTCGAAGGTATTCTGTTATGTTGCATTGTACATTTACCGAAAGGAAGCCAACTAAAGAGGGCGCGCTACACAAAAAGTGGCCACCACCGTACAGGAAAAAAGGTTAATTCAAGTTAAAGGGAAAATACAACATTTGCAAACATCAAAAAATAAAACTACCAAATCATTTTGAAATACCTTGCTGTACTGTTAGTGAATGACAGTGTAAAGCATCCTGTAAAGTCATGGCACCTGGTATACTGTCATTTTCAAGAAAAGTGGTATTTTTGTATCAATTTCCAACGCTGATCGGCCGATCAGCGTTGGAAACAACTGGCTTTTTTTCAAATACTGGCCCCAATTGACCATCGCACTTGTTTGCAATCGATTACAAACCTATGAACGGAACGGGTACGAGCCAGCTAGACTGGTTCCCTGACCTTACAATTCCCCAATGTATGTAAACTGCTCTGTTTCTTCTTATATGGAGTCAGGGAACCAGACTACAGGAAAATGATCGTTTTTCTTGGTTTTTATAGCATTTTCGAACCCAAAACCTCAAAAAAGTCAGTGTAACTATATTTGCTATATATTTCCATCCCCCCCCCCAATTCCATCCATTTCTGAAAATTACAGCAAAAGCAAATGATGTATATTCCCTTTAAAGTCTACTTAGCCTAGTAACTACTGCGCAAAAACATCGCACTCGTGCGACAAGCCAAGAATTATCTGGTTTTTCTCCGTGTTGGCGCAAAATTATTTAGGTAGGGACCACTGTTTGTGTAGCGCGCCCTCTTTTGAAAGAAAATACAACGAATTAAAGTCAACTCATAATGGAACAAAGCAACACACTCGTTTTCCGGACGCTAACTCAAGAAACAGTTGTTGCATTGAATCAAATGTCATGTGTTAATTTTACGTGATATGTAACACAATTCTGGTGAATATTAGGAGAAACTCTTGAATATTTAAAATAATATGACCAAATCAATGTAGTGTATTAAGCGCGAACTTTCATGACACAAAAACAACCCACCCGGTTTCCAGACGATAACTTAAGAAATACTTGTGACATTGAATTGAAATTTCGTACATTAACATAGTATTTTTTGTAACTCAAATCGGTCGTGATATACACAATTCTTTCGAATGTGGAGACAAATTGTTAAATAATTAAAATGATACAACCAAAACAAAGTTGCGAGAAAAGTACAAGCCGAAAATGATGTCAACTAAACTTTTCATTCAAAAGAGGGCGCGCTACACAAATAGTGGACATCAGCTGCAGCGTACAGAATGTTTGTCAACACGAAGAAAAAACTGTTTGACGGTTAAAGTCCACTGAAAACCTGCCTAACTACTGAACTGAACAAAAACAACGCACTCGATGTGCGGGGACGATAACCCAAGAAATACCCGTTTTTCTCCGTGTTGACAAGATCGACCAAAAGCTTGGCGTGTGACAGTGGGGTGGCAAAAGCCGAAATTCAAAAACGGCCCGGCGTCTGGAAATTGGGCACAAAATCGGCCGAGAATAACGTGGCGCTCTTGAACAAATCTCGGAAAATCCCAAGTTAGCATTCAAGGATTTCTTTGAGGTTGACAAATTGTAATAAATCACATCAATACAGGGACTTCAATCGCTCGCTTCTCAAAGGGGAGGGGAATATATTTATCTATAGGTACTTCTTCATCTGCAACAAAAACAACGAGTATGTTATTTTTCAATCAACGTTGACTTTTTCATTCCGGATTGCATATTTTTTTTTTTTTTGGCGTTTAAAGCACTTTACTAAATTGGAAGTTCGTTTGTTTCACTATTTTTCAGGGGCATGTTACCCGCACACTTCTCGCACGCCGCGCCGGAAACAAAACGGTCTCCTTTAAGTTTCTTTCAATAGAGGGCGCGCCACGCATTGGTGGTTACCACTTTGCCACCACTGACATAGCATCAACACATATGCCTCACTTTTGAAATCAAATGCTTCTGGAAATAAGACAGTAAATACACCCTGTTTTTTGCAATTAATTGCAATTTCGTTCAATGATTTGTCATTATGTGTAACATTAGGAGATTTAATTCCCTATAAGAAATCGTCAGACAATTAAAATAATATGACCCGAAACAAAATAGTATTTTAAACGCCAAATCTGCAAGAAAGCCAACGTTCATTGTACCCCTACTTGACTTAAAGCCCTAAATTTGCTCTTTGATTTTACATCATTTTTTCAAAATGGCGAGGGGTTATGGGGGTGACTATCTTGTAAAGTCATTGGATAACCCTCCGAAAATTTAACAGAAAATGAAAGATGAAGATATAAGCTTTAATTTGATGGGTGTCTCGAACACCTCGGAGAGTTATGAAGGGGGTGTGATAATTGAGGTCACATTTGATCATACGGGCAGCTAGTGCAACTTTCGACCGTCGGGGATAAAGCGCGCCACCTATAAAAGGGTACTCATGGGGCGTATGTTACGGGGGCGCACTTTTAAAATGGAATTTGTTGGTTTTTTTCCCGGATTAAACTCAAAAATAGTTACGGACGTTACATGTAGGCCTACATCAAAAGGAGAATTACACCGTTATAAACACTCTAGCTGGCTTGATTAAGAATAGGGGGCGTGCACGCGATCGAGTGTATAAAAAAGTTTAAGGTCAAAGGTCACATAAACAAAATGGCGGCCTACCAAGCAAGGTTGGTGAATTATTCTTGTCGGATTTTTGATTGATATTTGGTTCAAATACAACGTTTTTCCATTGCATTGTCATGACTTGAAGAATATCACATCTTGTTTCTTATTCTTGCAGAGTCTCTGAGTTCAAAGAGCTGTTGAGCGGGCCGAAAATTGACTTCAAAAAGTTGCATCAAATGTGCGCAAATGGTAAGCAAGAAAATTCAGACAAAACTTTGACTTGAGACTTGGCCGATCGTGTAGTGTAGGGCCCCTGTTTAGTTTCGATTAAATTAGAGTCAAGGGTGTTTTTTATCATTAGAAATGACATTTTCAACCTAAATCAGACTTCTCTCAATTCTAAGGACACCTTTGGCCTTTCTCTGTACAGCTGTATTTTGAACATTCAAGGCATGATTGGGGTGGAAATTACGATTTTCGTACACGGTTTACAGATGGTGCCGTGCTATTAGCGTGGCATTGCGCGTTCACGGTACATCTTGGTGATCGCCATCTTTATTTTATTGTGTTGCATCTTGTCATCGTCATTTTAATTTTTACGAAGTGGCTATCGTTACGGCAGCCGTTGTTAATTAGTGCCCTCTATGATACTTTTTTGATACGCACGCAGGTATATAATTATTTGTTTCCCCAAGCAGTGCGACAGCTCAGTTGATAGTGGGTAGGATTTTGCATCGCAAGGTTGCGGGTTCGCATCTCAGTTTTGCACTCGAATTTTTTTCCTTTTCTAACCTGAGGCTTTGGAGGATTTTTTTTAAAAGGGAAATAAGTCCGAATTTCATAACGTTCAAATTCACTTTTTTCCTTCTAATTTTATATTTTCTTCTCATGTTTTTATAAAAGTTGCAGTCTACCGTAACGATAGAAAATGGAAAATGCGTTACAGCTGCCGTAAAAATAGCCACTGCGTTTAATTTTTACCCCCAAATTTCCCTCAAAATTCAAAACCCTTCCCATTATCTATGTCAACGTAGGCCTACCACGCCTACTTGCTAGGCCCTACCTGCATGTCGTTCATGTCTCCAACTAGTTTGGTAAGTCAAGCAAATGAAAATAGGCTTTTGTTCTCTTCAAGGGAACCGGGCCCTACACTACACGATCTCCATGCCGTGACCACTGTTGAGTGCTATTTTTTAGTTTTTAGCCTAAGGCCCCCCCAAAAAAGTTCTGCTTCGGGTTTCCCTATCTACGGGCCTATTTTGACAGCCCCTAAAACTAATTTTGTCATGGGGAAAATTTCTACCTTTTACCCCTGACAGATGCCTCCATATGATTGTACACCCAAAAAAATTCCCCTTTCCTTTGGGAAAAAATCCTGACCTTCCTGCCTTATTTTAGAATGTCACGAATTTGAAAGCAGAAGTATTTTTTGTTTGGCCTAAGGCAGAGGGCAATGTGCATGCGTTGAGCATGTTGAACTTGAATGTTACTGGAAATGGCATTTGAAGTGATTAACGACCCAACCATTTTGCCAACAAAAACGTCCGGTTTCACCCTAAAAACGGCCGCAGAATTCTAGAAATGCCACCTGAGATATAACTTAATAGAGATCGATGATTAAGATTGAGGTAGGCCTAAGGTTTAGGCCTACCATAGGGATGAAAAGCAAAATTTCCTGATCCATTCCGAGAGCTCCCCTCACGTTTGTGGGCATGTTACACTTTGAATTTTTTTTAACGATGCATTTATGGTCGTGCTGGGTGCCCTTAATAAATGGTCCCGAGTGCAATTCCGTTACCGCGCGCGATACATCAATAATAATGTGTAGACTGGATATCGTTTGAGAACAAATTATGCGTTTTGAACAACAATAGGGAGTTCAGGAACTAGGCCAGCTTGAACTGGTTCCCTTCAAGATCATTACGGTCACAATTATCAGCGGAAACCAGTTCAAGCTGACCTAGTTCCCGGAGCAACTTTTTCGGTTAACGATTTGAACGGAAAACCCCTGACCTAAACAGTGTCTTCCTGCAATGACATCACAGTAACAGCGCCCTCAGTTGCCTTCAAAAGCATGGAAAATTGTTCGCTCGTACCCCCGCCCTGCAAACAGGATGCTGGTCAGGGCTGACGTCATTTGAGCTCTCATTGGATAGATTTGCGTGACCTGTGACGTAGAACGCATCACACAAACTAGCTTCCGGTGCCCATCATGCGTAGCGCGCGCTAGCTGCATGCGAAGGTCAATCTGTACTTCCTTCAGTGATTCTGTGAAGCTTATCAGCCCTGCACCCGATTTCATCAAACTCTTTATAACTTACGATGCATCGCAGCGCTGCGACGCGTCGTATCCCTACGATGCATCGCAGCTGCGACGCGTCCTGCGATCCATTTCACTAAACACGTCGTTAGTGCGACGCGTCGTAGGTGTATTTATAGCACAACTCGGTGACTGTTTTATGTCTTTAGTCAGCGTACAGTAAATAGTCATCTGATATTCAACAAAGAGTCGTCGGATCTTGGCTCGAAATTTGTTAAAACGTAAAACAAAATGCGATGCAATTTTGAAGGAAAACAAGCTCTCATTGGACTGTATAGCTACTTTGAAATTTCAACTCTAATATTCCGGTCTAATTCATAATTATTCAATGAATTTTCTATTTACAACTTTACACACATTGCCTCGGTATTATAATCTCGTTAATGTAATGTTTGTGGCATAAAACTGGCTTAGAAATGACTCTTCTTATTTTGCGATGACCACTAGACACGTCGTAACTTGCGACGTGTTTTAAGCCGTTGTCAAGGAACTTACGACGCGTTCAACACATCGCAACTTTAGTGAAATGGAAGATACGACACGTCGCGAGTTGCGACGTGTTACACGTCGTAACTTGAGTTGCGACGCGTTGCAGCGCTTCGTGAAATCGGGTGCTGACCAACGCCCTGTTTGCAGGGTGGGGGGGGGGGGGGTACGAGCGAAGGAAAATTGTTAAAGAAGTACACTTTTCTATTAAGTTCAATTAAGCAAAAAGGGATGTTAAATTGTTTTCATATATTAAGAGGAGTAGAATGTTGCACAAAGTGTGTGCAAAATTCATCTCATGAACCCGTTAGGAAAATTCAACAATTGATAGTTATGCCAAAAAAAAAAGAATGGTTCTGCTTCTGGTTACCCTACCTACCCTATTTCGATAGGCCCCACCCCAATTTTGTTTGAGAAAAAACCCCCAAAATCATCAATTACTACCTTTTACCCTTGACTACACACAGACACCCCCATATGATTGTACACACACAAAAATTGCCAAACAAAAATGTCCCTACCTACCCACCCTATTTTCTAATGCCATGTAATAGGAAGCAGGAGCATTTTTTTTTTTGGCCTTATGAAACTATCATTTTGTCATAAAGTCAGTTTTGCATACAAGTGGACTTTGTACTCAAAAGACTTGATAATTTATACTGCTGCTTTGTTTATTTACGTGAGTTTCGATACTAAGGGAACTAATACTGCTGTGCCTGATCACATACTTCAAAAAGAGATTCGGAAAACTAAATTTCATGTAGAATCCTTGGCCGACTTGTGAAGGCTCATTGAAGTAGAAAAATTGTCCTGAAAAAACAAACCACATTGACTAGTTGGTAGTAATGATGTGCAAACCCGACCCGAAACCGAAACCGACCCAGAACCGACTTCGGGTCGGGTCGGTTTGTTCATTTTTTGAGTTGGGTCGGGTCGGTTTCGGTTTTGCATTTACATTTTCAGGTCGGGTCGGGTCGGTTTAGCCAAAAACCGAAATAAACCGAAATAAACCGAAACAGTTCTTGAGAAATTCAGGTGATGCAATATTATTGACAGTCACTGTGACCGCAGCCCTAGTGTGGTGTGGCCACCGAGCGCACTATCAAGTTCCCACGGTATTAATTTCGCCAGTCGAATCGGGACTGACAGTGAAATACAAATGTAGATAGATTGTAACAGTTTTCATGATACTGCATGGTGACCATGCGTTTGTTCAATAAGCGGAGTTACTCTCGATCAACCCACGAGAGAGAGACAATGGTTTTGCAAAAGAATTCATGCCATGTGGGTAAGGGCAGGCACAAAAAGCAATCGATTTGTCCAAGCCAGGTATTCGGGGGTTTTTTTTCGTGTTTTTTCGGGTTGGGTCGGTTTGGGTCGGTTTTACCTTATTTTTTTGTCGGGTCAGGTCGGTTTGAGGGAGTTAAGATCGGTTTTGGTTCGGATTCGGTTTATATCTCTAATGTTTCGGGTTGGTTTGGCCTGGTCAAGCCGACCCGATGCACATCATTAGTTGGTAGGTCTTTCCCGAATATACCGAATATTCAATTGGGAACGGAATATTCAAATAGCTTTTTGCCGCTTTGAATATTCAAAAACAAAAAATGACGCACCTACACACACAAATGTGATGTTACTTTATCGCAAAGTTGCGGCGTTTTATTGTCAGGGGCTACTTTTTTGTCGACAGTAACTTTTTTTATCAACAGCAGTTCATTGTTTCTATCCTTTCAGTAGGTGAAAACCTAGCCCGACTGCGTCTGGCCGTACAGTACTATCGCAAGCTCTGTAGTACGGCCAGACGCTCAATGCTTCCCCACAGACTCAATTTTTTTTTCACTCTGATGTAGCGATTTTGCTACAGATTTTGATCGAGATTATCTTCTCGTCCAGGACAGAAATGTCCAAAGTTAAGGTTCCTGGTCGTAGAGGAACTCATACCTTTTTGAAAAAACGTTCTTTGGTCCCAATATTTTCATCCATCTGGCCATAAGACGACTTTCAGTCATCATCTTCCACAAATAACGTCCTGAAAATGTCCTCCGTGTGATTTCAAAATGGCGTCCGCGTTGTAATGTATGCATTATGCGGGCGTGCTTGGGCAAGATAAAAATATGCATCATAGTTTATGACGTTTGTCTGGCGCGCGGCGCGGCTGGCCATACAAACACGAGGTCATGAACTAAATAATGCATACTTTCATTATCTTGCCCAAGCACGCCCGCATAATGCATACATTACAACGCGGACGCCATTTTGAAATCACATGGAGGACATTTTCGGGATGATATTTGTGGAAGATGATGACTGAAAGTCGTCTTGTGGCCAGATGGATGAAAATATTGGGACCAAAGAACTTTTTTTTGAAAAGGTATGACTTGCTCTACGACTAAGAACCTTAACTTTGGAAATTTTTGTCCTGGATGAAAAGATAATCTCGATCAAAATCTGTAGCAAAATCGCTACATCAGAGTGAAAAAAAATTCAGTCTGTGGGGAAGCATTGAGCGTCTGGCCGTACTACAGAGCTTGCGATAGTACTGTACGGCCAGAAGCAGTCGGGCTAGTGAAAACCTACAATGTAGTTTGAGTATCTTACGTTATCCACGGAGCCAAATCCTGGAAAACGTCGGACATCTCCTGACATGCAAATTTATGCAAGCCGCGCGCCAGCCAGTCGGAGTCAACTTTACTAAATCGTGACGTCATTTCATTCCCAAATCAGGACTGAATGGCTTGATTGGTCAATTCAAATGCAGTGCTTTGTAATACAAAAAACAGCCGGGAGCGCATTCGCGTAACATGATACCGAGCGTTGCGCGCCGTGACAGTTTTTTTTATCCATGTATATGACGCACAACAGGTGAAAGCCTGATAGGTCTATAGAAAGTGCCGGCTGATTGGTCAAAATCTACGAAGTGAAGAGGCGGGGTCTTGCCTAACTAATCAGCAAATCTGTTCGCGCGAAATAGACCATAGACCCTTGACAGTTATAAATACATAGGCCTACTGTGAAACACTCCATATTGATTGCCGCACACAAGTTTTAAATGACCCGGGATGCTTGCAACTTTTGACCGGTGCGGCATGCACATTTCTTTTCTGCATGTAGGTTTGCTCCAAAGTCGTGAATAATTCAATAGTTTCGAGCAGGCCAGTATGTTTATTCATGAAACGAAACAAAGATATCAAGAGCGTTGTTGTTATTTAGTCAAGCAGTTACCTTTACGGCATTTTTAAGTATGGTGTCGTCGAGCTACCACACAGTAGCCTAGTGGATAGCGAGATGAGCTATGGATACAAAGATCCCTGGTTCGAATCCACATCGTCGCTGCTCATTTTCATCGACTGTTTTTCTTCTCTGAATTTATCGTTTAGGTCATTTTATTTTAAGGGGCAAAAGAGAACGAGAACCTAAGTGTCTTGCAATGATTCAAAGGAAAACTGAATTATGTATGACATTTGAGCAACCCACCTTCGGGGAAAAAAAATTGCGTGAGGCACACAGTTGCAGCTATCCAAATATTCAGTCAAACACAGTTTCAAGTGATCGAATACTAAATTATTTGAAAATGGATAGTCCTGTTTGTGTCCCCCACAAACAAAAGACTGGTCCGGCCGTGGAAAATTGCGGGGGGGGGGGGGGGGGGGGAGGGAGATCATTTGTTGCTTGGGGCGCTGTTCAAAATCATCTAAATATATGTATTTATGTGCATATACATTTTGTCGCATCAGTGCAACAAGGTCGTAACTCCATTCTCCAACAAAGTCGTATCTCGCAAAAATATGCTCCATGTAACTAGGTCATACATGTATCTCGACGTCCATTGAGTTTGAGTGTACATCCGGGTTATTTTAAGTGAGATACGACCTTTTGACATTCTGAAACTCACGTTTCTTGTACGGACACGACGATTTGTAGCCCTAAAATAACAATAGACCGCTTGCAGATGCGTTCCATAATCGATGCGCGAAGGCGCCATGTTGTGGGACAAGCGTATATCTATCTATGCACATTTTGTCCCATAACATGGCGTCGCGCACCTTCGCGCGTCAATTATCGATCGCGTCTGCAAGCGGTCTATAGCCAGTGCCTATTAAAATTGACGACCCTACTCTTTATTTTAAGTGACTGAGAATTCCTATGAATGTACATCTTGATCGCTTTCCTTTTCACTCAGACAACTGTTTCTTCCCTCTATTTTTCAGGCATTCCTGACAGGCCTGGGTTAAGGTGCGATTGCTGGAGGGTGAGTTGATATTTTTTTGGAAAAATCCGACAAACAAAAATTTGAAGCCATTATTGTGGTGGAACCATAGAGCTATATTAATTGACTCTAACCACCCTGAATCCTTCAAAATCCTCGTTGCCAAAGTGGAGGAATTTGGAGGATTGAGGTTACATGGCAAAAGTGCGTCACTGATTTCGTCGGGATGCACTTTGTCAAGGTCTTGGTCCGGACCTTGTGTTGTTTTTGTTCAGCCATGCATCAATGAAGGCCTGGATTGTGCTTGAAATCCTCCGTACTGCTCCAGGATGTCACTGGCCAAGCCTCAACATATTGACAGTCACTGCCGCAGGATCTTGCAGGATTCAGGCAGTGGTCATTCAAGAAATAATGGAGGAATTTGCAGGATTTAGGCTAAATGCTATTTTTTCCATGAGGCCAATTGGAGGATTTTGCAGGATTGAGGCTACATCCTAGCAAAAAGGCCTAGGGAGTAAGGGTTAAACTTCCTAGAGCGCTTCCTCAATGTGCAAAGTGATGCCTGCTGGGCGCATCTATGTTTCTGCACAAACATATGGAAAACTCCTTTGTACGGCTATTTGCATACATCTGCGTTTGTATTCTATATAGGTGCGTCATCGAAGCTGATGCGCCCAAATCGAAACTCACAATTAGTAAATGAGCGTTTCATTTTGCTTTGCACAAACAACGCAAACGTGTATACAATTCAGATGTTTTAACTGTCATGCGGGGTGCTGTGGTCCAGTGGTTATGGTGTTCGACTCGTGTGCCGTGGTACATGGGTTCGAATCCTGACGGGGAACATGGTGCTTGTGCGCTTGGGCAAGGCACTTTACTATGATTGCCTCTCTCCACCCAGGTGTAGTAAATGGGTACCTGGTAGGAAGAAATTCCTTCAATGCTTGAGCGCCGTAACGGCAGCCGTGCTAAAGCCAGGGTAATAATAGAGCGCCAGGAGCGTCACTTAGTGACGGATATGAGCGCTGTACAAGAAGCCACTATCATTATTATTATTATGACGCGCTTTAGTTGTTTGCGTACGTGAGTCGAACACTGTAACCATTGGACCACAGCACCCTACGACTAGTCATCAGCGGTCATTACTATTTGCAGTCGCAACCCCCGTTTTTCAATATAGTCCCCTAATGGACCGATCCAGTAAGCCCCGCCCACTGCGCACTGGGCAAATTAACACGTGCTCGTCTCCAATGCCACGCTGCATTTTCCTGCCGCGCGCTTCATACACGCATGCACGCATGTCGGACTTTTGTGCATGCATGTCGGACTTTTGTGCACGCATGTCGGACATAAATCACGGCTGTCATTGGTCAGAACACCATGGGGCGGTGCTTACTGGATCGGTCCATTATGGCACCATAACGAGTCGTGCCACCATGACTAGTCGTGGTCCACCGACAAGTCGTTCGGCTGTGACTAGTCTTGTGAACTGTGACTGGTCTTGCGCTGCAACTTGCATGGTAGTTGTGCCAATTTCCCCCGCACCGCAAGTTTTCGAGAGACATGTTGCAAATTGCGAGGGCAGAGATGGTTATTGTGATTGATTTTGAGCTGCTTTGCGCCTAACAGGCTGCATTGAGCTGTATACTCCCCAGGGAGCTGAGATGGTATTTGGAATGTTTCATGGACCCAATGAGCAGGGGTAAGGCCCCCCCAAAAAATAAGTCGGTCTCTGGTCAACGCGCGCGTCGATTTTAATCATGCGCGTCAATCTGGGTTTTTTTCCAAAAATGTTCCGCAGTAGCTCCAACAGCGCCCTCTATTGCCGCACCTCCTCAATTTTATTTTACCAAAGAGCACAAGGAATGGGAAATTGCACCAAGGAAAATGATCGAGAGCACCAAGGCAAATTATGGAGGACACCAATGTACATGAGGACACCAAATAGCAAAATAGTACCCCACCTTGTCTGTACAATCCAAGCTTGAAGAAAAAAAACAAAAAAACAAAAAAACAAAAAAAAAACCGCGTCTCCGCGTCAATTCCGGAAAGTTCTTTGGTCTGACCAGAGACCGAATATTTTTTTTTTGGCCTAATAATGATGTAACGCCTTGAGCACCAGTCCTGGTGGATACACGCGCTTTATAAATACCCGCTTTTATTACTATTATTAAATTATAATACACTAAAGAAAATTGCATTATTGGGTGTATTTATGGTTTACACTTAACCTTATACAAACATCTTTAAAAGATGACACCATGATAATGTTAAGGGTTTTGTTAAGCAAGAAAATTGTAATATTCTCTTTTTTGATCTTTTGCAGTTACTTTTGAATTATCTGCCACCAGTCACAGAAGAATGGCCAAAGGTTTATACGTCACAAAGGTACCGTCTCATTTAAGCACTGGCATGTGGTTCATTTTGGCTTACCTGTCCCCTGCCCACTCAATCCCCCCCCACCCCCCTCCCCCCCCCCCCCCCCCCCCCCCAAAAAAAAATAAATACAAACAAAATACTGCAATCATTAATAAGAGAATAAATATGTGCTTGGCCGGTTTTAAACAAGTACGTACAATTTTGAGGTAAATCTGGAGGTAAATCTGGAGGTAAATCTGGAGGTAAATCTGGAGGTAAATCTCGAGGTAAATTTCGAGGTAAATCTCGAGGTATATCATCAGGTAAATCTCAAGGTAAATCCCAAGGTAAACCCTAAACCCAGGCCTTGCAAAATTTTTAGAAAAGTAGCTGCCCTTCAGGCAGGGGTGCTTGAAATCTGGTTGCCTGAATTTCATTTTCAGTTGCCCAGTAAAGCACTTTTAACCCTAACCATCCCAAATCCTCCAAAATCCTTTCTGCAAATTGGAGGAATTTGCAGGATTGAGGTTACATGGCAAAAGTGCGTTGCTGATTTCAGAGGACGCATTGTGTCAAGGTCTTTGGGCCAGACATTTAGTCCTTGATTGTACTTGACATCCGCACTGCTCCAGGATGTCACTGCCTCTACCTCAGCCTATTGACAGTCATAGCCGGAGGATTTTGCAGGATTCAGGCAGTGGTCACCTCTCCACGGACCATGTTCAAGAAATAATGGAGGAAGTTGCAGGATTGAGGCTGTATGCTATTTTTCCATGGGGCCAATTGGAGGATTTTGCAGGATTGAGGCTACATCCTAGCAAAAAGGCCTAGGGAGTTAGGGTTAATTTTGCCCCAAACTGAAGGCCAAATCCTTATAATGTAAAAATTTGCTGTCCGACGTCCTGGAACAACCAAAATATGTTGTACTATGCTGCTGCACTATCGCCATTTTGCAAGCCTGCATGGTCCGTAGTGGCCGACCGTGGCTGCGTGCGTGTGAAAGGCACCCGCGCCATGTGCGGTGCTGATACATGGTGTAAAGTGGTCTGGTCATAATATTATTGGAAATTTACACGTACACTCACACATATTGAAATTTGTATTCTTGTGGAGACATTTCTTTGTTCTCTTGTAGTAAAGTTTTTGAGTTTGAAAGTGAAGTTTCAAAAAGCTCTTATTTTTAACCAGAATTAATTTCCTGGGCTAAAATTTGGACTTAATATCCCTTTTCTAAAACTCTTCCATTTGCGACAGATCAACCCACCTTGGAAATTCCTAGTTTTTGAGTAAAATCAATTATCTATTTCGTGAAAACCTTGTGGAGACGTATTCATCTATAGAAATTGCCCTGTGGAGACTTATACAGTCTTTTGGTCCCTATTGTGCACACGTCTCCAGAGGGCACGGTGTATCAGATCAGGATTGCATTCGCTGCCTACACACATTACATTATGCGAAACGTTACTGCATGATGTAGTCGGACAGTACGTACATATATTGCGATTGACCGCTGTTCTGTTTTGGCTGGTACTCGTTATTGGTTTATGCGCAGATTTGGCAATAGCACAGCAGCTGAGTCAAAATGTCGATATCAGCATGATTATTGTTTTGGACGCTGTGCGTGTACAAATATAACACTGCCTTATGGGGTACCGGAACAATGGGAGGTACCCCACAAGGAATGCCCACCGACTTGCGGGGTACCGTTTTGGTCACGAAATAGAAATATGGGTTTTACTCAAAAACTAGGAATTTCCAAGGTGGGGTAATCTGTCGCAAATGGAAGAGTTTTAGAAAAGGGATATTAAGTCGGAATTTCAGCCCAGGAAATTAACTATGGTTAAAATAAGATCATTTTGACATAAGTGTGCGACGTTGCAAAATTTTAGTACACGAGAACTAAGGAAGTACCCCACTTCTATGCCTATGTAAGAGCGTGTGCACATGTATGGGATTCTGGAACTTTGAAAAAATCCCATGGACTAAAATAAAGTGTAAAAATGTGTGAGTATTGTTGAAAGAAAGTGGTTGCTTGCCGAGCTGGCAACCGGGAAATTTTGGTTGTCCGACAAAATATTTGGTTGTCCTTGGACGTCAGGCAACCAATTTCGCAACCCCTGCTAAACCTTGAAGTAAACCTCAAGTTACTGCCTGTTTAATTTTACAATTCTCCTTTAACCTGTTTTACTCTTTATTTTTTTTATTTTTTTTTGACAGGGCGTTATACAAAGAGTTTCTGCAGGAGATGATCATCCAGCCTGGCAGGCAACACGAAGGCATCAGCAGAGCTGATGTCACGTTTGAAGACCACGTAAGAAAACATTGCGTTGTCAAAAGTCTGCTGTTGCGTTTCACAGGTACATCCACACTCACGATTACATAGAGAGTGTCAAAAGGGACTTAAAGGGTTCTGTCTTGTCCCGCCCTACATCCGGGTACCGGCAAGTCAGCGTCACCATTGAAGTAGGCAAACATTGTGTAGTGCAACCACTCACTAGGTATAGTAGGCAAGCTTTCAAAACTCTAATGGATAGCAAACACTGAGAAAAACAAGGAGCCAACACCCAGCGCTTGGTTGAAATGATTATGACAACCGTACACAGCACAGGTAGTGACCATTGTACCATGTGGTAAAGAACTCATGGTTATTTTACTGTGTAAATAAGCCCCACTCTCTAGTTTACAACATACGACGTGGTAACTAACCAAACGCTTGTCTTCTGCAATGGTTGCTGATCACGGGAAACCGGTGGCTAATTGCGGGAGTGCGGCCTAGTGGGTAGTGTGCAAGACTCATGATCAGAGGGTCATGGGCTCGAATCCAGCTGCTGGTCAAGTCAATATCCTTGGGCAAACCACTTGATCTCCACTTGCCTCTCTCCACCATGGAGTATAAATGGGTACCGGCATTGGTTGGGGAGTAACCTGCGATGGACTAGCATCCCGGAATAGAAATATTCTCAGTCATTTCATGTGACGGAAATCAGAGATAAACGCCGGCCTGATGGACATGTTCTGTCCTTGGGCAAGTCACTTTACCCTCACTTGCCTCTCTCCACCCAGGAGTTCAAATGGGTACCAGCATTGGCTGGGGAGTAGCCTGCGATGACGTAGCAACCCATCCAGGGGGAATAGAAATAGTCTCAGTTGTTTCATGCCACTGAATCCTGAGATAAACACTGGCCTGATGGGCCACATTTGCTTGTGACAGACTTTACTTTTTTACTTACTTTTTTTGACATCTGACCATCAGACCCTATACCACATATCCATTGTTATTAGGCCTACCTATCCCATATGCCAATTTTCCAACTGAACTAACCATTTTCTCTCCCTGAATTATAGCCGCTCAATCCAAACCCCAACAGTCAGTGGTCACAGTTCTTCAAAGACAACGACATCTTGCTCCAAATCGACAAAGATACAAGGTGAGTGAGATACATGTACCATGAAAAGAGAGTGTACATCCCGTAACTAAGGATTCTGCTCTGACAGGGTTTGCACAGAATTGTTCTGCTACCGCTGTTAGCGCCATATGGTGAACGTAAGCTTAGAATTCTGTGCTTAGCAGAGCCATGAAATTGGGCTCGCGCCACTTCTGTGGCGTGTGTCGCGCGCGCGTGATTAACCCAACATTCTGTTCTCGGTATATGGAGATCATTATATCAGTGGTTCTCAAGCATCAGTAGTAGGTGTGCGTGGAGCCTACTGCGCGCATGTTGCGCGGAATGCAGCGTCTCGTGCCCGGTTTTTAACATCGCTGGCCGGCCCAATTCATCCTCTGCTTACCAATAGAAAAAACTCAAACATGGGTTCAGCCATGTGGTTACGAAGGCCGATTTCTAAACGTTACGTAATATTTTATTTTGAATGAAACAACATGCACACAGACATGTGGATGTCTGCTGGCGAAATCTTCGTTAATCAATTTCTCCCGTTTGGAAGACCGTATCTTCATGCAACTTTCTGGGTCTGTTTCCCTTATAATAATCCAACCATGTGCTAAAAATTGTTTTGATATGTTCAGTATTTTTCATTGAAATTGGAAAAATTGGCCTGACTACGTGCATTTTTAAAAGTTGTCTGTCAATCTTTTCAAGCCTCACGAATGTTAATTAAGGTTCCTATCCCTTATGGTGCGCAACAATTTGCAGTATTGCCTCCTTCACGAGTTATTAATTGATAAATATCACCCATTTTGCCGGCTTCCATTGGTCGATACCGAGACCCACACGAAGTCACGCCGAATCACGCTAACGAACATGCTAATATGCGCTTCATCATTGTTGCCCCAAAATAGGGCCAACCTGAAAACCATGCACATGAGTTTGGTTGGCAAAAAATTCTCGTCAAAATAACAACGTTTGGGGATTCCTAAAAATTGAGATAAACAGATTGAGTTGGGAACATTTACAAATGATTTTACCACGACGTTTAGGTCAGCTTCACCAATGACCAGTTATTAGTTTCGGCATCAATAACGGCGATTTTTTTTTCACTGACATGAAATTTAGAATTTCTTTTTCTGTTGTAATTTAAAGAGGTTGTGGAATGCTCGAAAACATTTCCGTCATTTTTGGGGTATATGTAGCCTAAGGTGTGATGAAATAAAAACGACTATTGTTTCTGTCATGAAATGAGTACAAAGGGTACTTTTGAGAGCTATTTTTCAGGTCCAGTTTCGACCCGAACGTGCCATTTGTGTAAAAGTTGTCGTTGCGGGCAGCAAACAAAACACAGTAAATCGTGACGTAATAAACAGGACTCGTTTATGCTACTCTGCATCGGGAGTCCTGTTTATTACGTCACGATTTACTGTGTTTTGTTTGCTGCCCGCAACGACGACTTTTACACAAATTGCACGTTCGGGTCGAAACAGGCATGACGGGACTTGAAAAACAGCTCTCAAAAGTACCTTTTGTACTCATTTTATGACAGAAACAATAGTCGTTTTTATTTCATCACAGCTTAGGCTACATATACCCAAAGAATGACGGAAATGTCTTCGAGCATTCCACAACCTCTTTAACATTTCAATCATACTGAGCATATTTTCTGAAAAACATAACATTCAAAAAGCCATGTTTTATGGGCTGCGTGAATTTCACTGCTCTGACGGTTGCGATCATGTCATAATCGGGTTAAGTTTGTTTGACAATGGCGATGCTTAGGCCTTCGCAACCACATGGCAGGGTAAGCGAGAAATTTCAGCTTAAATGCGCATGCAGGATCCATAGTTACAGGATGTCTACAGACTTTTTTTTCTGCTGCCACTTTAAGCACAGACTGGCGATCGTAAGCGCGGAATTCTGTGGTAAGCACAGTCGTGAAATTGGGCCCTGAATTATTCCAAAGATAAAAATTATATTCAATTTTGTTTTCCTCAGGCGATTGCAGCCAGACATTGGGTTCTTCCAGCAAGCCACCGAGTTCCCCTGTGAGGAATTGGTAGATGCATCCACCAACATCGAAACGCTGAGGAAGCGCGTGGAGCACACGTTACTCAACTCGGAGGACGTGGCCCGGAACAAACTAGGAATCAGCGTAAGACAGATAACCAGTCTAACCTTAACCCTTTCCTTACCATGAGCAACTTTTGTCAACAAGGACCCCCCCCCCCCCCCCCCCACTGCGTACCATGGGCCTTATTCACGAGTTGGCCATTTTTGTTGAGTTCCTTGAATGTATTTAAGTAATTGTTAACTGGGATGGCGCCAGACTATTTATGCAGGCACAATGCAGCCTTATTTTACTGTCATTTCTTTTTAAAATATGGCTCATAACATTAGGGAATGTTTAATTACAAATTTTTAATTATGCATTGAAGCAGACTGGAATTTATTATAAGTTAACTTGCTTTCATTTCTCTTCGCAAGTTCTAATCATAAAGATTTTACCTAACTTTCAATTCAGTATGGCCGACTCATGAATAAGGCGATTTTTAAAGTCGACAAAGGAAACTACACCCAGAACACCCTCAATGTCCTCCAAGCCAATGTGTACATACTTGGAGCGATAATTTGCTTTTAACCCTAACTCCCTAGGCCGTTTTTGCTAGGATGTTCATATGTAGCCTCAATCCTGCAAAATCCTCCAATCGGACCTCATGGAAAAATAGCATTTAGCCTCAATCCTGCAAATTCCTCCATTCATTTCTTGAATATCACCCCGCGGAGGGGTGACCACAGCCTGAATCCTGCAAAATCCTGCGGCAGTGACTGTCAATTTGTTGAGGCTTGGCCAGTGACATCCTGGAGCAGTATGGAGGATTTCAAGCATAATCCAGGCCTATATTCATGCATGGCTGAGCAAAAACAACACAAGGTCCGGCCCAAGACCTTGACAAAGTGCATCCTATGAAATCAGTACCACACTTTTGCCATGTATCCTCAATCCTCCAAATTCCTCCACTTTGGCAAAGGGGATTTTAAAGGATTCAGGCCAGTTAGTATTGTCATGAAATCAATGTACTTTCTCATATTTATTTCATACTGAAATGTCTGCAGGCAACAACACAAAAAAAGAAACCCCAGTCTTACGACTTCGGCCACGAGGTTCTTCCGGAGGGACAGGAGGCGCACTGGGAGGTTGTGGAGAGAATCCTGTTCACCTACGCTAAGCTCAACCCTGGCCAGAACTACGTGCAAGGCATGAATGAAATCATCGGCCCCGTCTACTACGTCTTTGCCTCCGACTCCAAAGTGGAAAACAGGGGTAGGTGTGCATTTCGTTAGTGACACCACAAAGTTACACTCATGTACCAGTAAAAACTAGCAATCGGAGAAACCGGCATCTAAAGTAGAACAGCTTCTAGATCAACACTTTGCGTCAAAACTGCAGAGTATTTTCAGTTGGGTTTTTCATTGTGGACACTTGATGTATTGAATTTGTTAAATTTGCAGTTTTTCACCCGTTTGCATATAAAATCAACAAGAAATAAGAGAAAAAAGGTGAGTGCTAGTTCGTGAAACCAAAAAAGCTGCGAAACTTCAAATTTCGTTTTCACGAAGTAGTACGCTTCAATGTATTACAACACTAGGTGAGTGTTACTTCGTGGAAACGGAGGTCAGCACGCGCGCGCTCAAACAAGGCGAGTGTTACTTCATGAAAAAGTTGTTGTTCGCATTTGAGCAGAGTGCGTGCCATGCATTACAATGGTAAATAGAACTTGAGTGCTACTTCGTGAAAACAAAAATTGTCACTTTCGCCCAAAAGTTGCCATGGATACTTAGCGTAATTATTAAAGTAAAGCTCTTGAAGCTTTGAAATTTCGTGCAATGGTAGGACTTGATAAATAATGTTAAAAAATGTAAAAAAACTGAAAACAATATGGTTTAACACGTGAAGTGTTACTTTGTGGTAATCTGTGAAATTGTATGTTTTTGGATATCAGAATGAATTGAAATTTTCGGCAAAAATAATCCCGGCGCAAAGTGGTTAAAACTTGAATTTTTTTTTTATGATCTTTCCATCCAGAGCATGCGGAGGCCGACACCTTCTTCTGCTTCACCAACCTCATGTCCCAGATCCGGGACAACTTCATCAAGTCCCTGGACCACTCCCCGGACGGCATCAACGCTAAGATGCAGCACCTGATGAGCATGCTGGGCCAGTGCGACCCGCCCGTCTCGCGAGTCTTCGAGAGCCAGGGACTCAAGCCCGAGTTCTTCGGCTTCCGATGGCTGACGCTTTTACTGTCGCAGGAGTTCCCTCTGCCAGGTGGGTCAAGACAAATCCGGGCACCTGGGGCCGATTTGTGGGAACTTGGACTTCTGAGGACTTGTGACATGTATGATGACTTGTGATGGATTTGTGATGGACTTGTGATGGACTTGTGATTGATTTGTGATGGACTTGTGATTGACTTGTGATGACTTGTGATGACTTGTAATTGACTTGTGATGACTTGTGATGGATTTGTGACGGACTTGGGATTGGTGATTGACTTGTGATTGGCTTGTGACTGACTTGTGATGACTTGTGACTGACTTGTGACGGACTTATGATGACTTGTGACTGACTTATGATGACTTGTAATTGACTTGTGATTGACTTGTGATTGACTTGTGATTGACTTGTGACTGACTTGTGATGACATATGAGGACTTGTGAAGGACTTATGATGACTTGTGATTGACTTTTGAGGACTTGTGACTGACTTCTGATGACTTGTGATGAACTCTATAGACTTTGTACACAATTAAAGAAGTGGCGTCTGGATACTACATTCATTCCAAGTCAAGTCCATCATAAGTCCATCAAAAGTCAATCACAAGTCCATCACAAGTCCATCACAAGTCCATAACAAGTCCATCACAAGTCCATCACAAGTCCATCACAAGTCCATCACAAGTCTAACACAAGTCCATCACAAGTCCATCACAAGTCCATCACAAGTCCATCACGAGTCCATCACAAGTCCATCACGAGTCCATCACAAGTCAATCACAAGTCCATCACAAGTCCATCACAAGTCAATCACAAGTCCATCACAAGTCCATCACGAGTCCATCACGAGTCGCATCACAAGCCCATCGCAAGTCCATCACAAGTGCATCACAAGTCCATAACAAGCCCATCACAAGTCCATCACAAGTCCATCACGAGTCCATCACGAGTCAATCACAAGTCCATCACAAGTCCATAACAAGTCCATCACAAGTCCATCACAAGTCCATCACAAGTCCATCACAAGTCCATCACAAGTCCATCACAAGTCCATCACGAGTCCATCAAAAGTACATCACGAGTACATCACAAGTCCATCACAAGTCCATCACAAGTCCATCACAAGTCAATCACAAGTCCATCACAAGTCCATCACGAGTCCATCACGAGTCGCATCACAAGCCCATCGCAAGTCCATCACAAGTGCATCACAAGTCCATAACAAGCCCATCACAAGTCCATCACAAGTCCATCACGAGTCCATCACGAGTCAATCACAAGTCCATCACAAGTCCATAACAAGTCCATCACAAGTCCATCACAAGTCCATCACAAGTCCATCACAAGTCCATCACAAGTCCATCACGAGTCCATCAAAAGTACATCACGAGTACATCACAAGTCCATGACAAGTCTATCACCAGTCCATCACAAGTCCATCACAAGTCCATCACGAGTCCATCACAAGTTTATCACGAGTCCATCAAAAGTACATCACAAGTACATCACAAGTCCATCACAAGTCCATCACAAGTCCATAACAAGTCCATCACAAGTCCATCACAAGTCCATAACAAGTCAATCACAAGTCCATCACAAGTCCATCACGAGTCCATCATAAGTCCATCACAAGTCCATCACAAGTCCATCACAAGTCCATCATGAGTCCATCACAAGTCCATCACAAGGCCATCACAAGTCCATCACAAGTCCATCACAAGTCCATCACAAGTCAATCACAAGTTCATCACGAGTACATCACGAGTACATCACGAGTCCATCACAAGTCCATCACAAGTCCATCACAAGTCCATCACAAGTCAATCACAAGTCCATCACAAGTCCATCACAAGTCCATCACGAGTCCATCAAAAGTACATCACGAGTACATCACAAGTCCATCACAAGTCCATCACAAGTCCATCACAAGTCCATCACAAGTTCATTTCAAGTCCATCACAAGTCCATCACGAGAACATCACAAGTCCATCACAAGTCCTCCAGTCCCAAGTCAAATCAAAAGCTATTGTGCTAGCTACTTGTAACTTACTTGTGACCAGACACAGCCAGCGAAGGCCTGACTTTCCAAATATTTTGAAGAAAGTTTGGAATCAGCTTTTTATTTCCAGCTTATCGTTATTTTGATTGTTTGTACTGTCAATTCTGTGCAGATGTCATCAGGTTATGGGACTCGCTGTTTGCGGACGAGAGGAGGCCAGAATTCCTGATCTGTGTGTGTTGTGCTATGATTGTGTAAGTACAAAATTCAGTGATCAGTCCTTCTGATTTGAAAATCACAGGTGTGTGGAAAAACGCACACCTGGATTTTTCTAGGCGTGTGATTTTTCTAGGCGTGTGATTTTTTTAGGCGTGTGATTTTTTTAGGCGTGTGATTTTTTTAGGCGTGTGATTTTTCTAGGCGTGTGATTCTGTGGCCTAATTGGGACTGAACAATCTGGTGTTGTTTTTCAAAATATTCATCTTGGTTTACAACAAAGCCATATTTCCCTTCACCGACGTACTTTGTTTTTCACAAATTATGAAGTGTAATTATGCCGTAAATGAATGCCGAGGTGTGCGGTACTGAGGGATTCAGGCGTGCGATTATTCGCACTTCTCAGGAAGCATTGAGGCGTGTGATGGCGTGGGTGTGTGAGCGCACGCCTCAAAACAGAAGGACTGAGTGATGTTAAGCTCCTGCCAAGATGGACCACATGACACACAGGAATTGTGCGTACTTGGTGCGTCAGTGCGTGTCACTATGCCGCGGGGAAGTCATTGTGTGTTGTGGGTGTGTCAGTCTCTGTCATGTGTGATCTGATACACCGTGCCCTCTGGAGACGTGCACACAATAGGGAACAAACGATTGTATACGTCTCCAAAGGGGCAATTTCTATAGATGAATACGTCTCCACAAGATTTTCACAAAATAGATATATGGATTTTACTCAAAAACTAGGAATTTCCAAGGTTGGTTGATCCGTCGCAAATGGAACAGTTTTAGAAAAGGGATATTACGTCCGAATTTCGGCCAAGGAAATTAATTCTGGTTAAAATAAGAGCATTTTAAAACTTCACTTTCAAACTCAAAAACTTTACTACACGAGAACAAAGAAATGTCTCCACAAGGATACAAATTCCAGTATTCGTGTGCTGTTGGTGTGTCATTCTCTGTCGTGTGTGTATCATTGTGTGTCGCTGTCCAGCGTGAGTGTTTCGTAATTCACAACTTTATGAAGACGTGCGAGTATGTAAACACCGGCAATCGTGGACCTTAGACAAAAGGATTAGGACACAAACAATACGTCCACGATTGGCCGATAGTCCACGATCGAAAATCGCGTACAAAACCAATGAGAGCTGTTGCTAAAAAAGTAAAAAGTACAAACAAAGGAATGAGGAAGGGATGGGTCTACAGTATGAAGCAAAATGTTGTAAAGGTCTCCACAAGGCAATTTCTATAAATACGTCTCCACAAGGTTTTCACGAAATAGATATACGGATTTTACTCAAAAACTAGGAATTTCTAAGGTGTGTTTATCTGTCGCAAATTGTATTTTATGTAAAGGGATATTTGGTCCGAATTTCAGCCCAGGAAGTTAATTCTGGTTAAAATAAGAGCAGGTTTGAAACTACATTTTCGCACTCTAAAATTTTAGTATACGAGAACAAAGAGATGTCGCCACAAGGATACAAATTCCAATATGCATGTGTCATCCTGTGTCGTTGGTGCATCATTGTCTGTCCTGCATCCGATTTCATCAAACTCTTCGTAACTTACGATGCATCGCAGCGATGCGACGCGTCGTATCTCTACCATGCGTCACAGCTGCGACGCGTCCTGCGATCCATTTCACAAAACACGTCGTAAGTGCGACGCGTCGTAGGTGTATTTATAGCACAACTCGGTGACTGTTTTATGTCTTTAGTCAGCGTACTGTAAATAGTCGTCTGATATTCAACAAAGAGTCGTCGGATCTCAGCTCGAAATTTGTTAAAACGTAAAACAAAATGGCGGCCGTGCGATGCAATTTTGAAGGAAAACAAATTCTCATTGGACTGTATAGCTACTTTGAAATTTCAATTCTAATATTCCGGTCTAATTCATGATTATTCAATGAATTTTCTATTTACAACTTTACACACTTGCCTCGGTATAATAATCTTGTTAATGTAATGTTTATGGCATAAAACTGGCTTAGAAATGACTCTTCTTATTTTGTGACGACCACAAGACACGTCTTAAATTGCGACGTGTTTTAAGCCATTGTCAAGGAACTTACAACGCGTTCAACACAATGCAACTTTCGTGAAATGGAAGATACGACGCGTCGCGAGTTGCGACGCGAGTTGCGACGCGTTACAGCGCTTCGTGAAATCGGGTACTGGTTGCGTAATTGTGAATCATGGATCACTGTGCATCGTGGTGTGTCTATGTGGGTCGTGAGAGCATTGTAGGCGCATCTTTCATTGGTTGTTGTGGCTCATGGGTTGGTCATTGTGTGTGTTATAATTGGGTCGTGGGTGGGCTGTTGTGCGTCTTGGGTGGGTTGTTGTGCGTCTTGGGTGGGTTGTTGTAAGTCATGGGTGGGTTGTTGTGAGTCTTGGGTGGGCTGTTGTGCGTCTTGGGTGGGTTGTTGTAAGTCATGGGTGGGTTGTTGTGAGTCGTGGGTGGGCTGTTGTGCGTCGTGGGTGGGCTGTTGTAAGTCATGGGTGGGTTGTTGTGAGTCGTGGGTGGGTTGTTGTGAGTCGTGGGTAGGCTGTTGTGTGTCGTGGGTGGGCTGTTGTGCGTCGTGGGTGGGTTGTTGTGAGTCTTGGGTGGGCTGTTGTGCGTCGTGGGCGGGCTGTTGTGCGTCGTGGGTGGGCTGTTGTGCGTCGTGGGTGGGTCATTGTGTGTTATGGGTGGGCTGTTGTGCGTCGTGGGTGGGTCATTGTGTGTTATGGGTGGGTTGTTGTGCCTCGTGGGTGGGTTGTTGTGAGTCGTGGGTGGGCTGTTGTGCGTCGTAAGTGGGTTGTTGTGAGTCTTGGGTGGGCTGTTGTGCGTCGTGGGTGGGTTGTTGTGAGTCTTGGGTGGGCTGTTGTGCGTCGTGGGCGGGCTGTTGTGCGTCAAGGGTGGGCTGTTGTGCGTCGTGGGTGGGTCATTGTGTGTTATGGGTAGGGTTTTCGTATGTCGTGGCTGGGTCATGGGGGTGTAGTGGGTGTATCATTGTACCTCCTGGATGCGCCACTCTGCGTCATTGGTTGGCCATTGTGCGCCATGGGTGGGTCATTGTGAGAAGTGGGTGCGTCAGTGTGCCTCTTGCTTGCGCCACTGTACGTTGTGCGTGCGCCATTTTGCGTTGTGGGTGGGTCATTGCGCACCGTGGCTGGGTCATTAAGATTTTACCTAACTTTTAATTCAATATGGCCGACTCGTGAATAAGGCCCATTAGCTTAGGATTATCCTTTTAAATTTTTTTTCTTTGAACAGTTTACAGAGAGATGTTATTTTGAACGGAGACTTTGCCTGCATTATCAAGCTACTCCAGGTAAGGAAAGCTTAAGTTTATTGCCGATCATTTTTATCTTTGTTAAAGGTAGAAACATCATTTGGAGCTGTCCAAAAAGTAACTGAGTTTTGGAATATTTTCAAATTACCTCTTAAAGTCAGATAACCAATCTACCATACTAACTTTATTTCATTCAAATCGATGCATTGGAACAAACGCTATGCTTCATCGAACTCAAGGGTTGAAAATTGTCTCAGGCCACTTTCCTAGAAACCGAGAAAGCGCAGTTGGAGAAACTCACAAAGGATTTAGTTCCTTTGTTCAAGAGTAACGTGTGACTTATTCTACCGGCTTCGATCTGTAAACTCGATGAATGAAAATAAGTGGCCCAAGTGGTTTTTCAAGTCCCGCATTGTGATTGCTGTATCTTTAGAACAAAACATCCTAATGAAACCAACTAAAAAGCATTTGGAAGACCAATTATTCTACTCAGCTATACATTAGACACGATTTTAAATACTTGCTCCACTTTTCTGAAAACATGCCCGATTTGACTTTTTGGGGACAACCTGTAGAAACTTCTCAACAGGGTGGATAAAAAAAAACGAAACCGAGATATTATTGCTAAGTGGAACAGAAGTATGGCACATGTGAATCAAAGGGAGACATCTTCTGTTAGGGTTGAATCTCCTCTTTAAAATGACACCCTGATCATGTCATTACATTCACGGTTGACTGAGCAGTGACCAATTTTATGAAAGGGTCTATTGACGGGCTTGCGCCACTTTTCAATTGTGGTTTTTGTGGTGTCAGTTGTCACAGAGTGAAAGGCTATGGTTGCCAATCAAGGCAGGTGGGGGAAAAGAGATTTCACCATGAAGAGTGGCGCAAGTCTCTAAATATACCCTTGCATAAAATTGGTCACTGCTCAGTCAACCGCAAATGTAAGGACATGATCAGGGTGTCATTTTAAAGGGAATATACAACATTTGCAAACATCAAAAAATTAAACTACCAAGTTTTTACGAAATACCCTACAAGGATGTTGGTAAATGACAGTCTAAAGCATCTTGTAATATTATGGCACCTGGTGTGAAGTCATTTTCAAGAAAGTGGTATTTTTGTATACATTTCCAACGGTGGTCGGCCGACCACCGTTGGAAAAACCTATCTATTTTTCAACAACTGCTCCAAATTTACAATTTGTTCCGTCCAAATTTTGTTTGCTATTGGTTACATGTTCATGAATGGGTGCAGGCCAGCTAGGCTGGTTCCCTTACCTTACAATTTTCCGACATCTATAAATTGATCCATTTTATCTTTAGTGGAGTCAGGGAACCAGACTACTTTATAAACAATTTTTGTTTTTCTTGGTTTTTCAAGCATTTTCAAACACAAAACTTCAAACATGTCACTTAAACAATATTTGATCTATTATACTAACCCCTCAAATAGTTCATTTCTGAAAATTACAGCAAAAGCCAATGATGTACATTCCCTTTAAAGAGGAGATTCAACCCTAACAGAGAATGTCTCCCTTTGATTCACATGTGCCCTACTTCTGTTACAATTAGCAACAATATCACAGTTTCGTTGTTTTTTTTATCCACCCTGTATACTCAGGAAAGAGGAAAATCCAATATCCCATCCACCCTTTATCAATACCAACTGTCACAATCAGACAGATGGTTTTTTTTTCAATTTATTACAAGAAATCTTGCAAAACCCTCTGTAATTATTTTCTTCCTGATTCTAGAACTACCCCAGCACTGACATCAACGTCTTGCTTCAGAAGGCCGAGGAGTTGCGGAAATATCTCTAGCGAAACTTGTCGCGGATATTCCTGCAAAACCTTACGTGTCACAGTACTAGATACAGTTTGGTTCAACCGGAAAACCCAAGGATAGAACTGACTGGAAAAATGGAGAATCCCCCCCAAAAATGTTGCTCAACTCCAGAAGACCTCTGCCACTTGGTGACAGGTGACACAGTCAGGTGACACACCTGGTTGGAAATTCCAGTTGAAACCAGTTGCAACTGGCGTCGGTTCAGCTGGGGACTGGTGACTGGATTTCACTGGTCTTGACTAGTTTTGACTAGTTTTGACTGGTTTTCAACTGGTATAAGTGGCTTAAACCAGTTCAAACCTGTCAACGATTTCCAGTTGAAGTCAGGTGATACACTCAGGTGACACACCTAGACGAAAAGTCCAGTTGAAACCAGTTCATCTGATTCAACTAGTTTCATCTGTTTTCAACTGGCACCGTACCAGCTGGGAATTGGTGACTTGATTTAACTGGTTTTGAGGGTTTTAACTGGTATTATTTTAACTGTTTTCGAACTGGGATGAGTGGCTTTGAACCAGTCAAGCCAGTGTTAAACCAGTTCAAACCTGTCACCAATTTCCAGTTGAAGTCAGGCGACACAGGTAACCACCCAGGTGAAAATTCCAGTTGAAACCAGTTCGACTGGTTTTGTTTTGATTTTGACTGGTTTTGAACTAGTATAAGTGGCTTTGAACCAGTTTAACTATTTAAAACCAGTTAAGCCAGTTCAAACCTGTCACCGATCTCGAATTGAAGTCAGGTGACACAGTCAGGTGACACTCTTGCCAGGTTGGAAAAGCTTTTTCTTTTCCTGCATTAAGACAACTTCAGTCTTGATTTGGAATAAAAAAACATATACTTCATTTACAAGTATTTTTGTTTGTTTTTTACTTTAAGAGGTGTGTAATCAAAACGCTGATTAAACAATTTGTGCGACACTAAGCTTGGCAGTTTAATAAATAATTCAATAATTCAATGAATGATACAAATTCATTAAGAACTGCCTTCAAGTGATTTTCTTTTGTTTTTTAAATGAGTTACAAATTATGTTTCACTCAATTAAATGAAAATTTTACGTTGACATAAGATGTAATGGGTGAACAATTTCTAAAATTAGTTTTAGTATTTCGATAATTTTTTTTTCTCAAAAATATGCCATTCCATATTTAAGTTTGCTCTGTCTTGCACTAAATTGTATGCTTTATAAATGTATGTTGCGTTATCTGTGAGGCGTTTTGGCAAAATGAGACCGAACTGGGCAGAGATCAACATGATAGTTAATCGGAATAAGAAAGAGAATAAAATTCTTCCTACAAAACTGTTTGTTGCACGTCACTCGGACTTTTGGTTGACAAGTTATGGCTGTTTAAATTCCGCATTTACAGGTGTGTCAAAAAAATAACATACTCAGAGAAAACAAGCTTGATATGAGCTCAAAAGCTGCGGCCTCTAAAACCTATTAAGTCATGTACATGTACATTATGTAACAGTCTGTTCTAATGATGCACAACTACTCACGTGGTCGTGACTGTCAATTGACCTATCATGGCGGAATCGCATTAGAATCGCGTCAACGCAGCTTGTGAAATATTGTCCAATTGCGTGATATAAAAATGGATGCGGAACGCGCAAAATCTGAGACAACCAAACTTAGTGTACAAAACTCCATAGGGTTGTCTTGGGGGCGTAGCGAAATCGCAAACGGCGATACTCAATTGAAAAGGATTCCCATTATTTTGTTGAACGTCGGTTGGTGCATGGAGCGTTTTATAGCATGTGGAACACCCAATTCGTGTGCAGTACAGTGCTAGCCCCAATGCGAAATGAGTGACCTCGTGACCCAATTTTCCTCGACTGCAATAAATTGTCAACTGGTACTGGTCACAGGAAACTTGAAGCACGTGTTGTTGCAAGGGCCTTTGGGACAAGGTGATTGATTGCCATGCAAGGCATGTGCTAAAGTTTGTTACTAACCAACCAACCAACCAACGGAGAGACATGAGTATTTGTAGAGCTGCTACCCGCAGCTAAAACAATTTCAAGTTTTGTATTTGTGAAAATTAAATATGCCAATTGTTTTTCCTTAAAAACACTTTTATTCTACAATTTTTTAACTATTTCTTTAAAACATCTGTAGCAGACATATATATCGAAGATTACAAATATCATTATCTAAAAATCAAAAGATTTTTTGCATTTTTGTCCCACTACGGCCTGTGCCCATTCTATCTCATTTTGCCAGAACGCTCCATATCTCTGGGAGGCAATGTGTAACGATGTCAGTTTTGTGTTTATGCATGCATTTTGCCTTATAAAGGCCGATTTTGTATTACATATAAAAAGAAAATAGTAAGCCACGCCAATAAAAATATTTTTAACCTACCTGTGCGCTTGCTAGTCTGAGTATCACCCCTTATCCATGGAGCCAAGTCTCCTGGGCCCAATTTCATAGAGCTGCTTAAGCAGAAAATTTGCTTAAGCACGAAAAAAACATTGCTTAGTAAAATTAGGTTACCGGCCAAAACTCCATGTGATGTACATTGCTTGTGACTGGTATTTAGCTGTTGTTTACTTAGCGTAACAATCGCATGGAGTTTTGGCCGGTAACCTGATTTTATTAAGCAAGATGTTTTTGTGCTTAAGCAAATTTTGTGCTTAAGCAGCTCTATGAAATTGGCCCCAGCTGTATAACGTCTGATATATCTAAGCATGCAGATTTATGTGATCTCGCGCCTCAGCCAATCGGAGTCGACTTTTATATACATGTACTAAATTGTGACTCATTGTCATATCAGGACTAAACGTGTAAATGGTCAATTCAAAGGCAGTGTTTTGTAATACAGCAGCCGGGCGCGTATCGCGTAACTGGCGTAATATATAGGCATGACACAGCACTTGTTGCTGTGTCTAGGTTTTTTTTTATATACATGCCTATGACGCGACAACGGTTTAATGACCGAAGACCTGATATAGAAAGCGCCGGCTGATTGGTCAAAATCTAGAGGTCAAGATGCAGTTGCGTTGCATAATTAATCAGCGAATTTGCTCAAATGTATTAACCGTGGCTATACCCATAATCTATTACATAGACTATGGGCTTTGTGGGTTAAAGGAAATATACAAAATTTGCTTTTGCTGTAATTTTCAGAAATGGTTGGATTTAGGGGTTAGTATTTTAAAGCAAATATTGTTGCACTGACTTGGAAGATTTTTGTTCAGAGATGCTGGAAAAAGTGCTATGGTGAAGTTTATAATTTATTAGTTCAATAGGACACAAAGGTACATTTCAAAGATTGCAGTTAAAGAAATTCCAGTACATGGCCCTTTAAAGTTGGCACTACAAAACCACAGTACATTTTTGTAAAGAGAGGTGGCATTGTAACATTTGAGATTGTGTTTAGTCTGGGGAATTAACATTTCAATGCACAAGTATAACTACAAGTCTCAGGAGTCCAGACACTTTTTTAAACTCATGTACGCATTACCCATAATTATATTAAACAAACATTTTTTTTATAAACATACACCACACAAAGCATTTTTATTACACTTTTAATAAATCACCATGTTCAATTTGTCAGTTTTTTTGTTTTTTTTTCGTTTAATTAGTTCAATGTGTTCACTTTTAATTGCGTTTACTGTTAATTGCCAAATTAAATGTTCGGAAATGCTAAACATTGTTGTAAGCGAACACTAAAGTGTACAAATAGGCATTTGTAAAAATTGTTACTATGTAAATACGTAATGTATTAAACACATTTCTATAACTTTTCTAGGTAAGTTAATACTTTTAATTGAAGTTTTGTCAATTATTTTAATTGGTAAAACTTGAGAAGGGATAAAATTAAGAAAAACTTGCTTATTATTTTTTTTCAGGCGTGCTTGCAATCATTAGTGGAAAAAAAATTAGGGGTGGAGTTTAAGATGCCACCCACTTTTTTAACTGAATACACAAGTCCATCACAATTCCATCACAAGTCCATTACAAGTCCATCGCAAGTCCATCACAAGTCCGTCACAAGTCCGTCACAAGTCCGTCACAAGTCCGTCACAAGTCCATTACAAGTCCATCACAAGTCCATCACAAGTCCATCACAAGTCCATCACAAGTCCATCACAAGTCCATCACAAGTCCATCACAAGTCCATCACAAGTCCATCACAAGCCCATCACAAGTCCATCACAAGTCCATCACAAGTCCATCACAAGTCCATCACAAGTCCATGACAAGTCCATCACAAGTCCATGACAAGTCCATGACAAGTCCATGACAAGTCCATGACAAGTCCATGACAATTCCATCACAGGTCCATCACAGGTCCATCACAAGTCCATCACAAACCCATCACAAGTCCATCACAAGTCCAACACAAGTCCATTACAAGTCCATCACAAGTCCATTTATGAAAGGACTTGTGACTGGACTTGTGACTGGACTTGTGACTGGACTTGTGACTGAACTTGTGAAAGGACTTGTGATGGACTCGAATGCAACACTAATAAGCCTCTGTACTGGGCCCAATTTCACGGCGCTGCTAAGCAAACACCGTAAGTATAAGCACAGCAAAAGGCACGCTTACTTCAGAGGAAAAATCTGCTTAACTAAGTGACGTAACAATAGAAATCTCCATGCACACGCAACCGTTAGCACATTCACGCCATGAAATAGTGCTTAAAGTTAGCACATTTTTCTACTGTGCTAAGCACAACTTTTCTGCTGACTGTTAAGTAGCGCCACAAAATTGGGCCCAGATGAGGTCACACTTTATTTTACGCGTATTCATTCTTGGGAGCCTGCTTGGGACGACAGTTTTGTAGCCCCATAGAAAAGCGCACAAGTAAACAAAGTGTGACGTCATCAGTACAGATGCTTGTTGGAGAAAATATTCCTCACGCGTCATGGAAGCTCTAAAATCATACATGTAAACCAATTGGCGACACAAATGTAGCATATGACAAACTATAATATCACGCAACATCAACAAAATATAAATGGAGCGCTTTATACCAAAAGTCTCAAAGCGCTTTACCATTGTTACCCCTATTCATCAGGTGATGAGACCACTTTTTGCAGCAGCTGGAGATCAGCGCATTCTGGTCTCTACCTTCACAGGTACCCATTTATACTCCTGGGTGGAGAGAGGCAATGGAATTAGTGCCTTGAGTACCTAATTGTTGGTAGATGCGTGCGCTACATAAGACTCCGGTATAAAGTGTCTTGCCCAAGAACACAAGCACCATGTTCCTGTCAGGATTCGAACCCACCTACCACGGCACAATGAGTCGAACACCATAACCATATTGCATCACGGGTGTTTTTTTTTCAACCATCTTTTCAAGACTACTCACAGTTTTAAAATATTGGAATTGGAGAAATGCTGTTTCGGATATTCGTTGGATGATCGAATATTCTGATATTTGCTATATTCTGCACAGCCCTACCATTCTGTTGTTCATTCTTATGATTCTACTACGTATCAGAAAAGACATGTCCTACTTTCGATCCTAAAATAACTCCGTTGATTACCAATGGAATTAAACCAAAATTTCAGATCGTGTAAAACAAGGCATGACAAAATTTATGGAGCGTGTTTCATCAGCTTTGTGCAAGATCCCAGCAGGCATTTTTGGTCGATTTAACGTCTATCTGACGTCAGATTCCGACCAACTCCGACGTTGTTTTTTGGTTGCCGTAGTGGTTGTAAGTGTAAGTTTTTTAGACGTTGAAAACCTGACCAAATTCTAACGTCGATATGTGGTCAAAATTGTGACGTCGGTCTGACCATGATTAACTGCTAATCATGACCGAAAACTAACGTCCGATTATAGTCAAATTATGACGTCAGTCTGACCATGATTAACTGGTTACATGGACGTCTACAGGACGTCAGATTGTTGGTTGAATTTAGGTCAGAATATGGTTGAAAAAGTAGGTTATTTAGACGTCGAAAATCTGACCGAAATCTAACGTCCATATATAGTCAAATTATGACGTCAGTCTGACCATGATTTGTCTGGTTGAATGGACGTCGACAGGACGTCGCGGTTGAAGTTATTTAGACGTCGAAAAATGACCAAATTATAACGTCTGTGTGAGGTCAAAATTGACGTCTATCTGACCGTCGTAATAACGTCCTTTCAATGTTTGAATTCCATGATTGATGTTAGGTCAGTACATGGTTGCAAATGTTATTTTTGTAGACATTAAATACTGTTATTTCGGTTGTGTAAAAATCAAACGGTTGTGTAATATATGAAGCTAGCAACCTGTTGTGTAAACCGTTGTTTACACAACTTGTGTATAATATTACACAACTTGTTCATTTTTTTTTAATAAACTGGTTGGCTAGGTTCTTATAGTACACAACCGAAATAACAGTGAAAAAAAGTAAGTTTTCCAATGTTAATCAATATTCAAAATAGTGGCGTCAGTCTGACAGGCTTAAATAATGTCAATTAGACGCTTCAAATGTTCAATGTTAATAGGCCGATCAATTTTGGCATCAGATTTCATTACCACGCGGAATCACAACCAACACAGACATGATCTCTAATCTCTTTTGTGAATATTTGTGCAGGTATAGAAGACATCAGGCGGTTGATGTTGATCCTGATGGTGCATGGGGCCACGTAAAGTAGGGCTTGGGTAGTGTATTCGTCTCCCTCAACTGACCAAAGCAGAGAGCTGGAAAAGTGGAAAAATGAACAACATTGTTAATTTTTTTGAATACCAACACATTTTTCAAATAATGGTGACTCGTAAATCATTAAAACAAAACAGATTCTTTGAACCTACAGCAGCAGTTTAATTTTTAGAAATCCAAAAAAAGTATTAAAAATAATTCTTACATGTATGAAGAAGACAAGTCGAAGCATAGGCCTATTTTAATTCTAATGGGCGATTTCATGCGATTCCAAGAAACGAATTTTACTGAAATTAATTGATGAAGAATTTAAAATTGCAAGCAACGTAACTTTCTTTACAAGGATAAAAATTAACATGAATAGCGCCGTCGTACGCCGTGTTTCTAAGCGCTTTGCAAAGACTACAACAAACCAATTTTATAGTAAAATCTGGTATTAATAAAACATGAAATAGAGTACACGACAAAAGAAAAGTGGCATAATGTATCGTTATACGTGATTCCCAAACTCTGAACACCGTAAACTAGATTGAAAACGTATTTGTCTCAAAATATCAGCATCAAAATGAAAGAGACGTTTCGATCGTTTGAGTTAGTGATGGATGCGGAATATGTTGCGGGGCGGTTAAATTCACAATAAATTTAATATTCTAAATCTTCAATCAACACAGTACGTGTGGGAAGTCGTCTCATAATGAGATATGCTTTAGAATGACCTCATTTTTCCTAGGCCTAAATAAAGATTGGACGTGATGATAGAAAGCAGGTAGAACTAGCATGACTGCTGATTAGTTTGGATTTTCTACATCTTCAATGTTTAAACAAAGGGCATCGTTAGTGTAACTTTCTTTTTAAGATAAGGAATGACAATAGCATCCAACATCTAGTCTAACATTAATAACTTTCTACAATGAAGTTAAGGTATTTTGATGGAATTTTAAAGTTACAACTGACATGACTAGTAGGGTACATAATAATAATAAAGATACAATTTCCAAACTATTGACCTTCAAAGAAATTGCAAATCACTAACTCGGAAACATTCGCGTTTGAAACTTACCATTTTCAGACATGGCAAAATCAGATCGTCTTGCTTGCGGTTCAATCGAAATCTTGACTTGTGCTTGTCCTATACATCTTGATGTCGTATCTTGACTTGGATTTATAGATCAGGAGTGGGAACATCTCCAATGTTAACTGCACTCCATCGCAGAACCGAATCTTGACAATATTGTGCACAAAAGGTGCCAGAAACCTTGTTCATTTTGGGCCAACATGTCTCTTCCCAAAGCTGCTTCAGTTGTGACTGTTGGTTTAACGGATGATTCAAACTGGCCAGACTCGTACAGCAGTGGAGTTCGTTGGAATGCAAGAGGTCACACACAGGGCATACATATGCTTAAGTGTACGTACGTTTGGGCTATACGGTTTTTGCGCGCGCGGCACTTGGCTCTGGGCCAAGACAATTATAATTGGCGCGCGCCGCGGCTAAGTGGAAAAATCTTCAAAATGGACGATATATTTCGGTTAAAACAATGATGATAACGATTGGACATCAAATTTATAACCATCAGCTAGGTGACCATAATTCAACGTCTTTTTTTTAGTCGTTCAAATTAAAAAGGCGTCCGATAATTTCGTTTGGGAATTACTACGTTGCACATGCATTCCGGTTTAATGACTTTTTTTATTTGCTGAATAAATTAAGTGAAAAATAGACGTTATATTTTGGTCGAAACCATGACACTGTCGACGTAATGTAAATAACCAACAGCCGACCGCAATTCAACGTTGAGTTGCTGAAAAGACGTCAGAAAACGGACGTTATATTTTAGGTAAAACCATGACATAACAATGACGTTAAATATTGTAACCATCCACTGACCAAAAATCAACGTAATTAATTGATTCGTTGAAATGACGTTAGAAAACGGACGTAATATCATGGTTGAAAACATGACCTAATAACGACGTCAAATATTATAACCAGCAGCCGACCACAATTCAACGTCGCTTTGTAAGATGTTGAAATGACGTCAGATAATGGACGTTGTGTTTTGGTTGAAAGCATACGACGTCAGATATTATAACTAACAGCCAACCACAATACAACGTCGATTTTGAGTCATTGGAACGACGTTAGAAAACGAACGTAATATCATGGTTGAAAACATGACTTAAAAATGACGTCAAATATTATAACCAGCGGCTGACCATAATCCAACGTCATTTTTGAGTCGCTGAAAAGACGTCAGAGAACTGACGTTATAGTTTGGGTAAAACCGTGACTTAATAATGACGTTAAATATTATAACCATCAAACGACCGGAAAACAACGTCATTATTTGATTCGTTGACACGACGTTAGAAAACGGACGTAAAATAATGGTTAAAAACATGACCAAATAACGACGTCATATATTATAACCAACAGCCGACCATAATTCAACGTCACTTTTTGAGTCGTTGAAAAAACGTCCAAAACGGACGTTGCATTTTAGTCAAAAGCATGACATAAGTACGACGTCGGATATTATAACCGACGGCCAACCATAATTCAACGTCGTTTTTTGAGTTGTTGAAACGACGTTAGAAAGCAAACGTCATATCTTGGTTGAAAACATGACATAATTGCGACGTCGCGAAGGGAAACGCAAAAATAACAATAATACAACGTTGTTTTTCAGTCAGTTGTATAGACGTTGACAAAACAACGTTATACCATGGTTGAAATTACGTTTGGTAATATTCCCGACCAAATTCCAACTATATTTCGACGTTGTTGTTACGTTAAATTCTGACGTTAAATTGTCGACACTAAAGCAACGTCTGGCAGACGTTATAATGACAACGTCGGCTTTTGGTCGACTAAAACAACGTTGATTTTCGGTTATGTATGGTTGATCCGACGTTGCGACCATAAAACAACCATTATACAACGTCAGTCTGACGGTCGGTGCCTGCTGGGATGGTGAGATTTAAACGCCATACGAAAAAAAGGACTCTCTTGCAGAATCTGCCACTTTCGACTTGGCGTCCTCCAATGTCGATACAGCGCTGGAGACGGTGGCGGAAGGCGCTTGCTGCGGGCGAAGGCTTCTGAAGGAACGCAGGATCACCCCTGATGTCATTGCACACCTTCTCGATCATTTGACGCAACACACGAACGAGGTGTGCAATGACATCAGGGGTGATCCTGCATTCCTTCAGAAGCTTTTGGCCGCAGCACGCACCCTCCGCCACCGCTCCAGCACTATATCGACACTCTGAAAGTGAGTATTTTTATTTCAGTGGCATTTAAATCTCACCCTCTTGTACAAAGCTGATGAAAAACACTCCAAAACATTTGTCATGCCTTGTTAACACGATTTGAAATTTTGGTTTAATTCCATTGGTAAACAATTTAGGATCAAATGTAGGTCTTTTTAAAATTTTCTTTACCCGTTAGCAGAAGAAGAAGTATCCGGATTATTTTGGTTTTCTCAGTGCTACAAGTACTTTAATAGCTCATAATTACTGAGTTTTAATCCAGTCAATCCCAATTTAAATCACAAATTCGATCAAAGATGACTTTTTGTTTTCTGTTTTGTGAAATAATGCAAGATGTATCAAATTTTGAACTTTAATTCTCATTGTGCTAACCTAAACCAAATATAAGCGATTTTTTTGTTGTTATAATTTAAATAAATATAATTCTGTTAAAGTCGAAACATATTTTAAAAGGAGTATAAAAATAAAGAAAAAAGTTTTGATAGAACACGTACATGTTTCGTTCTTTTCATTTATTACATGTGTGTGTGAAGTCTGGGTGTCTATATAATTTGATGGAAGTCATATTTTCAGTTATCATTGATTTGTGGAATTATTAGTTGATATGTAGGATTTCTTACATGTGTCAACATGGACATCATACACATGTAAATCCTGGAGATACAATCATTCTGTTGAACGAGGTTGCATGGAACAAAAAGTCAGGCCCAACTTTTATAAAATTAAAAATTCAAGGGCCCCCCCCCCCCAATTTTTAGTATACAAATATTACTTAACTTAATACTAAGTTACACTTTTTGTGAAATTATATTTGATACAATTCATTGGTGTCGACTCGTTTTATGTTGATATAAAGTTACATATTACATATTAACATATTTACATTAGTTCATATTACACCCCACTCGTGTTGTCGGCCCCGCCCCTCTAGAAAATACAGAGAAATGGCGCTAAAAGGTTGCCGCGCATGCGCACAATCACTCGCTGAGTAGCGGGTGAGGTCGGTGGTGGGGCCCACTCACATCCGACGGTAAAAACATCTTTTACCCCATTTTTGGCAGTTTAGATCGTTATTACTTCAAGGATCATGAACAAAACAGATCATACACTTTGTATACTTAACCTAACATGCTTATGTTCAGAAATAATCCTGTAAAAGAGGTTTCGTTCCATGACAGGAGATCATGTGACCTGTTTTGACCAATGAAAACAACGCGGTTTAGGGGCTGATGCAACGCCATCAAAAATTGTTTGCCAGAACGAAGAAATTCACCCAATTTTCAGACAAACTAACCGTTCAATCCCCGCCATCGTTCACTTTTTACATAAATTAAGTATGGACTATTTCTTTGCCCATAATGAGATACTGATATTTGTTTCATTTTAAGTAGAAAAAGAGAGAAAATGACGCAAAATCTTTGTCGTAAACGACAAGGTATGTACCATGTGACGCGTTTCAACCAATGAGAGTAAAGGATTTTCACATAAAGAAGCTGTAATATGTGCTGGTCCGCCATTGCAGAGTTCTGAAAGCTCGTTGGTGTGATCTGTAATCCTGCTGACGGAATGGACTTCAAAGGCCATCCGACGCTGCAGGATTATCAGCAGTCAGTACAGAACACCGTGTAAGGGTACAGAACTTAAATTTACGTCGAAAATGTGTTTTTGACCTAGATATAAGCCCCCAAATTGTGTGTCAAATTTTCACCGCTGAGAACATTCGAGAACGTATGTCGTTTTTTCCTTGAAAACTGAATCATTGAACAAATTGCCAAGTTTTATTTTTCAAATTCCACATTTCACCAAGCGTATTTTGCGTTGAAAAGCATTCTATCAAACGAAATATGAGTTATAGCACAAAGTGGTTGTAATTTTGTGACAACTGCTGCAAGTATTTCACTGATATTTCGTGACAAATATGAGGTTAAAATTAACGGCGTTGGCGGCAAAGCAGTGACGCACGGGCACGTGTCAATTGATTTTTGCAAATTGCGGGATTTTCCATTGTACAGCGCAATGTGCGCATGGATGGCATTGGCAAGTTTGCTCCTTTTCTAAGATAAAACATCAGGTATTCAAATTTTATCATAAATAATTAGGGTTTTTGTTTGGACATAACATGGATAAGAAGCCATTAATATTATTTAATAAAATATTGAACTTTAACTTGATTGTGGAAATTTGTACGGTTTCAAAATGTTCGCTCATTCACTGTTCTATTTCATGTTTGCAAATTGCATGAATATTTATCATGATGATGAAGGCCGAGGTAATTTACACATGTTAAAGAGGGCAGTCAGTCAATGATGTCGTAATTTGGCGATATGAAAATAAACATGTTTAATTGTTACAACTATAAAAGTGAGAAAATTAGGGTAGGCCCCTAGCCTCCTAGGCCTATAGTTTTTTTCCCAAACATGCAAAATGAAAGTTTACAGCATGGTACGGCCAAGGTCTCTTGTCATGCTTGTTTACGTTGTTACATTAATTTTTTTCTAAAGGTAAGAAATGCAAGTTGCAGTGATCGACTATAGCGCAGCGATCGATCAATGGCACAGCGATTGACTGACGGCAGCAATCAACCGACGGAGCAGCGATCGACCAATGATGCTGTGATCGACAGACGGCGCTGCGCAATGACCGACGGTGCAGCGCGCAATCGCCCGATGGCAAAGCGCAGCAATCGACCGATGGCAAAGCGGTAGGGCAGTGATTGACCCGGAAGCGCGGCAATCGACCAACAGCACATGGATGGACAGACAGCATAGCCATTCTATTGCAATTGTCCCCCTTTTCGTAATATATTTGTCACCCCGATTTTTTCAGGACAAAAGTGTGACCCCCGAAATTCGCTCTGGCATGGTCCTCGCAATAATTACACAAAAACGACCAGTTTGTAAAAAATGGTTGTGCAGACGTTTTTTTTTTTTTAATGCTCTCTGAAATAGGATAAGTAAACAAACCAAACATTGCAAGTTTGTAGGAAACCATTTAAATCAATGATTCAAAACAAAGGAATGTTTTCTATGAATTGCTGTTGGAATATTCTTTTTAGTTTTGGCATTGCATTGGATCCGAACAGTCTAAACAGATTTCCAGTACATGTACATGAAATTCCAGGAAACTGGCATGTGAGTTGCTGAACAATTTCAACTTAAAAATGGAAAAGATGTTTTTTTCCCTCCCCATTTTTTTGGTGAGATTCACCGAACTCGTATAACAACATGTGTTTGTCCTGTTATTTTTCTACGAGTTTTTGTTCAATTTTGTTTTTTAAAGATGCTACTTCCTCAAAATCGTTTCAGACAATGAAAACAAGAAAATATGTGCAGTGTACTAGTATCATATTGTCAGCCTGTGTAGCCTGATGAAATGCCACGGCATTTTCAGTTAGTCAGACTGCCGCTTTAAATGTCCGTTCATTGTATGATGTTTATATTATTAACCCTTTGAGCACAGGTTGAACGCAAGAGAATGTAGTCGCATCTATGTTATTTGTACTACAATGCCGAAATGCTTAAAACAGCTTTACTGCATTTAAAAAAAAATGCCTCAAGTGCAAGTGAGATCACACAGTTGTCTTTAAGCAAACTTGTTTAGACCATTATGAGCACGCTAGCGTTGTACGTTCGCACAGGCCTTGTTCAACAGTTAAAGGGAATGTACAACATTTGCTTTGCTGCAATTTTCAGAAATAAATGGATTTGGAGGATTAGTATGTTATGGCAAATATTGTTAAAATGACTTGTTTCACGTTTTGGGCTTGTAGATGTTGGAAAAACCAAGAAAAGCATTCATGTTCTTGTAGTCTGGTTCCCTGACCCCACTTAAGATGTAACAGAGAATTTATAGACTTTGGAGAATTGTAAGATCAGAGAGTCAGTCTAGTAGGCTTGCACCCCTTCACAGTTGTGTAATCCATTGCAAAGAAAACACAAAATAACTAATTATGAAAAATTAGGAGCAGTTTTGGAAAAAAGCCAGTTTTCTCCAACGCTGGTCAGCCGACCAGCATTGGAAAAATACCATTTTTCTTGAAAATGTCAGCACACCAGGAGCCACGATTTTACAGGATGCTTTAGACTGTCAATCCCTAACGATCCAGCAAGGTATTTTGTGATAATTTGATCATTTCGTTTTGTAATGTTTGCAAATGTTGTATCTTCCCTTTAAAGCACCACTCCAGTTGCTTTACAAAGCAACTATCATATGTACAGTGATAGAATAGAATTGTCTATCTACAGTACGTTAACAATAAACAAGAGGCAAAAAGCGCAGTACGGGATTGTAATGCGACGATGTTACGGAATCAGCTAAGCACTGTTGATATATCGATATTTCTCAATTATTCTATATTATTTTTATATCAATATCGTCGAAGCGCAGTACGCGATTGTAATGCGACGATGTTACGGAATCAGCTAAGCACTGTTGATATATCGATATTTCTCAATTCTATATTATTTTTATATCAATATCGTCGATAGCAAATTGTTTAATCATATTGAAATATCGACATTTTTGATAATGAGGAATGATATGGAGAAAATTGTAAATTCCTTAAATCATCGTCAAAAGAAATCTCCTGTTTGTGCTTTTACTTTGTGTTTAACGTTTGCTTTATAATGAAATCAAACTCGGCGGCAACTTGTGCTTGTGACTCGAACAAAAACATCGCGAAATGCCAAGTGGCGTCGCTTCGTGTTCCACAGTCGCTGCAATTCGCGGTCTCCCAAGTGTAAAACCTCAAAAGAAACTGCCTATTCCGGACAAACTCTCAGTGCTGACTGCTGAGATTTGTTCAATATGCTCCAGAGAAAGCCATGGAAAATTGGGACTTTTCATCAAAGTGTCATCTTTATGGTCTTTAACCTCTACATGGGATAATCATATCTAATATTCACGATATTGAAAATTCTGATATTGACAGTGCTTAGAATCAACCAATGAACGGTGAGGAAGATTACACAAAAGTTTGCTTGAAGATAACGCTTTAAAAAAAAAATGTTTTCCCTTATATCCCAATGTCCAGATTGCCTTGCAACGTTTAAAGTGCCGGAGACCATACAATATTACCTCTTCTTCTCCGGGCAAGGTAAAACCCCTGTGCACCATCGGTAGTTTGTTTTTTAACCCCAACCTTCCAAAATCCTCTTTGCAAAATGGAGGATTTTGCAGGATTGAGGCTACATGGCAAAAGTGTGTTGCTGATTTCGGAGGATGCACTATGTCAAGGTCTTGGGCCGGACTTTGTGGTGTTTATGCTCAGCTGTGCATAATTTTAGGCCTATATTATACTTCAAATACTCCGCACTGCTCCAGGATGTCACTGGCTCTGCCTCAACGTATTGATAGTGATTGCTGGAGGATTTTGCAGGATTGCGGCAGTGGTCACCCCTCCAAGGACCACATTCAAGAAATAACGGATGTTTTTTGGAGGATTGAGGCTGTATGCAATTTTTACATGGAGGCAGTTGGAGGATTTTGCAGGATTGAGGTTGCATCCTAGCAAAAATGCCTAAAAGGGTTGCAGACCTCAAAAAAAAAAAAAAAAGAGCTTTTTTGTTTCAATAAAACACAGTCATGAGATTTTTCGTAGACTTTTGTCTGAAATCAGATTTTTTTGTATCTGAGAGAAAGACATTATAGTATAGAGAAAAAAAATCATGTTTCAGAGGGGGAAAAAATCATTGGAAAAAGAACTCTGTGTTGCAAAAATTGTTTTTGGAAACTCGTTGAAAAAAATATTGAGGGAATTCAAAATTTCTTATGAGTCCGTTTATACAGCCAATGTGCTCTTTTTCACCAGGGTGAAATCTTACCAATGGTGTACAGGGGCTTTAAGTTTTAATCAAAATAATCCTGCATTTTGTTCATTTCCACGTGGCTGAATGACCTGTCATGAAATTGTCGTAGCAATTTTCATGCACTGTTCAGGCTGCATAGCATTCTTCCAAACGCACTTGTATTTTGGGCCAAATACACTGCACAAAAATAATCACAACTGGTTCCCTTATTTAGAATATAACTGGCATGTTTTAGACGTTTACAGACTACACCAACACAATTTTAAGCCAGTCCCATCTAAAAAAAAAAGAACAACACCAAAATGTCTGCTTATAAACAACTTTTTTTTGGGGGGGGGGGTATTTTCCCATAAAGAATACAGTTTCATTCCTTGTGTACACAAAGTTACTTAAAAGCCTAGACGGCCACACATAGCTCTTGTTGAAGTTCCGTTCCGTGTGCAGAACGTCACAGACTTGAAAAATGTGCCAGTTTACCAAAAGGCAGTCCATTCAGAAATTGTCCCCTTTTTTGTCCTTAACCTAAGCAAATCCATCAAAATCCATTCCCATATGTTGTTGATTTTGGTAGGCAAGCAATGAGTCCCAAGTCCATCAAAATCCACCTACATGTATAGTAGTGTTAGTGGTGGATTTCAGCCGATTTGGCCCCAAAGCATTACGTGAAGCAGGGTCAGTGATGGATTTTGGCGGACTTGGTCCAGTACTTGTAAAAGACACGAGGTGGTTGGGGTTAAATTATGGTAGATCACATGATGACCTGTGTATTTTTGGTGTTTTTTTTGTACATTTACACGTGCAAATGTTGATGTTTGTTTCGCTTGCTCCGTTCAGGGCCGCATTTCACCCGAGTTCAGTGAATGTCCCCGCGGAAAGTGGACACTCGATTCAGGACCAGGACACGACGCAGACTACGACAAACGCATCTCAACAGCCGACTCAACTGAGCGAGGATTTCACCGCCATGAAAGCAGACATGGTTAGTACCTGGGTGTGTCTAGCACGTCCACTGCTTACAAATTGTTGACTTGTCATGACTTGTGATTCATGACAATGAACTCGACTGCAATGCTGAAATCTGAAACCTAACCACCTAGGCCTTTTTGGCTAGGAACCATCCTGAATCCTTCAAAATTGCCATTGTGTGAAAATTGGATTCATCCTCAATCCTCACAAATCATCCGTTATTTCTTGAGTTTGTTCAGTGGAGGGGTGACCACTGCCTCAATCTTTCGAAGTGTTCCAACGGTAACTGTAATGGGTCGAGGCAGTGCAAATGATATCCAGAAGCAGTTAGGATAATTTAAAGTATAATATAGGCCTAAAGTTATGCTTTGCTAAGCGAAAACAACACACGGTGCAGCCTTAGACCGCAACATAATGGGTCCTTGGAAAAAGCAACTCATGGGCAACCCTAACGCTCCTCAATCCTCCAAAAGCAACCGGGCAATTTTGGACGATTGACACTGTATCCAGTTTTAACATGGCGGCAATCACAGGATTTTATTTCCTAGCTAAAATTTGCTTAAAGCTACAGTCCATCATTTGTAATTTGTGCATTTTGTTCGTTCGAAGCAACAAGAGAGTTCAAAATCTAATAAAGGATACTGAGCAACTAACCTAATGAGGTTTCAGCTAAGCTTCAGCTGTACATTCCGAGAAAAACAACATTCTTAGATCTCAATTTCAAATCAAAAGTTACTGAATCATGTTTTGAATTGTTTTGAATTGCAGCTATACGCGACGTTGCGCACTGATCCGACGAATTACACGGTGCTTCTTAAGAATCACCGTTGGAAATGCCTTCTTTCGTTGATTACTTCAAAATGACAGCTTCCCAGAAAGAATAACTTCACAGGGAGTTTAGTTCCCTTACTATCTTTCAAGCAAGTTTGTTTTTCAACAATAATTACGCCAGTTACTTTTCGGAAGGCTGCAAATGATGGACTCTAGCTTTAAGCAGTTGGAGGGTATTACAGCTGTAAATATAAGAAAATGTCCCATTTATAAATGAAAATAAGAAAGAGAAGCAACCTTTTGAATTCTTTGTCCCATGCCAGCCTCAGGCCAGCCAGACGGACTCTGCCTCCCAGGCCCAGCAGGTCAAGCGGGCAGGCGGCAGAATGACCAACCAGCTACAGTACCTACAGAAGACTGTCATGAAAGCCCTCTGGAAGCACCAGTTTGCCTGGCCGTTCCACGTGCCGGTCGATCCCACGAAGCTCAGCTTGCCGGTAAGACCATTTTCTCCTTGCTCAACACCCCTTCCCCCACCCTGAGTAACTGCTGGACGAGAATTTCAGCATTATGAAACGAAGCGCAATGTCTTATGGCCTTGCCCATTATCCCTGCCAGTGTCTGAACAGTCACAGACAGTCAAAAAATCAATCCTCTTCCCCTGCTGTGCCTCTCACCAACAGTCATCATATGTGATCCCGCTCCACAAAAATGAGTCTGTTGTGGCAAAACTGAAATTTTGAGTTAACTACATTAATAAAATGGGAATGAAGTAAGCTTTCATTTCAAGCAAGCGCTGTGACTAGTCAAATTCAGTCGACCAACCATGAACAGGCAAGTGGTAGGCACAGCTGGCTTTGTCAATCACCTACAGTCAAAGCATAGCTGCATCAAGTTACATAAACCGTCACAGCCAGTCAATCTTGCTTTATGTAACTGGGAGTTCTTAACAGTTGAAAACAGTCACTTGACATATTTTGACTGAAAGGGCAGTCTTGCACAGAATGTATGTTTGCGTAGGAGGGTTAAAAGATTCAACGACTAGAGTTATTCTGTGATTTTTTTCCGCGCAAGTCCTCGGACAACATTGAGTACACAGTATTCATAAAATATGTCAGTGAAGGGCAAAAACTCCAATACTTGACCTTGTCCCCTTCAGCACTTTTACTAGAAAGTATCCTGAATCCGCCAAAATGCACCAAATTTGTCATGCGGAAAAATGTTGGTGTCCTGAGTACACACCAAACACTTAGCCAAGGATTGAGATCCTGAATCCATCAAAGTCCCTCAACTGCTCAATGTGGAGGTATCCTGAATCCATCAAAATCCTGCAGTACCGCTAGGCTTACTGTCCTGAATCCATCAAAATCCCCCAACTTTTCAATATGGAGGTATCCTGAATCAGCCAAAATCCTCCAAAACAGGGGTGTGGATTTTGATGGATTCACGTACGTTAGGGTTAAATTGCATCTCCCAACAAAAAAAAATCTTTTTAACAACCCCATCTCTGATTGGGAACCCTTTGAATCTGTTGTCTCGTTAGGATTACTTCAAGATCATCAAGCATCCCATGGACCTGGGTACGATCAAGAAGAAACTGGAGAGCAATAGCTACTACAGCGCTAAGGATTGCATCTCAGACTTCAACCTGATGTTCACCAACTGCTACGTCTACAACAAGCCTGGAGAGGTGAGTGTGTGGCATAAAGTAGCGTCCTTGCCTTCTGAAACTTGGCACTTGGTTATTTCTGATTTGGTAGTGAAAGGTAGCGTCCATCATTTGTAATTGGTGCATTATGTTCCTTTGAAGCAACAAAAGTGCTCAAAATCTAAAGGAGGGTGCTGAGCAAATAACCTGATGAAGTTTCAGCTCAGTGAATGCTGTATATTCCGAGAAAACAATATTCTAGGATTTCGATTTCAAATCAAAAGTTACTGAGTCATGTTTTGAAATCAGCCTGAATTCGGCATCTGAGACACGTTCTCACTAAGCTGATTGCAGCTACGCGATGTCGCGCACTAAACAAATGAATTATAGCAACTGCGCGCGTGTGCTTCGTGTCAACGCTCGTGCGCGCTTCGCCGCATAAAAAAAAGAAAACGAACTAACAGAAATTTCCAATGATGCGTCTTTAGACGCATCGTTGGAAAGGCTTTCTTTCATTGATTTCTTCAAAACGACAGCTTGCCAGAAAGAATAATTTCACAGGGAGTTTATTCCCATTACTATCTTTAAACCAAGTATGTTTTTCAACAATATTTACGTCAGTTTTTGGATAGCTGCAAATGATGGACTGTACCTTTAATAAACTATTCATTTTGCGATACTTAGTTTCTGCTTTTCTGTGATGATGTCATAACCTTACCTACTCTGCCATTACAAGATGATGCAAACATACCATCAAATCTGAGAAAAGCATACATTTAATCAGATAGCGTGTTAAAAAAGTAGAGCAAAGAAATTGACTGGAGCGGGGTTTGAACCTGCGACCTCCGGATTGCCGATCTGGTGCTGTACCAACTGAGCTATCCAGCCCTAGGTTGGCGGTTCCCCAATCGGACAATATCTTTGCTCAAGGGGTGCTATCAAGAAGCCACCTCTGACTTCTGAACCGTTAAAGCTATAGTCCATCATTTGTAATTAGTGCATTTTGTTCGTTTGAAGCAACAAAAGTGTTCAAAATCCAATAAAGGATACTGAGCAACTAACCTGATGAAGTTTCAGCTAAGCTTCAGCTGTACATTCCGAGAAAAACAGCATTCTAAGATCTCAATTTCAAATCAAAAGTTACTGAATCATGTTTTGAATTGCAGCCATACGCGACGTCGTGCACTGATCCGACGAATTACAACAACCGCGCGCGCATGTGCGTCGTTCCAATACTTGTGCGCGCTGCGCTGAATAACAAAACGAACTACTAATTTAAATTTTCCTACGGTGCTTCTTAAGAATCACCGTTGGAAATGCCTTCTTTCGTTGATTACTTCAAAATGACAGCTTCCCAGAAAGAATAATTTCACAGGGAGTTTAGTTCCCTTACTATCTTTCAACCAAGTTTGTTTTTCAACAATAATTACGCCAGTTACTTTTCGGATGGCTGCAAATGATGGACTATAGCTTTAAAAAAACAGTCTATTGATTGATTTTGACTGCTGTGATGGCGCAGCGTTATTTGCCAGCCAGAGAGGGATGGTTTTTAAGCCTCTCTTTGTTGTTCCCGTCGACAGGATGTTGTACTGATGGGCCAGGCCTTGGAGAAGCTCTTCCTAACCAAAGTGGCCCAGATGCCTCAAGAGGAGGTAGAGCTGCCGCCCCCGAGCAAGCCGGGGGCCGGAGACGACGCTGCGGCGGGGGGAAAGAAAGGCAAACGGGGGCGCGGCAGAGGTGCACCTCCAAGTGAGTCTCAAGTTAACCCTTTCCTTACCATGGGCGACTTTTGTCGACCAGAAGTACCCCCCTGCTGGTTCCCATGGGCGACTTTAGTCGACCAGGAAACCACACACAAAACACCCTCAATACAGATATATTCACTACTTTTCAGAAAGGTGGCATGTTGATATGTTTGGCCGCCCATACATCAACCACATACCATCTGAAAGAGTGTTTTCGGATCGTCCTAATGGTGTAGTTTATTCATAGTGTTACAAAATTGAGAAAAGTGCTTTAGAAGTATCTGAACACAATTTGAGGTATGGAGTGCCATCCGGTAATGTGGTGAAATGGCTTGCAATTTGATAAATGGGATCAAACGAACAAGAAAGCATAACTTTCGCATATCTGCACATATGGACTTCATATTAACATCACATAAAAGAGTAAGCTTCATGGAACAATCTTTACACACAACACCTATGATTTAAATCACTCTATGGCAGTGAAAATCTGGATTGAAAAAAGTGAGTTTTGGACTTGTGGTCATTTTGTTCACACTCTAGTGATTTCCGCATGACTGAGCAAACAATTTGGTCCTGGGGAGAGCCAAGTCAATAAACAATGTGGTAATGAAAGGGTTAATAGTATTTATTGGTTGGTAATGAAACCAAGGATTCCTTACAACAAAAAGATCACACTGCTGTAGCTTAAAAGCCTGAAGAACTATCGACAAATACCAAAATGTGCGCCTCGTCTTTAAGAATTGACACCACCTAATTCTGGTCTCCAGATTCCACTGTAGAGCAGGGTTCCCATCCTGCTTGGAAATCAGGGGAAAGTTTGAATATGAGTTTCCGTATTTCCAGTCTGGGAAAACTCGGGGGGTTTGAAAAGGAAAGGTTTTTCGCCAGTTTGGCGAATGTGCCTCTTGTGCTGTGTGTCCAAGTGCCATTGACTGAGTGGATGGATGGCTGTAAGGGGGAAGGGAGGTTATCGTTTGTCATCACGCTGCTTGAGTTATATCAATGTTTTCGTTGGTTTCCTGCGACCAAATCTTTAGCTTGGTTATTAAAGTGTGAATATTTCTCAAGGAATGTTGGAAATTGCTCAGGGAAATATCAGGTGGAAAACTCCCGAATTTTGTTCTCTTAACCCTAACCCCCTAGGCCCTTGTTGCTTACAACCATCCTCAATCCTCCAAAATTTTGCAACTCCGCCTAAATTTTTCAAAAATGTCAGACAGTCCTGCCTCAAAATGCATTCATCCTCAATCCTCCAAAATCCTCCTCATCCCAAAACTTTGCACTCGTGTTTAAATGAAGGATAACCAACGCCAAATCCTTCAAAATCATCAGACAGTCCTGCCTCAAAATGCATTCATCCTCAATCCTCCAAAATCCTCTTGTGCTTCAATCACCATTCATCCTCAATCCTCCAAAATCCTCATGTGCTTCAATCACCATTCATCCTCAATCCTCCAGAATCCTCATTTGATTCAATCACCATTCATCCTCAATCCTCTAGAATCCTCCAAAACCGCCAGGAGGATTTTGGAGGAGTGAGGTGGGTTAGGGTTAAAGTGCTGGGAATCCTGGCTTTAATCGTTCTCTAAATGTTCGCCTCACAGGAGCAGCGGCAGCTGCCGCAGCAGCGGCCGTCACCCCCTCCGCCCATCTTGCCGAGAACAACCACACCCCAGCCCCGACGCCGACGAAGAGACAAACGCCCCCCGTTACCCGGCCGGCGGCCCCTACCTCAAGACCGACCCCCAACACCAGGCCGACGCCCAACACCAGGCCCACGCCGGCGCGGCCGGCCCCGCCGGCTATCCCTGCCCAGCAGCAGGCACCTGCTGTAGAGGTCGTATTACCACCCCCTCCTGTCCATCCCAGCGGCAAGGGACAGATGTCGTCGCCGCCTCCAGGAGTCTCCAAAGTAAGACGCTTAAAGGGAAAATACAACATTTGCAAACATCAAAAAATAAAACTACCAAATCATTTTGAAATATCTTTCTGGACTGTTAGTGAATGACAGTGTAAAGCATCCTGTAAAATCATGGCACCTCGTATACTGTCATTTTCAAGAAAAGTGGTATTTTTGTATCAATTTCCAACGCTGGTCGGCCGACCAGCGTTGGAAAAAAACTGGCTTTTTTTCAAATACTGGCCCCAATTGACCATCGCACTTGTTTGCAATCGATTACACACCTATGAACGGGTACAAGCCAGCTAGACTGGTTCCCTGACCTTACAATTCCCCAATGTATGTAAACTGCTCTGTTTCTTCTTATATGGAGTCAGGGAACCAGACTACAGGAAAATGATTGTTTTTCTTGGTTTTTAAAGCATTTTCGAACCCAAAACCTCAAAAAGGTCGGTGTAACTATAATTGCTATATATTTCCAACCACCCAATTCCATCCATTTCTGAAAATTACAGCAAAAGCGAATGATGTATATTCCCTTTAAAACCCTAACCCGAATCAGGGTCTTTTGTCTAAAAACCATAACCAACACAACAACGTGCAACAGTTGTGATAGGTTTGCTAAGCCTAACGAGATACAACTCGTCCAACATTTCAAGCTGCCTCAGAGTCTGGGTTGCCAGCTTTAGGTGTTGCCACAGTTTCTAGTATTAGGTAGCGTTAATGCCAGCCTTTTCAGATTAGCCTCATTTTTAAATTCATTTTTGTTCTTGATTTGAATAGGCACAGTCTCGTATTGTTTTACATAGGGCTTTATGTCCAGATGTAATCGGAAAAACAAAAGGTTTTGTGTTTCTGTATGAAGTTGAATTGGAATAGTAAAGGTGCCTCAGCAATTTTAACCGAAAAAAACAAAAATGCTTTGATGACTTTCGACTAAGAGGACAAAAAAACGGACCTCATGGGCATGGGCCTTAGTCCCCTCAGGACGATGATATAAACCCTTTTCACATGAGGTAAAAGGAATACTGTCCGTGGTATAATGACAACTGCACTTTTCCTGGTTTGCTAGTTGACTCGGCTGTGGACTGGACATCTAAAAACAAATGCTTGAAGATTAACACATACAATCATTATTAAATTAGTAACCTGCATTTAGTCATTTAGGATATGGTTTTGTTTTTGATTTGTTTTACTAGTTTTTGTTTTGGTGTTATTTTTGTCCGTTTGCTCTTATTAAGTCACAAGTCGTACACCTTGAGGTATATAAATTCAGTTTACTATGTTATGTGATGGATTTTAGTGAGCGGAATGTAATGGGTTTGAGTATGTCCCCAGGAATCTTGTTCAAACCTCGTGTTGTTAGCTCTCAGACAGACCCCAGTAGACGGTGCATATTAAAATCATATCTGGAAGACAAAAATTAAAGTATTGTCTCAACAATTCACTCGCTCTCAACCTCTCCAGGTCAGAAAAGGCGTGAAGCGGAAAGCCGACACCACCACCCCCAGCACCACCCCGGGTCCCCCGAGCGTCCTGCTCAACTCCTTCTCCCAGCTGGACGGCCCCAAGCCCAACAAGATTGCCACGCGACGGGAGAGCGGCCGGCAGATCAAGCCCCCCAAGCGGGAACTGCCCGACGAGGAGGCGCAACACCAGAGGGGCAAGAAGTCCAAACTCTCCGTCCAGCTACGGCACTGCCATGGCATCTTGAAGGAGATGCTCTCCAAGAAACATGCTGTGAGTCTTGCCGCTAAATTTCTTTCAATCAAATATGATAAATGAGTCGTAGAGTTTGCATGGTGCACATTATCAGTTGATGGGAGGTTTGCGGTAACACCATGTGAATGATCTCTCTTAGTGAGTTGTGTGGTTCTGAGAAGTACCTGTTGGTTTAACTCGATTACGAACAGTATGCTCTGCTCGTCATGAGCAGAGCATACTGTTTGAAACGTCGAATTAACCAACTGGTTCTTCTCAGAACCACACAACTCACTAAGAGAGATCACTCACATAGTGCTACTGCGAACCTCCCATTAAACCCCCTGCTGTTTAAAAGGTCACAAACGGTGTAAGTTTCCTTCCACTTCCCCTGCTATACTTTTAACACACCAATGGTCACTTGACCGATTTCGACCCAATTAACCCTTACTCTCTGAGGGTAGTTTACTGCATGTCAGTTGGTTATGCCAATGCCCTCCAGCTGCAGTTTATTGGCAGATAGTTTCATTTAACAGTGAAGGCTCCAATTGGCAGGAGTTGGAGGCCCTGGAGGGTGCCTGATACTGACCAGCTGGGGCACTCACTTTGTTATCAGAGGACTCTCATTGTTCTCTGTGGCATGTATTGGAGTGCCTGTCCAGTTACCCTTGAAATGACATGGCAGATATTGGAGGGCCATGCAAAAAACATAGGAGATTTTCTTGAGGCACATATTGGCATGCGTTGGAGGGTCTAGTAGGGTAAGGGTTAATGTGCATTAATGTTGTGCATTGGGTTGGGTGTACCATGCCAAACTGACCTTAAACATCATAAATATAAACCGAAACTGATCTAAACTTCCCAAATTAGACCCGACCCAACAAATTCAAGGAAAAATCAACCGAACCGACACGGTAAAAAAAGCCTGAATATCTGGCTTGGGAAACTGTGTCTGTTTTTTGTGCCTGAACTTACCCGCGTCGGGGGGAAATCATCGTCTCCCACTACAGAAAACAAAAAATATTAATTTGACCAAGAAAAAAAACGGACCTCATGGGCATGGGCCTTAGTCCCCTCAGGACGATGATAGAAACCCTTTTCACATGAGGTAAAAGGAATACTGTCCGTGGTGTAATGACAACTGCACTTTTCCTGGGTTGCTAGTTGACTTGGCTGTGGACTGGACATCTAAAACAAATGTTTGTTGATTAACGCATGCAATTTCGTTGAAAAATCACTCCACTTCACACTTGAAGCTGTGTCTGTGCCCTTATCAATTTTGAACGATTTTTTTCTGAGTATGACTGAAATGATGGAAAAACTTGACCCCGAACCGAAGTCGATTTCGGGCCGAGTTTTCACATCACTATGCATTATGTAAGGGCCTTTTCACACTGTTGTCTTGCCTATCCATGTTGAAATCAACGTGGGTCCACTGTAAACAAAAGTGTCACATTCTCACTTCTCCGGCATGCTAGCTTCTGCGGGCAGATTCAGGGGATAATTGAGCACGTTACAATGCACATTACTGTGCGTGATACTTAGCTTGGTATCAAAAAGCGCTTTGATCCTTTTGGGAGATTCCTGCAGGGGAGCGGCCTTCAGAGAGATGTAAAATTAAACGTCCCCTCTTTTTCTTTTCTGAAGCGAGTCTCTCTGTCCGTGTCATTTCTGCTGCCGACGACTTACAAGCAATCAAAAGCACAACATACACCACTAGCCTTTACTAAGGGACCGTGACCATTCAGCCCTGGTATGAAAAGGGCCCCCCGGTACCTCGTCCGGTCCAGAGCCAGTCCGGTCTTCAGCCCAGTCTCGTCCGGTACATGGTCCTGTCTGACCAGAGGTTTTGAAGTCAGTCAGGCGCATCAATTTATTGCCCTTCAGAGAACGGCCAGAGCAGAACAATAGCAGATTTACCGGATTAAAGATAAAATCCTCCCAAACGCCTTGGTAATTTACGGTCCCATTGTGCGCGAAACCGCATGGCAGGGGTTTTGATCTGTGCCGACGAAAGTGTTCTATTGTTTCGCGCTGAGAGATGAAAACCACAAGCAGGTTTCTTGTGGTATATATTTCATGTGTCAATACTTGCAAACAATAGACCCCAGGGTAAAAGGAGTTCCTGATTAGCAACCGGACCAGCTCCTGGGCCGGTAGCTGGGACGGTACGAAAGGACTTCTTGGGAGGGGACGAGCTTACCGGGGGGCCCTTTTCATACCGGGGCTGAATGGTCACGGGCCCTAAATGTGTAGGCAACTACAAGCGTCCTGCTGGCACGGCCAAAGTCTGGATTCGACTGGGACCATGTGGCGTGTACATATAGATATCCTATACTCTTACGCATACCAGTACTTACCCTAAAAACTCGGCACACAAATAAAGCTGGCGAAAATGTACACTACTGCGCAATTTTCGCGCATGTGTGTTGATGCGAAATTTCCCTCTCGGAGAAGATAGAACGCCTGAGAAGTGAGACTGGGACACTGGATCTCGTCGAACCGGGTAGCAAAGACATAACCATTCACACCTAACCAAGTTGTACACGGGTCGGCTGTAGATTTGGGATCTTCGACCCGGGTAGAGCCTCTCAACTGACCAGGGTCGGATCACACCGGTGTAGAGCGTCGGACCCGCGAAGAAGCCGTGTCGGATTCTTGCTGGTGTAAACGGGATTCCCAAATATCTGTGTTGGACCTAGCCTTGGTCAATGCTCTCGTCGTTATTCGTCCCGTACGCGGTCAATCGTCGGCATATATCCTCACGCGCTATGCACATGCATGTAAAAATACAGCGTGAACAGCGACCTCATGCGGCCACTATTTTTTATGCAAATCAGTTGGAGACGATGTCGAGCCTTGGATCAATCGTCGGCCAAAGCTTATGTTTTTCTTTACTTTGCGCTAGATTTCCAGCGCACGACCTCGTATGCGAATACAGATAATGTAGGCGGGGCTAATATGTGGAGTGTCCAATCACACCTTGGTAAATCCGGCCGTCATCAAATTATTTGCAGCTATTCTGCCTTTTGCGGACGTGACAGGAACCACAGTTTTTGTGCATTGGTGCCGTGTGCAGAGACACACAATGTGTTCGTGTATGGATTATGTACGGTGCCACGTTTCACTATGCAAGTTTCCACGCAACGATCGACCAATAAGAAAACGACATTTAAGGTCAGCTAAGGCTATTAACATAATGAGCACCACCCCCAAAACCTCACATGGACGATTGAACCAAGGCTCGACATCGTCTCCAACTGATTTGCATAAAAATAGTTTAGGTCGCCGCGTGAGGTCGCTGTTCGCGCTGTATTTTTACATGCATGTGCATAGCGCGTGAGGATATATGCCGACGATTGACCGCGTACGGGACGAATAACGACGAGAGCATTGACCAAGGCTATGTTGGACCCGGATCCAAAACATTGTCGACTTGACAAAAGCTTGAACTAATTCCGACTCTTTAATTGGACTGATATTTCAGATGTATGCCTGGCCATTCTTCAAACCCGTCGACGCTGATGTGCTGGGCTTACACGACTACCACGACATCATCAAACACCCTATGGACCTGGGGACAATAAAGGTCAGTCTTTGTAATGTTATAATCCGACAATAACTAAATCCTTTGTACAAATTTTTTTTTTCCATTCCTTTTTGTCAGAAGAGTTTATGGTTGGAATAGTGTTATTTTTGGTGGGAATTCTGAACGATAATCCTCACAGGCATTTTGGGCATGTCTTGTGGTGTCGACGAACATTCATTTTGGACAATTCACTAATGTGCATAATAAAAGTTATAATCATGAAGTGGATTTTAATTAACTCTGAAACGTAACAATTACTTATAACAGTGATTTAAACAAGAAAGAATTCGTCCAACTTTCTGGGTTTTTTTTTTTTTTTTGCTGTAGTAGAAATCAGTTTGAAATACTGAGAATTAGGCCAAAAAAACAAAGTCTCCGGTTTCTGGTATGCGTGCGCGTCGCCGTAGCCATGCGCGTCGGCAAAATGAAAAAGTTTTTTTTTTCAATGAAAGATGATGTCTCAAAACCGCCAAACTCACTGATTTGACTGGAATCCTGCTGCTGCACAATTTTAACGTGCTTTTAGATTGGGTTGTGGTCGAGAATAAGCTTTATGTGGCCTCTCTGGACTCCCATATATTTGCACTAAGTTTAGTCGGGCACCATTTGCAGTCATCAGCCGACATTTGAAGCAAAAAAAATCAGGTAAAAAAAAAAAAAAAGCCGCGTCGCCGCACCACTTTTTGGGCAAGCTCCATACCAGAAACCGGAGACTTTTTTTTTGTGGCCTTATGCATACGTTTTGTTTTCTCTGTTTTATCAAAATGTATGGTATACACTGAGCTGAAACTTCAAGTTTGTTACGCACACTTCTAAAGATTTGGGAGCAACTTTGTAGCTTCAATAAAAGAAAATGCACAAAAAGAGCGAACTTACCTATGTACCTTTAATATAGTAGATGAAATGTAGAAGGGGTATAAAGCAGATTTTCTTGTTGGAAGAAAGTTCTTTCACATGGTTTATACCGATTTTACCTCCTCGCTTTCAGGATAAGTTAGAAAATCGAAGTTACAAAAACGCCAACGAGTTTGCTGCCGACATGCGGATGATGTTCACAAATTGCTACAAGTACAACCCACCAGACCACGACGTCGTCAACATGGCCAGGAAACTGCAGGTATGCAGGAGAATTTTATTTTTTGAGGGGTAGGGGGAGACCAGGGAAAGTTGTAAAATCTCTGAAACAAACTTGGCCAGCAAGGATACTATGACTTGCCCGGCCACAAATTTAGCTGTGCAGAAATTTATTTTGGGGTTTGCGAATTGAGCGAAGATTTGCAGTTCTGGGCCGTGATACTTTTGAGATTTGTTATGCGTTTTGTCATTGTCTTGTCACTGGAACTTTTATCATGTGACTGATCATGTGACCTACGCGACCTACGCTGCATGTGAACTGGTGGGTCAAAACTGTTCTTTAATCTGGGCATTTCTGCTGGGATGTAATATCCATTCTGCAAAATCCTTCAACTGCCTTCATGTAAGAATAGCATACAGCCCCAATCCTCCAAAATCCTCCTTTATTTCTTAAACGTGGTCCTTGGAGGGGTGACCACTGCCTCAATCTTGCAAAACCCTCCAGGAATCACTGTCACAATGTTGAGGCAGAGCCAGTGACATCCAGGAGCAGTGTGGAGGATTTCAAGTATAATCTAGGCCTAAATCGATGCACGGCTGAGCATAAACAACACAAGGTCCGGCCTAAGACCTTGACACAGTGCATCCTCCGAAATCAGCAACATTCTTTGCCATATAGCCTGAATTCTGCAAACTGCTCCATTTTGCAAAGATGGGTTAAGAGGCTTTAAGAAGGCTAGGGTTTATACCGACATTTGTGGGTAGATAGTAAAGTAAACATCGACAGTCCCTGTGCCCGTCCCAGCTCGCAACCATGCTGTGGTTATGGTACTTAATAATGTGTGGTTAAGTTGCCATATAGTGATCTGGTACCTCTTTGGCAAGGGCCTCTAGTTCTCAGTGAGAGTTGCCTTGAATCACAGGAGGTTAGAGAAAAAGCCCAAGTCTCCGTATTAATCCCAACCTGTCTCCAATACGTGGAGCTGGTTGTTTCATATCAGAGACACACTTGACTGCCTTTAGAATGAACCAATTCGGTAATCCCCACTGCCCTCCTCTCCCCCCCCCCCCCCCCCCCCCCATACATGTAACTTACGAAGATTTCAAACTGGCAATTTAGAGTTGTGAAAAAAAACCGGAACACATTCTTGAGGATTTGATTCAAGCACACAAGGCTTCCGAAATTTGAAACATTTGGGAGGGATCCTATTTTATTGCATGTATTTTGTGTTCTGACTGGGCCTATCCAATCAAGGGCAATGAATGAGTACTTTGAAGAAGAAAAAAACATTACAATTTAAAACATGCTGAAAATTTTGCCAATTGACAACTGTTATAAGATTAAAAATGTTGACCTCAACTTCCGTTCAGTTGATCACGCTGATAACAATTGGGTAAATTCAAACACGGGGGGTCTGTGACTAGACTAGTCGGTGTTTGGCACCAAGACGGGAAAGAATGTAGTATCCAGACGCCACTTTTTTTGGTTGTGTATGAAGTTTATGGAGAGTATAGTGCATTTTCAAATTATTTTCTAACAAAATTGAAAATGTTTCTCGGTCCAGAATTCATGCCTTTTCAACATTTTTTGCAAAAACTGACCTTCATTGAGATAATATGTGACCCGCTCTGCAAAAATGAGTCTGTTGTGGCAAAACTGACATTTTGAGTTAACTACATTAATAAAATGGGAATGAAATAAGCTTTCATTTGGTATATCACGGACCTCTCTGGGATATTTGGTTGCATTGTTGTGCTTGTTTCATTCTGTAAAGTTTTTGCAAAGCTAGAAGTGTCTCAATGGAGAAAAAAGGCTTTGAAAAATGACAAATACACTGTAACTAACCAAGAAAAGCACCAAAGATTCATAATTTTTTCCTTTTTCTTACAATATTTACATTTCTGTGTAAGATATTTAAACTAAAACTATCAAACAACCAAAATAAAACAAAAACAAAAAATCCAAATTTTGAGCAAATTTTTACTGTTTCCATTTCAAAATGGCAAAAGCTCGAATTCAAATTATGCGACATCAGACTCATTTTTGCAGAGCGGGTCACATATATGATGGAAAAAGTGGTGTCAGGATGCAACATTATTTCCAGAAGACGCTCACATAAACGTGGGCTGGTGAGATACTTGCATGTTCTGTACTTCAACACTCAATTCCCCTCTTGCGCAGGACGTGTTTGAGGTACGGTTCGCCAAGATGCCCGACGAGCCGGTGACCGCCGACGAAGACAACGAGGACGACGACACAAAAGACAGCGACGCGAGCAGTCACCCCACGTCCCCGTCGTCATGTTCCGATGACGACAGCGAAGCGGAAAGGGAGACCCAGTTAACCAAGCTGCAGGCTCAGGTAGGTCAAAAGTCATTTCTGGATCAATTGATCTTATACATGAACAAGCGAGGGCGGTATACTGACACCACTGTGTGTGTACCGTTGCGTTTTTACGAACTTGAATTCCGTACCATTTTGATGATGACATGATGATAACCTTTGCGTGTCAAATGAGCCGTGAGTTCCTGCCTAGTTTTGGCTGTGTGATGCAGGACCGTGTGTCTGCATTGCCGGCATGGACCAGACACGGTACACGTCGGCCGTGACTTGTTCAAGGGGTCTGATTTTCTGCAGTGGTCATACCGCGCCCACTCACCTTCTGCTTGTATACATTTGAGTGTTTCCCATTAAAGATATAGTCCATCATTTGTAATTTGTGCATTTTGTTTCGTTTGAAGCAACAAAAGTGCTCACAATCTAAAGAAGGGTACTGAACAACTAACCTGATAAAGTTTCAGCTCAGCTTCAGCTGTATATTCTGAGAAAAACGGCATTCTAGGATCTCAATTTCAAATCCAAAGTTGCTGAATCATGTTTTGAATTGCGCCTGAATTCAGCGTCCGAGACACGTTCTCGCTGAGCCGAATGCAGCTGCGCGATGTCGCGCACTGATCTGACAAATTATAGCAACCGGGGGTGCGTGTGCGTCGTGCCAATGCTTGCGCGCGCTTTGCCGAATAACAAAACAAACTACTAATTTAAATTTTCCTACGGTGCGTCTTAAGAAGCACCGTTGGAAAGGCCTTCTTTCGTTGATTACTTCAAAATGATAGCTTGCCAGAAAGATTATTTTCACAGGGAGTTTAGTCCCCTTATTATCTTTCAACCAGTATGTTTTTCAACAATACCGTAATTTTCGGAATATAAGCCGCGCGGCGTATAAGCCGCAGCACGCAAAAATCTGCAAATTAAGATTTGAAGTCGGCGTACAAGCCGCACCGGCGTACAAGCCGCACCAACCGCAGCGGTTCAATTTTGTAAGGCCTCCAAATTCTAGTCAAAATGCTCTGAACCAGTTCCATTTACACTACGAAGGGCCACATAAGTTATGTCAAATCATTTACAGTCGATTACTCTTACAAACAAATATGGAAATTGATGATGAGAAATAAAAAACGGGAATTGCTGCCGGCGACTGACATTATTTTCCCCCAGCACTTGAGAGAGTATGCAACCATAGAGCAAGGACGCAACCCACCATGTGTTGTCTGACTGGAGCGCTACAAATCCTGCTTTGTGGCAACAGACACTGAGTTGTTTTGTCCTAAAGGATAAACAAGTCCGTTTTTTACAGCAAAACTTATCAAATTGTTGTGATTACTAACGAGTAGTAACGTCAAACATTCAAGTTTGGATCGTAACTTTCTTCGAAAACAGTCAACACGATGCTGAGATTTTTATGGACGAATCCATTAATTTTGTAAGGGGTGATTTCACCCCTGTTTTGACTTTTACATCGTTTCTTGAATACATTTTCAAGAAAAAAAATTATATTGTGACGTTGAACAACTGATTATCAAATAAAAATATGTTTCAAACTCCATAAAAAGTATTAGTTGTCTTTTTTCTTTTTTTAAACAGGGGAAATATTGGTAATTATTGTTCCCAAGAAAGTACACCCCTTTATTACCACAAATGGTGTGGTCCATGGGGAATCCATGCAGCATGCATGCAGCATATGCAGCATAGGCAGCATCACGTACGGCCGGTTGTCGATGTCCAAGGGACAGCTTTCACTAGCCGTACTTTTTACCGCTCGGTACCTTTTTGTGGGACGTGCTTTCGGTTTGTTAATGACTTTCTTAATTGATAATTATTTCAGCAACACATCTCTTCTTGTACCAGTACATTAAATACACATGTAAATGTCATTTTTATTCTTCAAGTCTCGGCGTATAAGCCGCCCTGTGTATAAGCCGCAGTAAACATTTTCATGGGCAAATTCAACGTATAAGCCGCGGCTTATATTCCGAAAATTACGGTAATTACGCCAGTTACTTTTTTGGATAGCTGCAAATGATGGACTCTGGCTTTAATGTCTGTGAAATACCTTCTAGTCAGCTATCTCAAAACAAGTTTTCTGTCTTTTTCCCCTCGTAGCTGAAATCAGTACACGAACAACTGACGGCGCTCTCCCAAGCCTCCCAGAACCGGGCCAAGAAGAAGAAAGACCACAAGAAGAAGCGGCGGAAGGACAAAGAGCCCGAGAACCACACCTCCTCGGAGAAGGACAAAGACCGGACGGGGGTGGACCTGGAGGAGAAAGAAGTCCGAGGCGAGAAGCCCTCCAAGGTAGTAGTGGTGGCAGAAATTTTAGAGGACAATGCAGAATGAAACAGGTGGTAAAAACCTTGTAAAACCTTTAGGTTAACTACAAGTTTATCGAGGTTTTACCCTGAGGTAGCCTTTAAAAACCTTGTAAAACATTGAGGTAAAGCTCGAGTTACTCGAAGTTTTACCTTGTGGTACCCCATAAAACTTTGAGGTAAACCTTGAGTTACTTAAGGTTTTACCCTGAGGTACCCATTAAAAACCTCGTAAAACATTGAGGTTAACCTCCAGTTACTCGAGGTTTTACCCTGAGGTACCCTTTAAAAACCTTGAGACAAAGGTCAAGTTACCGTCTGTTAAATTTTGCATTTTCCCCCTTACGTCGTGCTATTTTTTACAACGTGTAGTTCATGACAAAATTCCTGTCATGCTCTGTGCTTTTCTACCTCGATACATTACCTACACTAGAATGGCAGAATGCCCAAGACACTGAAACAGTGCATCCTCCAAAATCAGCCGCACAGTTTTGCCATATTGCCTCAATCCGGCAAAATCCTGCATTTTGCAAAGAGGATTTTGGTGGATTTGGGAAGGTTATGGTTAAGCTTGTGTCTCAGAAATGGAATCTTGAAAACATTTGGTTGGTTGCAAATCCAAAATCCAAACCAAATAGTGTGAATTCAAACTGAATTCCTGATTTTAATCTCGCCAATTATCCAAGGTTAAGGAAGAACCGGAGCCTAAAGTCAAGGAGGAGGTTGAGAACAAGACGACAAAGCCCAAGAGGCCTCGAGCTAAGACCAAGGCCAAGGCTGGAGGGGACAAGACGACCAAGACTACTAAGACGAAGAAGAGTTCTAGCAGGTAAATAAACACTTCATTTTTCATCCCCCTGGCTGTAACCAGGAGGGGGTTATTACGATCGCATATTCTTTCTGTGTGTCCGTGTGCGTTCCAGTTCACTGTGAGTTCGGTGATCAATCTCAACCAAACTTGAAAGGTGGCCTGTTGACATAAGGCCGACGTCAAAAAAAATCCTTTCCAATATGGATGTTTACGAGGTCTCTGGAGAGCTCAGCTCAGTATTACTAATGACTCAACATATGTTAGTGCGGTGTCTCACCCAAACTCCCCACTCAACCCAAACTCCCCATTCAACTGAGAACTGGTACCTGCCGGGTGGACAATCAAGGCCGTCACTGAAAATTATCCTTACTAACTGCCTGTACATGTATCCAAACTACCAGGATCCCAGGGGGATCGCGCAAGTTTTACTTGTAGTATTTTTTTAGTATTCTGTCAAAACCAGGGCCCAATTTCTTGGCTCTGCTTACCGTTAACCGAAAAATCCCTGCTTACTGAAGCAGAAAATTGTGTGCTTGCGGTAAGCGTATTTCACTGGTTTGCGAGGAGTTTGGGCTTCAGCGCATGCGCACATCCGGTAACTAAGGATTCTGTGCTTACTAGGTTAACACAAAATTTTTATGCTAGCCAGTTAGCACAAAGTGGTGATCGTAAGCGCGGGATTCTGTGGTTGGCAGCGCCATGAAATTGGGCCCAGACATTTCTGGGCAAAGTTTGAAGTTTGATAGTCGCCCCCAAAAAAATTGTTTCTGCACTTTTTCCCCCTTGGTTTTGTTTATGCTGGTGATCCTAAATATGTCTAAAATGTTATTTAAAAATTTCAGACCATTTTTTTGCATTGTAATTTTCATATTTTTTTTTTTCATATTTCTTTTTTCATTCGTGCAAAAAAATTAATTACACCTTTTTTTTTTGGTCGGTAGTTCAAAGAGGTCGAAAGCCATAGTTCCCAACTACGACAGTGAAGACGAAGACATGGCCAAACCGATGTCCTACGACGAAAAGCGACAGCTGAGCTTGGACATCAATAAATTACCAGGTTAGGAGGGGACGTTTTACAGTAGCAAAACTTGGGACTCGTTTCCCCGAGTTCATCGGGCATGAGATTTTTCAGACTTTTGTCTAAAACCAGACTTTCTGAATCTGAGAGAAAAACATGATCATTAGAGAAAGAATGCATCTTTCAGACCTTTCATCCAATTTTCAGACTTTTTTTGGGGGGGGGGCTTTATTTCTCTTCGTAAATGCATTTAAACTTGTGTAATGTTTAATTCCAACCAACTGTCCTCGTTTTTTTCTCTATTTGAGTGTCTGCAACCCTCTAAAAAAGGGTTTTATTTTGGGTACAAACCTATCTGCCTTGCAAGCAGACTAGTAAGGTAAATTTAATGATCATGCGGGATTTTGGATGATTCAGGGTTCTGGGTTAAGGAATGCCATATTGTGATGGGATACCTCTTTGGCAAGGGCCTCTAGTTCTCAGTGAGAGTTGCCTTGAATCACAGGAGGTTAGAGAAAAAGCCCAAGTCTCCGTATTAATCCCAACCTGTCTCCAATACGTGGAGCTGGTTGTTTCATATCAGAGACACACTTGACTGCCTTTAGAATGAACCAATTTGGTAAGCCCCTCTGCCCCCCCCCCCCCTCCCTCCCAATCCCCCGATCATAAATACAACTAACGCAGATTTCAAGCTGACAATTTAGAGTTGTCAAAAAAACAAAACAAAACGGCATCGCCGCATCAATTCCGGAACTTCGGTCTGACCAGAGACCGACTATATTTTGTTTTTGGCCTAAAATGGACTAAATTGGTAAAGGCCCCCCCAACCCTTCCCCCAATCATAAAGGTAAGAGAACATCTCAAAAAGTCGGAACACTTGCGTTAGGAGCGTGCGTTGTTGCAACTGGGAATACCAGGTAATCCAGCCTGGAAACGTTGGTCTATGCGCACGCACGCCTAGTTAGGATCGGCATGTTCCAGTTGCGAAAATTCTGGGAACACTGCACATTCCCAATTTGAAAAAGGAACGTTCCATATGAAACGGGAACGTTGCGACTTTCGAGTCGCTCCCTAACTAACAGACATTTCAAACTGGCAATCCAGAGTTTCGAGGAACCAAACAATTCTTGATGATATCAGACTTTTTTTTAATCTGAGAGAAAGACGTCAGTATAGAAAGAAACGCATCTTTCAATCCTTTCCTGCAATTTTTTGAATTTAAGATTTTATTTACGATCTCAGCCCTGGTGATCGTCATCAACCTCTCTTTGTCCTTCCCCTCCGCAGGCGACAAGCTGGGCAGAGTGGTCCACATCATCCAGTCCCGGGAGCCAGCGCTCAAGGACTCCAACCCCGACGAGATCGAGATCGACTTCGAGAACCTCAAATCCTCCACGCTGCGCGAGCTGGAAAGATACGTCATGTCCTGTTTGCGGAAAAAGCCGCGCAAGCCGTACGGTAAGTAGATGGTTCTGGCTCTCAGAATGTCTGTTAAATGGTAAGCCGTGTCCAAAAATTGCATGGCTGCGGCCGGGAATAACACGCGCACCTACGAAAGTCAACTGGCTAGCGGCTGCAGCCACTTTCCTTAGACTTGTGTGTTATTGCTGTCCCTAGCCAAAGGATTCAGAAACGGCCTTAGTTCTTGGCAATATTTATGTCTCGAACAAGAGAGGGCGCTTTCTGACCACTTTTTGAGAGCCCCGTTAACGAGACGCAATGTGTGCACGTAATAGTTCGTGCGCGTATAGCGCGAATTACGCACCACTAACTTAATTCTGAATGTGCACAGAGCCATAGCGTCTTCGCGTGAGCGTTTGCAGTTGTTGGCCATGCGTTGAATGTCTCTCCAAGTGGTCTCCCCCAAATCACTTTCTTACCGTTGAGGGGGTACTTGTACACACAGCCCATATCAGTCGTCGTCACTTGCGAAACCTAGCTTTGAATTGCTCAAATACAACAGGCACGTTTGCAAAATCATGCTTGTAATCAAACAATAACTGTTCACAAACTTGTTTTTATTGTGTGTTTTTCTTAATTTTAATTGAACTACCGAAAGGGTAGTGTGTGGCCTAGTGGTTAGGGTCCGTGACTCATGATCAGAGGGTCCGGGGTTCGAATCCAGCCGCTGGTTATTTGTGTCCTTGGGCAAGGCACTTCACCCCACTTGCCCCTCTCCACCCAGGTGTATAAATGGGTACCGGCATTAGCTGGGGAGTAACCTGCGATGGACTGGCATCCCATCCAGGGGGAGTAGAAATATTCTCAGTCGTTTCATGCTACTGAAAACCGGAGATAAACGCCGGCCTGATGAGCCACATTGGCTCGGGACAGACTTTACTACTTTTTTTTTACTGAAAGGGTAGAGGGGGGAAAAAAATAAGACAGTTAAACGAAAAGGAACAGTCAAATTTGTGTCCAGACAATATAAGTTAGAGTAGATCAATTGCAGCTTTCCAAAAAGTAAAAGACCAAATTATTGTTGAAAAGCATACGCGGTGTAAAAGATATTAATGGGACTAGACTCCCTGTTAAATTATTCCCTCTGGCATGCTGTCATTTTGAAGAAAACGTGACTCGGCAACTTTTGAATTGAAACCGAGATCCTAGAATATTCTTTTCTCAGAATCTACAGCATTCACTAAGCGAATAAAATTTCATCAGGTTAGTTGTTCAGCACCCTTCTTTAGTTTTGAGCACTTTTGTTGCTTCTAACGAAAAAAATGCACAAACTGAAAAATGATGTACTCTACCTTTAATATTGTTCTCTCCTCTTGTTTCTCTTAGCCTCCAGAAAGGCAGGGGGTAAATCAAAGGAGGAGGCAGTGAAAGAGAAGAAGCAGGAGCTGGAGAAGAGACTACAGGCAGTCAGCGGTCAACTCGGTGGCGGGTTCACAAAGAAAGCTGCCAAAAAAGGTACCAGATCCCGCACTTCGTCTTCGCTTCAGCACTTCACAGCCGTTCACGTTTCGCAAAACCACTTTTGCCCTTATAGGCTATCAGCTTTGGTCCAAAAATTGGACCACTGGTATCAAATGATTGAAAGGAGAAATGCTCAAAGCGATGTTTGGCAAGGTATGCACATCTAGAGTTGGAAAATGTGTGATAGCTTTGCAGTGTGAGCAGTGGCGTTTTTTTTTGGTGTAATCACTTTTAATTTTTTTTTTTTTTTTAAAAATGGCCGCCAATATGCTTGTTACCGGATTAATTATATGTGGTAACTAACTCTTTTTTATGCCCCGCGGCGAAGCCGAAGGGGCATACTGTTTCCGCCTTGTCCTTCCGTGGGTGGGTGGGTGGGTGGGTGGGTGGGTGGGTGGGTGGGTGGGTGGGTGGGTGGGTGGGTGGGTGGGTGGGTGGGTGGGTGGGTGGGTGGGTGGGTGGGTGGGTGGGTGGGTGGGTGGGTGGGTGGGTGGGTGGGTGGGTGGGTGGGTGGGTGGGTGGGTGGGTGGGTGGGTGGGTGTGTGTGTGTGTGTGTGTGTGTGTGTGTGTGTGTGTGTGGGTGGGTGGGTGTGTGGGTGTGTGTGTCCGGACAAATCTTGTCAGCGCGATAACTTGAGAAATACTTAACATATTAACTTCAAATTTGGTTTGTGGATTGTTCTTGGTAATCCTAAGAAGCCTTTCGCATTTGGGGCCAAAAGGCCAAAGGTCAAGTTCACAGTGGCTAAAACAATAGAAATCTTGTCAGCGCGATAACTTGAGAAATACTTAACATATGAACTTCAAATTTGGTTTGTGGATTGTTCTTAGTAATCCTAAGAAGCCTTTCGCATTTGGGGCCAAAAGGCCAAAGGTCAAGTTCACAGTGGCTAAAACAATAGAAATCTTGTCAGCGCGATAACTTGAGAAATACTTTACATGTGAACTTCAAATTTGGTTTGTGGATTGTTTTTGGCAATCCTAAGAAGCCTTTCGCATTTGGGGCCAAAAGGCCAAAGGTCAAGTTCACAGTGGCTAAAACAATAGAAATCTTGTCAGCGCGATAACTTGAGAAATACTTTACATGTGAACTTCAAATTTGGTTTGTGGATTGTTTTTGGCAATCCTAAGAAGCCTTTTGCATTTGGGGCCAAAAGGCCAAAGGTCAAGTTCACAGTGGCTAAAACAATAGAAATCTTGTCAGCGCAATAACTTGAGAAATACTTTACATGTGAACTTCAAATTTGGTTTGTGGATTGTTCTTGGCAATCCTAAGAAGCCTATTGCATTTGGGGTCAAAAGGTCAAGTGTCAAGTTCACAGTGGCTAAAACAATAGAAATCTTGTCAGCGCGATAACTTGAGAAATACTTAACATATGAACTTCAAATTTGGTTTGTGGATTGTTCTTGGTAATCCTAAGAAGCCTATTGAATTTGGGGCCAAAAGGTCAAGGGTCAAGTTCACAGTGGCTAAAACAATAGAAATCTTGTATTTATTCTGAGATTATAGGGATTAGGGATTAATTCATATAAAACCTACAGAAGACACTAATGCTGTCAATGAATGTTCCATGTGACCAAGGTACATGTAAGTTGATGTTAAAAGAGTGGTGTTATGTCATGGGAACAGTCACGGTTGCGGGGCATTTGTGTTTGTAAACACACCTGACTTGTTTTTTTCTAAAATGTTCCGCGGTAGCTCCAACAGCGACCTCTATTTCCGCACCTCCTCATTTTTTTTTTACCAAAGAGCACCAAGGAATGGGAAATTGCACCAAGGCAAATGATCAAAAGCACCAAGGCAAATTATGGAGGACACCAATGTACATGAGGACACCAAAAAAGCAAAATAGTACCCACCTTGTCTGTACAATCCAAGCTTGAAGAAAAAGAAAAAAAATCAAAAAAAAAAATAAAAAGCCGCGTGGCTGTGTCAATTCCGGAACTTTGGTCTGACCAGAGACCGAATATTTTTTTTTTTTGGCCTAACAAGCATGTTTTAGCCACCATATTTACAAAAAAAGAGATAGCACCCAAAAAGCTTATTAGCATGTTTTAGCCACCATATTTACAAAAAAAGAGATAACACCCAAATAGCTGCCACCACTGCAATGCTATCACTTATTTTCCAACTACAGGGGTGCATACCTTGACAAAAATCTTAATGAGCATTATTCCCCTCGGTTCGATACCGACCAAACCCCCAGGTTGATGGCATATTAGAGTCATTAGCACCCATGTTTCAATTTCCTTTGGGGTAATCTTCTGTGGAGTAATGATAACACTTCAAATTCCTGCACAAGTCCTTTGTTTTGTGAAAGCTATAGTCCATCATTTGTAATTAGTGCATTTTGTTCGTTTGAAGCAGCAAAAGTGTTCAAAATCTAATGAAGGATACTGAACAACTTACTTGATGAAGTTTCAGCTCAGCTTCAGCTTTATATTCCGAGAAAAACAGCATTCTAGGATCTCAATTTCAAATCAAAAGTTGCTAAATCATGTTTCGAATTGTTTTGAATTGCAGCTTTACGCGATGTCGCGCACTGATCCGACGAATTAAGGCAACCGTGCGCGCCTGTGCGTCGTTCCAATGCTTGCGCGCGCTTCGCCGAATAACAAAATGAACTACTAATTTAAATTTTCCTACGGTGCTTCTTAAGACGCACCGTTGGAAATGCCTTCTTTCGTTGATTTCTTCAAAATGAGAGCTTGCCAGAAAGGATAATTTCACAAGGAGTTTAGTCCCCTTACTATCTTTCAACCAGTATGTTTATCAACAATAATTACGCCAGTTACTTTTTTGGATAGCTGCAAATGATGGACTCGGGCTTTAAAGGGTTTTACATATTACTCTGAATATTGACCTCTCAGCAGGAGGGTAAAGTTAATGATCATGTAGGATTTTGGAGGATTCAGGGTTCTGGGCTAAGGAATGCCATATTGTGATCGTTATACCTCTTTGGCAAGGGCCTCTAGTTCTCAGTGAGAGTTGCCTTGAATCACAGGAGGTTAGAGAAAAAGCCCAAGTCTCCGTATTAATCCCAACCTGTCTCCAATACGTGGAGCTGGTTGTTTCATATCAGAGATACACTTGACTGCCTATAAAATGGACCAAATTGCTAAGCTCCTTGAGTCACTCCTAACAGGGTTCGATCGTATGACGTCAAAGTACCACTTGACCATCCGGTCTCCCCGTGATCGGTCACCATTGCAGTAGGCAAGCGTTTGGTTAGCAAGCACGTTGTGCATTGTAAACTAGATGGTAGGGCTTATTTTCATGTAAGGTAACCGCAAACTCTTCATGAAAATGGCATAATGGTCACCACCTGTGCTGTGTGCAGTTGTCGTAATCACGGCTTTGACGGCTCACCTACTGGGGCACTTTGCCTACTACAATGGCGACGCTGACATTCATTATCAGGACCCAATTTCACAGAGCTGCTTAACAGTTCGCAGAAAAGTTGTGCTTAGCATCGCAGAAAAATGTGCTAACCTTAAGCACTATTTCACGGCGTGGATGTGCTAACGGTCGCGCGTGCATGGAGAATTGGAGATTTCTATTGATTATCGCCAAGTTAGAGCAGATTTTTCCTCTGAAGTAAGCGTGCCTTTTGCTGTGCTAATGCTAACGGTCTCCATGAAATAGATGGAGGCTCTGTGATCAGAAAATCAAGTGCTTAGCAGCGCCGTGAAATTGGGCCCTGGATGGAGGGCTGGTATGGGTCACTCTGGAACACTAGTCTGTAATAAACATTTACTGTAAGTCGATCACATCTCTTGACGTGTATATTTTATTGTCCTCAACAGCTCAGCAAGACGCCCTGGACGCCCTCGACGTCGGCGGCAATCGTCTCAGCGCCAGCAGCAGCAGTTCCTCGGGCAGCGACAGCAGCAGTAGCAGCAGCTCCAGCTCCAACTCATCCGACAGCAGTGACTCCGAGTCAGGTAGCTAGACTCACGACTAAATTAAAACATAAACAAAAATAAAACCTCTAAAGTCATGCAGTGGCTATCGTGGGGGTTCCGCACCAAAAATCTATGGGACTCGCATAGAGAGAGCCAAGAAACTAGACTAGTCCAACGGAAACCCCAAAACCTCAATGACGGATATTATTTATACTCAGTCAAGGAGTCAGTAACTATGTCAATCAGTGACTGAAAAGGTTTTGATGACCATAGGCTTGCCTTTGAGTGGAGCAATTGCCAATTATGTTAAAGCTTGTCAGGGCCATGGCTAAATTTGTTTTAGACCAGTGGAGATCCTAGCCCAAAGACCAAAAAAAATCTTGGTTTTTAATTGTAATAAATAAGCGGCGTGGACCTCCGGTAATTTTTTACAGTGGCTTGACTAGCTCCCAGACCAATGTTCTTGAAACTGAAATGGCTCTGGAGTCGGGAGCGCTGCACGGTAACACACAGCGACCGTTGGAAAACTGGTGTGCAAAGAATGAATAGATGTTTTTCACTGGCTGACGTACTCCCGCTTGCGCCTGTAGGCTGGCTCCTGGGTCTCGGTGTTTTGAGAGAGTAGTGATCCAGGACCGTTCTCACTAGGAACTAGACAAAGATGGCCACTGCACGATCGAGGTCTGTAGGTAGTGTTTACATACACAGTGGAATAGTGACGGACATCTGGCCTGTTATTGTCTTTAGCTGAAGGACAACGAGATATTGATCAAGTGATCTAACAGACACATTCATGCGGTTTCAAAACTGAACATTTCAAAATAAGAAAAAAAAAACTTTTGTGTAACGTAATCATTTCAGTACAAACAATTTACAACGGGGCAGGCCACACAATAGCCACAGATGCCCAAATTTGCCTTCACTGTCAAAAAAAAAAATGTTTCACTGTGTATCGGACTTTAGTGACTAGCTTTCCGTGGGGTGAAGAATACTTTTGTAAGGAAAATATAAACCGACCAGGATTACAGTGAGTTTGGTGTGGCATCCTAACGTGAGAATTTCGGATGTCTCCAGGGCCGAGTTGTAAAACCCTTAACCCTAACTCCCTAGGGTGATTTACTAGGAACCTTCCTCGTCCTTGCAAATCCCAACACCATACGGGAAACTTCGCACATAAACGGTTGGACTCTGTTTATTTGTGGTATGCCTAATCCCACCCAAAGCGCAGTCAGTTTACTAGTGCAGTTCTCGTCCTAACAGATCCCAACAAAACCTGGTGTTGGAGTTTGGCTGGTTGGGGATCGTTAGGGTTAAAGATCTAAGCATGGCGTTTTGCACACAAAAAAAACGGCCAGGATTCTTGGACACCCAACAAAAATATTCAAAACGCAATCACATAATGCAATTCGGTTGACCGTCTCTAACTGATGACGCTCTTTGCTGCATTTTGATAGTTTAAACCAAAAACTGATATTCCAAACTTGTGCGATATTTTGTGTATGATATTTTAACGTTTAAGCAAAAGACGAAAAAAATATAAACGCTACTTTGCAACAAACAACGTAAGCATGCTGAAAATAGGACAAGTGTACATGGTCAACATTCGCAGCCAAAAAAAAAAAACCACCATTCGTTTAGAACCGACCCTTGCACTTGCATGAGTATTTTTATATAACAGCTTCGTTATGCTACCACCAACTGAATGGTTGCTCGTGTAGTCTGGACTGTATTTACCAATCTGAGAACATTGTAGTTAATTTTGTTCCTTCTTTTGTACTACTTGTGAGCAATTTTTTTTGTTTTGTACACAAATCAGCTCTGAGTTAGTACCATGTGTCTTAAAGAATGGCATGGAATGTTACTGGTCGTCTGTGCCAGCACTAGCCAGAACGCCAGGCCCTTAGTTTGATTTCGCCAGTTGGCCTGACGGCAGTGAACCGTTGTGCAGATGAATGCATCGTCACCGTCCAAAAATCACACCTGCAAATTTTCAGATGGGAATTTCTGTAAATGTTTTCATCTTTTTTTTCTTCTGTTGTTCGGCCGGGCTTTAAAGTGGCTTTTGTGTCGTCAGACATTTTTAATATTAAAAAAAAAATCCCATTTTGTGTTTATGTTCTGGCTAGCTTGTTGGACAGGGGGCGAATTCAGAAGGTTCGTGTTTCTGTCCCTTCAAGTTTGGCTATGCGTGAGTGAGCGTGTCTGTGTGTCTATCTTTTGGGTGAATCTGTGCGTTTGTTTATGGTGTAAATAGAGGACGCACATGTGCAACATCATCGGTAAAATCGAGGACAGGAACCAAATCGAGGACGACCTCGATTAGCAAATATGTACAAAACCAATGAGAGCTGTTGCAAAAAAGAGTACAAACAAAAGGAAAAGGGAAGAGGAACGACAGAAAATCCTTGATTTACACCACAAACAAACATGGGTGACCGTGTCTGTGTGTCTATCTGTTGGGATGAGTCTGTGGGTGTGTGCGAGTTGTTTTTGGGGGGATTGAGAGATAACGTTTGTGAGCTGTACTGTTTTTTTTTAACTGACGTAACCTGGTCTCCAAGTTAACCATAAAAAATAACCTACAAGGCAAGCTGGCAGTTTTTTTTTTTTTTTTTCTTTTTTTAATATGTTTGAAATCTACCCCCTGATGTCACTTCCATGGAATGGAACTGAACGTCAGGGTGTGTGTGTATAACAGCAAATAAACGAAGAGGCATGTCTCTTCTATCGGTGCCGCACCCCCGTCCAACCCCGCCCCCAACTCCCTCCTGGGTATGCCAACATTAGGACCTCGCACTGGCTTTCACTTGACCTCGCCAACTGGTGGTGTTGTTGCGATCGAATTATTATTTTTGAATCTTTCATTGGAAGAACGAAGATTTGTACAATCGGCAGGCCAGTTTTTAAATCGCGGCCACCGTTTGAGTTCTGGCTTGCGTATGGACCAACATCTATGCCATTCTCCTAGACACATGCAAAGACAACTCTGCTGATACTTTGACTAGCTTGTAAGACTCTTCGTATTTGACTTGTTATATCTCTACAATTTCTTACTCTTACATTCAAGCTCGCCCTGCAAGAGCATGTTATAATAATAATAATTGTCATAATCACTGATAATGTAAAGATGTCCCTCTTTTTAAACTTTAATCAGGCCATTTATGTCAATCTGCAAATTAAAATGAAAAAAAGGATTTCCCAATTTGAGCAAGTAGTACCCCACCCCTGAAATAAGTTCTTTGTTGTATTCTTTTTATTTGATAGGGTAGTCACTAGGATGTAAAAAATCAGAATTGTTCTCTGTTACTAGTGGGACAAGTCCACTTTTTTTTGGTACACATTTGAAATCCCTTGTATTAATCTTGAATTGTAAATACAAAGTTAAAACCTTCAAGGAAAACACAGTGGGTTTCGTGACTGGTGGCCGTTTTGAACACTACTTTTCAAATTGAGAAATAATTTTTAAAAAAACAATAGCAGTTTTAAGAATTGGTCGTTGTTGTGTTTTTGGTGCTCATGGAGAGTTTAGATTTTTGTGTAGATTTTGTACTACATTTTTTTTTTGAATTCGTCGGAGTAGACTCTGTGAAATGTATTTTGTGTTCACTTTGGAGAACCTTTTTTTAATTTATGGAATTATTTTGTAAAGAAACTGAAAAAAAAAAGCAAGACGGGACAGCAAGTCGAATGTGTTTTTTTTTTCTCTTCGATTCAGTGTTCATTGTTGCTGTGTTTGTAAAATTACGAATATTGTCCTCTTAATCAAGTATGAAAAACAAACTTTTAAGCCGTTGTGTTATTTTGTGCACTCGATGCTGTAGATGAAAGATAATTAATAAAAAAAAAACACGGGCTAGATTTGTAGCGGCAGAGTATACTGTGCTTGTACATAGAGACTACACTGTTGAGACAACCGGCTCTTTATTATTGCTGATGTGTCAATAACTCAATAAACCAACCTACCAAAACGAAACAAGGTAACTCGATGATATATCTCTCTCGTCTCGTTCTGTTTTCATAACAAAAAACGTTTTTGCAGCGTGTGTCAAGTGAAGCTGGTCGAACCCAATGTTGGCAACCCACTCCTCCAAACGCTCCGCCCCTCAGTAATTTATGGTAAATTATTCAGTATGCAAATCATATGTAAATTGATGGTCCATTGATCAGTCGAGTTTGGGTGACGTTACGCAGGGTTAATTGTAAATGATACGCGACACTCGTGTCTTAAACCACATTTAAATTAATTTTTTTGAAAATGTATTTAAAATTTAAGAAATGATATCCGATCAGAGTGGGTTCCAACTTTGAGTTTTGCCAGATCACATGTGACAATAAGCCAGTTCGCTATTAGACTAGGTCAAAGGTCATTCGGGAGAAAATCGCTGACGTGATGTTACCGTTACGTGATGTCACGCGAGTACCCGTTGTGCTTGTGATTAACACGCAAGCGTTGTGCACCCGGTAACCTCCGCGTTACTGCGCCTGGTAACCTGCGCGTTAATGGGCCTTTGATGTACGTTCGATTATCCTGAATGACCAGTGACCTATAGCATTGCGTGCATGCGCAGTTGGGATACTGAACTGGCTTATTATTGACTGCTGTGACGTGAAATATGGCGTTTTTAGCACCCGAGAGTAGTGGGGAACATAGCACCCGAGGTGAACTATGGGCCCCGAGGGGGTTAAAAAGACATATCACACGTCACAGCAGTCAACAATTGTGTTATTATATCATGCCAATATTAGTAATCTTCTGATTACTTTGAGCTTTCCTGCCCGACATCAGATTGCGAAGTTGCAGTTCTCTGTTGCGAGGCGCGCGTCCCGGCCCTACATGCGCACTTTACGCGCCACTCAAGTATCATTAAGAATGACTTCAACCGATTGATTAAATTCTTGGGTAATTTTGCTATTCATAATCACTCTTGGGGGACAACTGCATTAAGGAGTGCATCAGAATTATCAAATTATAGGTGTCAGATGTAACAGGGATGGGGGAAAAAATGGGCCCAAAGTCATACTACGTGTCAAAAACGACATCCTACTTCTGATCCTGAATAACTTTGTTGTTTACCAATGGAATTAAACCAACATTTCAGATCATGTAAACAAGGCATGACAAATTTGATGGAGCGAGTTTCATCAGCTTTATGCAAGAGGGCGAGAATTATGCCGTACGAAAAAATATTTTCAGAATGTTGATACAGTGCTGCGGCCGAAAGCTTCTGAAGGGATGTAGGATCACCCCTGATGTTATTGTATGCCTCAATAGTGTGCTGTGCCAAACGATCGAGGAGGTGTGCAATGACTTCAGGGGTGATCCTGCATTCCTTCAGAAGCTTTCGGCTGCAGCATGCGCCTTCCGCCACCGTCTCCAGCGCTATATCGACATTGTAATTTTTTTTCATGTTGCGTTTAAATTGACCCTTCTTGTTTATTTCCATTGGTAAACTTCAGTTATTTAGTATCAAAAGTAGGACATGTTTTCTCGACCAGTAGTAGAGTGACCCATATTATTTGCTGACATGCACTGCCACACATTGTGACCTGAACAATTAAGACAGTGATTAAGACGTCTTGATCAAGTTCCGTCTATTGACGGCTTGCATACATCCATGTGTACCACAGCTGAGCCAGTGTCGCCACGGAAACGGCTGAGACCGAGTACAGTGTCACCGCCAGGGAGGAAGCCGCCAACTCCAAGGAAAGCGGTAAGAAATGACAAGATTGGCCACCCCCCCCCCCCCAAAAAAAGTTGTTAAACTTCTACAAATTACTGTTATTAGGCCCCCCCCCCAAAAAAAGTCGGTCTCTGGTCAGCGCGTGTGTCGATTTTAATCATGCGCGTCACATCTCTTTTTTTTCCAAAATGTTCCCCGGTAGCTCCAACAGCGCCCTCTATTGCCGCACCTCAATTTTTTTTACCAAAGAGCACCAAGGAATGGGAAATTGCACCTAGGCAAATGATCGAGAGCACCAAGGCAAATTATGGAGGACACCAATGTACATGAGGACACCAAAAAGCAAAATAGTACCCCACCTTGTCTGCACAATCCAAGCTTGAAGAAGAAAAAAAAAAGCCAAAAAAAAACAAAAAAGCTTGAAGAAAAAAATTCCCTGCGTCAATTCCGGAACTTTGGTCTGACCAGGGACCGAACATTTTTTTTTTTTGGCCTTATAGTGCACCATAACAACTTCCCCGTGTGGTTTATTTGAGAATTTGTAATAAAAAGCCACATGCTCTTTGAGTTTTAAACCATTGTTACGACGTCACACTATTGTTAAAAGTGTGGATTTGGAACTATGAATCTGTTACACTGGTCACAAAGTGTGGATTCGGAACGACACATTTTTAGTAAAGTGTGGATTCGGAATTACGAATCCACACTTTGAACATGTCGGACAATTGTTCTCCATAATGAGCATTAACATGACCGTCTGCGTGAAAAATTGCTTCCGAAAATTACCAGTGCATCTTCACTGTCCGATTCTTTGCAGTCGCTGCAAAAACTACTTTTAGTCAGAAAGAAATTGTCATCTGAGCTATCCATGCTGTCGGAAGGAGCCTACACACAAATGACCCGTACAAAATGGTTGTACAGGTGTGGCGATACTCATGCTAAACATGCCACATTGCTTGATTACATATAAGAGCCTCGAAAAACTCCCTTGTAAATTACCCTAATGGCCACGACTAGACACGAGTGCCAGTCTTTTCATCTCCACTCACTGGACTGTTAATGACAATACTTCTTTTAAAGCAATGGTTTAAGTCGAAGAATGCACTCGCAAGTGTGAATTCTTAATTTGCGAATTCACACTTTGTCGTGTATTCTCCTTAACATCCCCGTTTGTTATTTTCTCAGGTTTGCAACATTGATATAAATGTTGCTAGCATCATGACTTTGTATCCCTGACTACATGGCATATACAGGTTTATGGCTTCTGACTAGCGCCCCTTAAACATCTTTAGACATTGACAAAATCTGAAACCGATAACAAAGGGCTGGATAGCTCAGTCGGTAGAGAACTAGAACAACAAGCCGGAGGTTATGGGTCCAAACTAATGTGCATCGGGTTGTGTTGTCCAAGCCAAACAACCCAAACCCAAAACGTGACCATCCGGTTTCCCCGTGTTCGGCCCCTTTTGAAATCTTGATTTCCTGAGGTTTTACCATAAAGGTGTTTTACAGTACCTAACAAATTTCATACAAAACAAAAGAAACAGGTATTTTAAATCCGGGGTGCATTTCAGCAAGTACAAAAATATTGTGTCCTGGGCGAGTAGTGGGTTTTTCTACTCAAGTAACCAAATTACCACAAAAGCAGAAAAATGACATATATGTTTAATAGTATGACTGGAAATAACTAAAAGCAAATAGCCTACAAGTCGTACCCCATGCTTCAGCACTAAATTCTTTTACTGTGCAACATTTTGGGTCATTTTAAAACTTGAATTTCTTTTTTTTTTTGACGAATGCAATCCAAGGGAGAGAGAGGGAGCGAGTGATTCCCTATTTGCAGGGAATGTATTAAGCCATGAACCCTAAACCCTAAAGTGCTACTCGCGAGTACCTGCTTCTACTCGCGCCAGGACGAGTACTTGAGTAGATGAAAAACTATGACTACAGGATGAGTAAAAAAAAAAAAAAAACCCCAAATGTCGAGACTATTGTTTTATTGAAGTTCTGCATGTAGCAGATCTAGGATATAAAGGCCCAACTCATCAGCTTTCTTTTAGTACAAGAATCATTCAAATCACCTATGTACTTTTCAAGTTAAGGAATTTTAAACACAACCACCGTTTTAAAGTTCTGTACACAGATCACAAAAAGGTGTGCGTTCTTTCAGCAAAACGAAAACAATTCACACAGATCCCTATGTGATTCGTTTTCATTTTGCTGAAAGAACACTTCCCTTTTTGTGATCCGTGGACAGAACTTTAAAACGGTGGTTGCGTTTAAAACTCAGTGACTTGAAAAGTACATGAGTGATTTGAATGATTCTTGTACTAAAAGAAAGCTTACGAATTGGACTTTCATATCCTAGCTTTTGAAAGTGCTACATGCAGATCTTCACTAAAACAATGGTCACAACATTTGGGTTTCGGTTTTTTTACTCACCCTGTAGAACAATGAGTAGAATAAACTGCTCACAAGTACTTGAGTATTCGAGTTACTTGTCCAGCAGTAGTGTAGACCCAACATTGTTCTGAAGCCCTCAGCGACCCTGAAACCCTCTGCCGATATGTTTCAGGGATTTTTTTGTCTTCATTTTTCACGCCTGTAACATTCAAACTCCCACCTGCAAGTTTCGCTGTTCGTACAATGTCGACAAATGTTCATTTGCAGCCCACTCCAAGAGCCGCAAAGAAGCAGACGGCCAAACAACAGCAGCAACAGCCGACCACCCAGCTTACCACAATCAAGCTGACCTCGCAACAGCCTCAAACTGCCCCCGCTGAGGAGACCAAGGTCACACATCCATCAGCCACGGGTACGTTCTCTCTCTGATCTGGTTATCCCCCTGGCTTACAAGCAAAACAGGGGGATATTGCGATCTCGTACTCCTTATGTGTGTCTGTGTGTCCATGCTCATAAAGTACTGGGAACCCTGTACATGTTCTACATAACCCCCGAGGACCGACACACAAAGGGAGAACAAAAGATCCTTTCAGTCCTCGGGAGTTGAGTCTTTTGTTCAAAACGGTCCTCTGTAGTAGGTTTGTGTGCTTAGTCTATGGGAGAGTGTTATATTACAGGGACAAAGGGAAACACAAAGCATTGTCCTCAGGAGTATAGTAAAACAAGAGTGTATGCTCAAGCATGGGATGTGTGTGTACATTTCATGACGTCACATTCTGAGCCAGTAAACAAAATGTTCCCTTTTGTCTCTTGGACACCAGGAGATTCCAACCACGTTCCATCCAGCAAAGCCAAGACGGGTCAACCGTCGGCCAAGACGAAAGCAGCGTCCACAGCAGCAGCTGCGGCTACTGCAGCAGCCGCAGAGGTAGCAGCTGAAGCAGCGGCCGCAGCCAAAGCAGCAGCAACAGCGGCGGCTGCAGCACAAGCAGCCAAGCCCGAACCCAAGCCGGAAACGCCCTCCAAACCCTCAGCGCCAATACCCATCGCTCACATGAGCCTCCCAGCCCAACCCAGCCGGCCTAGCAGCAAGGCGGCCCCGTTACCGGCTAAGAACAAGCGACCGCTCTTGTCGCCTCCAGCAAAGCAAGACGCCAAACCGGCCCCTGTCCCGCCGCTGCAGTCGCCCCCTCCGCTGCAGCCGGTACAGCAAGTATCTCCAGTTGTGACATCACCGCCGTCGCAGTTTCTCTCCACACCAACGCCAGACCTACCACTTCCAGTGCCAAAAAGTAAGCATTCAGTAGACAAATCTGGCAGTAGCCATTTCCTTCAGTGGCACCAGGCTCGGGCGAGTCGCGCTCAGATTATACACACCAGAGTTGTAATGACTAGAGTCAATGGCGCGACTCAAGTCCAACTCGAGTCACAATTTTTGGTGACTCAACTCGACTCGTGTAAGGGCAAATGACTCACTGCGAGCAAATGACATGACTGGACTCGAGTCCCTAATAAGAAAGACTCGACTTGACTCGAGCGAAGGCTAATAAGACTTGAGTCCCAAAAATAAAAGCAAAACTTTGCGAAAAGTATTGGCAATGACTTACAGTGCCAAATTTATGTTCACGTCACTTTGCGAATACAGTACGGCACAGCAGCCACTTGTCATGTACAAACATACACCATGTCACAGACTCCCACTTCGTGGTTCTAGAACGCACAAAATACTGTCCAGGAACCAGACTTTAAAAAACACATTTTCCAATTCTGGTCGCCCGATTCCACTAAACTACTGTGAGCCCCCTCTCTCTGTCACTACTTAATGCTGACTGTGCAATGAAATACAAAGTTGGGGAATATTGCGTCGCGTCAGTGCAACAAGGTCGTAACTCCATTCTGCAACAAAGTCGTATCTCGTGCGAATACGCTCCGTGCAACAAGGTGGTATCTCGACGTCCATTGACTTCGCGTGTACATCCGGGTTATTTTAAGCGAGATACGACCTTTTAACATTCTAAAACTCGCGTTTTGCGTTCATAACTCCATTCTGCAACAAAGTCATATCTCGCGCGAATACTCTCCGTGCAACAAGGTCGTATCTCGACGTCCATTGACTTTGCGTGTACATCCGGGTTATTTTAAGCGAGATACGACCTTTTGACATTCTAAAACTCGCGTTTTGCGTCGTTCATACCATTTTAGGAGATACGACCTTGTTGCACTGACGCGGTGATTGCTTACCCTATTGACCCAAATCAAGTACAGACATCAGCAGCCATGGCAATACTTTCTCACCAAGCTAACTTCTAAACACTGCTAGACTAGGTCAGAGTCTTGGCTAGTTTTTAGTTTCATTGGTTTTATGTCTTATATTTGTGGCTCATCTACATGTAAAGTTTCTGGGTTGATTCATTCCCACAGATGATGTCTCCAAGCCATCGGTTCAGCAGCCGAAGCCTAAAGTCGCCCCACACCAACCCAAGCCATCCGGCCTGCCCACACCCCCCTCCCTTACCCCGCTGAAACCCAGCCACCCGGCACCAGCCGCGACCAAACCGCCCAAACCCCACCCGAAGGACACGCCCGTCTCAGAGCCCCCGGCTCTCAAGTCGCAGCCCCCCGCGCCACCCCAGGGGCCTCCCGTGATCTCCTCCCATCCCCCTAGGCACGACGCCAACGCTGAAAGCCACGTGGGGGTGACAGACACACACCCGGACCGAGACCCAGACACGGACCCGGATCATCTTCCCGAGGCGCCGGCCCAACCCTCCCCACCGATGCCGCTAGCGGGGCGTCACGAGTCACCGGTGTACAGCCCTTCCATGCCCATGTTGGAGAAGCCAGACCTGATACCGGTCAAATTCATGATCGGCGACGACGACGAAGAAGACGAGGAGGACCGAAAGGGGGAGGAGCCAATGCAAAACAATTCACCTGTTGCCGTGGAAACCTCAGCCCCGCCTCCAAGTCAGTCCCCCATCGCCAAGGAACCCATTAAGCAAGGTAAATATTAAATATCAATTCACAGAAAATATATCTTATTCAACTGTTTGTGAAGACTTTGCAGTCTGTATCTATCAAAACATATTATGGTGTATGAGATTTTCCGAAAACGTTTTTGCGATACGTGTTTTCTAAGAATTGGCCTTTGTGTCATTTTCTGTTTTTGCAGGCCCGCCAACCAAGTCCAGCAGCATGCCTTCAACCAAGAGTTCGGAAAACCTCAAGAAGATGGAGAGGACAACTCCAGGACCAATGAAGAAGGTGGGACATAACCTTGGGTATCCGTGGGTTAGGATCATGTCTTAGACATATCAAAGAATTTCTGGGTTCTGTGACATGTAGATGTTTTTAATAATTCTGGTGGTTTGATCTGAAGATGTCTGACTTAACCAGCGGTATCTCTTCTTCTAAGGCTCCGTCTCAAGACGTCAGGATTCAGAACGTGGGATCCTGGTCCAACCTAGCCACGGCTCTCAACCAACCAAAGACCAAGCAGGCAACGCCTGTGGCCAATCGCTCCACGAGCTCCAGTTTTGAGATGTTCAGGAAGGCCGCTCAGGAGAAGCAAGAGCGGGTGAGTCCTTGGCTCCCTTTTTTTTTTTTTACCTGATTTATTTGCCTCAAATGTCGGCTGATGACTGCAAATGGTGCTCGACTAGACTTAGTGCTTATTCTCGATCATAACCCCATCTAAAAACACGTTAAAATTGTGCAGCAGCAGGATTCCAGTCAAACCAGTGAATTTGGCGGTTTTGAGACATCATCTTTCATTGAAAAAAAAACTTTTTCATTTTGCCGACACGCATGGCTACGACAACGCGCGCGCATACCAGAAACCGGAGACTTGTTTTTTTTGGCCTTACAGATTGAAACTTTGAATTGATGCCCTATGTATTCATGTGGATACCACTAAATGTCAGCTTTAAAGACAGACCTGTCTGAAATAGTGTATTCACTTGGACATTTGTGAGTAACTTAGCAATACGCGTTCTCCTCACATTCAGGAACGAACCAAGAAGATGCAAGAGGAACTGCGAAAGAACCAACGCGAACAGGCAGAGAAGGAACGACAACGGCAGGAGAGGGAGAGACTAAGGCAAGTCTAATCAGCCTGTGATAATATAATGGTGGCCATAATAGGAGGGCGCTATTTTAATTTGATGTCAAAAAGAACAAAAGCGCCCTCTGTTGTGGGCACTAATCTCTAAATGTTAATGTGGCTTTAAAGGCATATAGGACCATTTGCATAAGTTATCCAAAAGTAACAAACCAAATTATCAAAAAGCTTACTTGGACTATAAAAAGGGCCCATGCAATGTTACTTTTTAAACTTACTGGTTCATTTTTCATGCGAACGCGAACATGAAGCAAATTTGATGTCGCGAAAAATTAACCACGAAAGTTGCTGAAGTTGAATTGGTGAACTGCCAACATTGGGCTGGATAGCTCAGTTGGTAGAGCTCCAGAATTGCAATCCGAAAGTCGCAGGTTCAAACCCCGCTCCTATTAAATTCTTTGTTCAACTTAAAGGGAATATACATCATTTGCTTTTGCTGTAATTTTCAGAAATGGATGGAATTGGGGGGTTGGAAATATATAGCAAATATAGTTACACTGCCTTTCTGGTTCCCTGACTCCATATAAGAAGAAACAGAGCAGTTTACATACATTGGGGAATTGTAAGGTCAGGGAACCAGTCTAGCTGGCTTGTACCCGTTCATAGGTGTGTAATCGATTGCAAACAAGTGCGATGGTCAATTTGAAAAAAGGCCAGTTTTTTCCAACGTTGGTCGGCCGACCAGCGTTGGAAATTGATACAAAAATACCTCTTTTCTTGAAAATGACAGTATACCAGGTGCCATGATTTCACAGGATGCTTTACACTGTCATTCACTAACAGTCCAGCAAGGTATTTCAAAATGATTTGGTAGTTTTATTTTTTGATGTTTGCAATTGTTGTATTTTCCCTTTAAAAAAAAATATTAATAATAATTTTTACGCGTCTGGTCAGTTTCCCATTGGGATTTATTCAGAAAAGGTTAAAATGTGTTCAACCTTTGCGAAAATCGCAGCCTGAATGCTTGCCGTCACGTCACAAATTCGCATTCGCGTAAGCGTTTGCGCAGGTGTGAACATGCTTTTTTTCCTCCGTTAACTGAGATGCGTTACTAAGTTTGACTTTAGTTTTCTTTCTTTCTTTCTTTCTTGACAGGGAGAAGGAAGAAGATGAAGCGTTGGAGAGGGCAAGACTGGCTCAGAAGGAGGACCAAAACAAGCAGCAGTCCCAGAAAGAACGAGAGAGACTACGCGAACAAGAACGACGGAAAAGAGAAGCGGTCAGTTAAAGCTTAAATCCTATCACGCAATTCTGTTGCAATGTTGCAGACGAGTGTGTGCCCCCACAAATCATCACCGGTTTCACGAAAGGACAGGCATATGGATTTTGAAGAAAAACTGTTTTCGAGATAATCGCAAGAGAAGTTTCTCCGTTTTTAAAACAGCAAAAAACTACTACTTTGCAACAACTTTATGCAAAAAGGAAACCTTGACGTAATTCTTTGATAGGTAAACTTTAATTTGAACCCAGTAATTATAATTAATAGAGTGGTGAATTAGCCAAAATTAATCAGTGAAGATGCCCGTCCCTTTGTGAAAGTGAAAATCCAACTGTTCCACATTTACGCCCTTCTTGTTTAATGTGCTTTTCCATAGGGAAGGGCGCGCGTGTTCGATAACGCGTGCTCGCAGCTGAGAATGTAACACAGATGCCCGTCCCTTCGTGAAAACAAAAATCTCCATTGACCTACTGTTACCGCCGTTCCGTGCAATACGTTTTTGTACGTGTTCACGAGGGCAGGCATGTTTGCGTCTCTTCGTGAAATCGCAAAATGCAATTATCGAGATGCCTGCCCCTGACATCATGAATGTTATTCAGGAATTAATGATGTTTTGCTAACGGAAACATGTCAGAATGCTTAAGTACCAGGTTTTAAAGCAAAACAGGGAAAAAACTCAAAATCGAAAAAAATTGTCAATTTCGACATGCCCGTCCCTTCGTGAAATCGGTGACGAAATGTGGCCTGTCACCTCGAAATGAGCTTAGAGTCTGTAATTGCCATTTTGCAGTACAGTGGGACAAAGCCAAAATTGGAAAGGGTGGGCAATTCATTTTTGTGTTGAGGTGAACCTCAGTCCCTAACTCCTGTTGTACCTTTTTCCAATGATTCGTTCTGTCGAACATTTTTAAAAACCTATTTCATCCCGTTTATTATAAGTTGACTGTAAACACAACTGCAGGTTTTGTAAATGCCATTTTCTCAAGAATCAGTTGTACAACTTCAAGTAAGTTGGTGGTCTATATTTCCATTTCTGAACTCAGCACCCCTTAACATCGTATACCATTGGAAAGCTCTTGATCTGCAGAATCCAGATATTCAAAAATATCTGATTTTCCAAAAAGTCAGACTTTTAAGCTCATTTTATGATGGCAGTGCACAGATCAGCAATATGTCAGCACGATTTTTGGTCCCCTCTTTTACAGCCGATCAGTTCAGGCATAAGTTCTAGGTGAAATGCTGATGCAACGTTTACGTCGAGTGTTAAAATCACTTCGAATGTGATTTTAAAAAAATCATAAGTCGCAAGACTTTGTCTCATAAATGATAACACACTCATCGACTTGTGCGCATTTGTTTTGAGTTTATTGTGAATTTTGGGGTTTTTTGTTTTATTTTTTCTCTCAGATGGCAGGTGCAATCGATATGAACCAACAAAGTGACATCATGTCCCAGTTTGAAGGAACGCTTTGATATCTACAAAGAAGTCTGGACGCTCCGTATCTTATTCCCCAAAGACTCGATGGTGACAGACGCAACATAGAACTCGAGACAAATTCCGAATTCCACCCCCTCCCCCTTCAAGAGGCAAGCAAGGATTCAGTCTCCACACTGCAGCCATCTTGGTCAGGTACCCAGAGTCACACAGCAAAGAGCACTAGGAAGTGGCTGGCAGTTTGCCAGGCACCAGCCTAAGCTCTTTTTTTTCTGAAGATGCTTGGAACTCTGTTTTTCTGTTTTCTGATGGTGCTTTTGTGGATTGAGAATCTAAAGAATTTTTCTGAGGGGAGTTCTTTGAGAAGTGTTCAGCTGCAAAAAGGTGACCATTCCTCAAGACTTTCACTTTTATAAAGAAAGGAAAAATCATTGAAGATGTCTCCAATGAACTTGTCAATAACTTGCAACGGTTTGAGTTGAAGCAAGTTCATAAAAAACGTTTCTGATCCTCGAGTTTGGTTTTTAATTCTGGCACAGATAATTTGAGTGAAACTTTGCACTTATTTTTTAAGCGATATTCCAACAGCAAAAAAAAAACTTGAAAGTCTTGAGACATCCAAAGAAAGAAAAGTAATCACAAAAATTTTGGTAATATCTTGAAAGCTAGTTTAAAATGAATGGGAAAACGCTTTTAAAGATTACTTAAAGTACTTGTGACTATTCTTAATTTTGAAGTGTTTAGTGAGGACTATTATTATGAATTTTTGGGTATTAAGTATGTGCAACAACCAAACAATTCATGGTCTCCTTAAGGAAAAATAAATAAAAAGCAAAAGTTAGTTGAGACGTTAGGCAGCCGAGGAAATATGCTCCAAAATTTAGAGTCTTATTTTCTGGGGGAAATCAGGAGCTAGAGAGGAAAAAAAAGTGTACAGATAAAAATGAGAATAAATCGACACACTATTTATAAAATGCTTGTCACCATATCACGAGCTCGCCTTATTTATGTAAAATTGTACATTAGATAAATGTGATTCCATGTGGGGTAAATTTTCTTGCTTCACTTTTAGTGTCGAAAGATTACATGTAGACACTTTTCTTGAGCACGTTCGCAAATGAGGGAAGTAATCTTTAAGGAATCTTGGATCGTGTACATCTTATAGCGAGGGCGACGTTCTCGCTTTTGCCGTACTGCAGAAAGGATTTCTGGGCTTTAGGCATCGCCACATTCCATATTTTCCGAATCAGTTGGGCGCCTCATGTGTCCAGAGAGCCCTCTGTTGATATAACTGAGAAAATGGCAGGCAAGATAAATGCAAATGCTGTCAATTGGCCTCCACACACGATAAAAATCTCAAATTCTTCCCTTCTAATTTTTGATATCAAGTCTACAAAATGTTGTTTTTAAATTTCAGTGGTTAACAAAAAATAGTGTTTGTGTTTAATACCTTGTTCAGCAGTTTAGTACTACTATTTTTTTCTCATCTTTGAATAAAAAATATGACTGGATTGCACAAATATATGACTAGAGTTCTTCAAAATTGCAAAGTTGCCAGTCAATTTTCGGCGTCAATCAACAGCTTACCAAAATGTTCTCCACTTTGAACAGTTTACCGAGATTATCAAACTTACATTTGACAATTTTGGTAAAAGTACTCTTTGTTTTTGCACTGGTATCTTCCCAACCCACGTCATATCTAACCAACACAATTCCTTATCTATGCATTATGTGTAACTTTGAATGTTCCTCCCAAAGGGTTGTTGTATAAGCTGTCACCGCCTCAAAGCGGTATGGTTCCCAGGGTCTCAATGAGTATGTGTACAGTTTGCCGTTCCGGTACCTGGGGCGCCAGACTATCAGGGATTAAACCAGGCACAGACAACAACCCCTTCGGGCTCTACTTAAACCATTTACGACTCCGCACAGACGCATTGATGTATACAAACACTCGACCGAAACTGACCGACAACTTACACATCTGCTATATTTGTATATAATGCAGGTCAAAGGGCGAAGGACATTTGCATAATTTATGAATACAATTAAGAGTATGATGTATTTAAATATGAGTGTACGACGAGTGGAGTATTACTTTGACTTAATTTTATTGGGTTGTCATATTGAAGTGTAGCCCGGCAATATGTGTATAGTGATATCAAAGTAAGAAAATGGGAGCTGATTATTAAGTTGAACAATTAACATTGTACCTGCTTTCCATTAAATTTGAATTATTCCCAATTTCTAAATCAAAGTTTTAGTTGCGATAATCAGGAGGGAACAAAAATTTACTTCCAGAAGCATGAGAAGATATCTTTACATGTAAACACGTAAATACCAGACCAGAACTCCAGTTGTGTAGAATTAGATGTTAGTTAAGTTTGGTTAACCTAAAAAAAGTAGAGGAAAAATGTAAAACAAATAATTTATAGACTGTTGCAGTTGTTACTTTAAAAAAAAAATCACAGTTTGTCTATTATTCAGAGTGGATTTTTCCAAGTGTACATGTTTCAAATTGAGCTAATTCAGTGAGAAAGAAAATCACGGAACTCCGCAAAACAATCAAATTTGTGTTTTCAGAAAGCACGACCAGACACATTGTATTAAACTGAACTATTCAATTTCTTTCACACATATTACATAATTCTGACTCTCGTGAATACGTAATTCACGACAGGGTGTAATTAATTTACAATTTTAGGGTAAATATAAACTCTGTACATTTGTAATGTTGTGTGTGAACAGTGAGGGAAAATGACTATGAATTATGAATATTATTTTATTTTAATTTTTGTGCCACTTGCAATTCTGAGAGTTGAGAAAGAAAAATTACAATCTTCGTTTTCCTCATTTTGGACAGGAGACTTCAGATTTTAATCTTAATTGGAAAAGCACAAGTGGTCAAATTCAATTTTTACTTCAATGGTTGGTAGATGCATGCAAGCCTGTTTCATTGAACTTACAGCACGGACACATTTCTCACCTTTTTTTCAAATTTCTGAGTTCTTTATAAAACGTGGTCTTAGCTCTAGATTCCGAATGTTACGCTTACTCAAACAGATACTTGGATGTTATTAAATTGTTTTGTTTGCCAACACAACTTAATTCAGTCTTAAAACCTTTTTGAAAAAAAGTTCACGCTTACATTCGCTTTGGTCTTCTCTCAAAAGCGTGTAAGATTCAAGTTTTCAGAGTTTTTAGATCGGAGGTGACCGAGTCTAATGCGAAAATGTGAATTTTTGTCCAATTGTTTTATAAAGTGGCAAGACATCAATTTGTTTTTATTTTTCTGTTGACATTTTTAATTTTGTTTTTCATAGGATATTTCAGTAAAATACTAATAATAATTGTGCGTACAGTACTTGCAACAGAAATACTGTTTTCTTTCCTAGGTTATCAATGTTTACAGAATTCAATCGACCAATTTTTAAGAAGAGGTGATAGTGGAGGAGATGACGAGATTTAAACAATTTCCTTGTTTTTTCTTCAATTTTTGTTGATAACATTTGTATGTCATTTGTTAATGTTCTGTTTGTATTTATTTGTCATTTTATGAAGATTCTCCCCCCTGGAGAAAGAAGGGCAAGTTGACAATAAAAAGAGGTATTTTGTACATCAGCTCTATAATACTTTCTTGATTGTTTGATGGACATTGAAATTCCAGCAGACTGCGATTCCAAAAAAACCCCGAAATGTTATTGTATTAAAAACCCTTCACGTTTGGTGTTTACCCTGCGTGTTTTTTTTAAAGAAATAAGTATCTTTAATATATTTTAGAGTGTCAGCTAATTAATGTTTTTTCTCTCTTCACGAACACTTCATGATTTTGCTAAAAGCTGAGCACTGCGGTATTCTTACAACCCAAAATTGTGAAGATTTTTTGCACAAAAAACCTTGCTGGATGGATATCATTTTTGACAGAATTTGCCCCCATTTTTTGACACATTGTTCCTTTTGAATGGCACATTTTGTCCATGGAACATGCACATTTCAAGCAATTATATTTTTTGCCAAAAATAAAATTAAAAAAAGCAAGAGATTTTAATAGTTAACCTTATCATTTTTAGTCCAATTTGGCCCAAAATTTACTTTTCTCCAAACAATGCAGGAATTACTTTGGAGGTAAGATAAAATAATAACAACGGTCGCCCCCGGAGGTACGTACTGCTGGGGGCGATCAATCGGGGTCGCCCCCAGAGGTAAGTACCGCTGGGGGCGACAAACAACTGTCGCCCCCAGCGGTACAAGCGTTAATATATACCGCTGGGGGCGACAATAAAGGTTGCCCCCAGCAGTACGAGCGTAAATATATACCGCTGGGGGCGACAAACAACGGGTCGCCCCCAGAGGTACGTACCGCTAGGGGCGATCAATAACAGTCGCCCGTAGCGGTATACCGCTGGGGGCGACCAACACAGTCGCCCCTAGAGGTACGTACCGCTGGGGGCGACTCGCCCGTAGCGGTATACCCTAGCGATATACCGCTGGGGGCGACCAACACAGTCGCCCCTAGAGGTACGTACCGCTGGGGGCGACTCGCCCGTAGCGGTATACCCTAGCGATATACCGCTGAGGGCGACCAACACAGTCGCCCCTAGAGGTACGTACCGCTGGGGGCGACTCGCCCGTAGCGGTATACCATAGCGATATACCGCTGGAGGCGACAAACACAGTCGCCCCTAGAGGTACGTACCGCTGGGGGCGACTCGCCCGTAGCGGTATACCATAGCGATATACCGCTGAGGGCGACCAACACAGTCGCCCCTAGAGGTACGTACCGCTGGGGGCGACTCGCCCGTAGCGGTATACCCTAGCGATATACCGCTGAGGGCGACCAACACAGTCGCCCCTAGAGGTACGTACCGCTGGGGGCGACTCGCCCGTAGCGGTATACCATAGCGATATACCGCTGGAGGCGACAAACACAGTCGCCCCTAGAGGTACGTACCGCTGGGGGCGACTCGCCCGTAGCGGTATACCCTAGCGATATACCGCTGGGGGCGACCAACACAGTCGCCCCTAGAGGTACGTACCGCTGGGGGCGACTCGCCCGTAGCGGTATACCATAGCGATATACCGCTGGAGGCGACCAACCGCAGTCGCCCCTAGAGGTATGTACCGCTGGAGGCGACCAAAAATAGTCGCCCGTAGCGGTATGCGATCAACACAGTCGCCCCTAGAGTTATACAGTCGCCCCTAGAGGTATGTACCGCTGGGGGCGCTCAACAATAGTCGCCCGTAGCGGTATACCGCTGGAGGCGACCAACGATAGTCGCCCGTAGCGGTATACCGCTGGAGGCGATCAACAACAGTCGCCCCTAGAGGTATGTACCGCTGGAGGCGACCAACAATTGTCGCCCGTAGCGGTATGCGATCAACACAGTCGCCCGTAGCGGTATACAGTCGCCCCTAGAGGTATGTACCGCTGGGGGCGCTCAACAACAGTCGCCCGTAGCGGTATACCGCTGGAGGCGACCAATTATATGTCGCCCCTAGCAGAAGTTCCTCTAGGGGCGACAATAAAGGTCGCCCCCAGCGGTACGAGCGTTAATACCGCTGGGGGCGACAATAAAAAAATTCGGCTGAAAACTGAAGAAAAAAAATGTAAGGGGTTAGCCTTGTATTTTAATAAAATTTGGCCAAAAATTGACGTTTCGGGAACAATGTAGGAATTTATCAATCGATATTCAAACACCCAATATTTTGAGGAGTTGGGCAAAAATCGTCAAATTGTTTTTAGAAAACATAACATTTTTGTTTGATTTTACACAAAATTTTGGTGGGAGTGAACGTTTTAAATCATATTAAAAAAAAAATTTTTTTTAAACACAAAAACACGTTAATAACTCAGACCAGAATGACTGGATTTTTTGTTCTGATCTGTTGTCATATTATTTCATACACATATACACATCTCAGACATTGTACACCAATTCGCAATACTTACATTGTATATACATGTATACACCTTGACTCAAAAAGGCCATTTTAAGCATTTTTTTCTCACTTTTTTACATCAATGCATTTATACACAAATTGTCGGCTTTTGGAGCATTTTTTTGCATATTAATACATACATTTTTCAGCAAAAGTCTCTGTACATGTGACTGCCCCAAAACATGTACAAAGATTACAATAATTTGTATAAATAGCGTCATCCGCTGGATAGTACACATTACAATGCATGTCGGTGCAACTTTTCTTTTAAAATTGTACATGTTACATCGATTCTGATAGGATATGTGTCACTTTAGTATTACATACATGCTTTACAAAATCGTTTAAAATCTTAATCAATTTACGGGAATGCTTCTTACTTTTGAAGTCTTGATGTTTACCCAATTTTAATTCATACACTGTACATAACATTTCCCCCAAAAAAGCAAGTACATGTCAGTCTCCAAATTTAAACTCCTAATATTTTAAAAACCAAAAATTACCGTGCTGAAAATGACTGATAAAACTGAAAAATGTAACTTGTGGATATTGTATTTACTTAAAAACGTGGAAGCCTTTTCAAAAATGAACACCTTACTAAACCATTAATCAAACTTCTGACATTACAAAATAATAGAATAACGTAATTTGTTTTTTAAATATTGCAGTACAAAAATGTTCACGCAAATAATAAATTATTAGACACCAACAAATACTAGTAATAGCATACATGTACAATTCGCATAGTATTAGATACGCTTAAAATTGCCAACGTTTTCTGGAGAAATGCATTTTTACACCCATCCACTGTGATAAATTTCTATTTCTAGTTGATGTGCGGCCATTTTCGTCTAGTACCTGGAAGGGCGAGACTGTACACCTGATGACAGATGGCAGGTTATGATTCTGGTACCAGACTAATCTTCTTCATCCAAATTTATAGCTGCTACGAGTTCAAAGTTGCTTCTAAATGATCAATGTATTTTCTAATGACAACAAAATTAATCAAACCCGGTGGTAAATATAAATTTATCTACAAATTCCAACTCGTGGATAAACTACTGGGTACAAAGCACCTATTTTCAGCCTTTTTTTTAGTTGTGTTAAAGCCTTACATGGGATGACATGACTACGTACAGATGAAGTATGTGTATGGTAATAACATTAAAAACATACTCTGCATAATGCTCCGAAAGTACATTGGGATTGTTAAAAAGACATTTGTGAAGTTAGTTCAGTTGCATCGGACAGTGTGGAATAATGGCAAATGTAGGTTATTTGAAGGAAATTGATCACTATTTGGCAAATTTGTTATTGTATATTTTATATCAAGTATTACTGAACACTTTTAACCACGAAAGCCTTTAATGTTGGTCTTATTTTGAAGTGTACCTCTACTCTATACATGTGTGCAGTTTAATGGTTTTGAGTAGTGCCTGCACAGAATGCTGGCATTGCGGTCTTATTCCTAGAGTGCTTGTTACATATCTCTATACAGTTGGCCCAAAGGTTTACAGATATCAGTGCTAAGGCTTGTTTACATTCTTAGCTATTGCTACACGTCTGCAGCATTTATTATATATTTTTACAATGTTCTTTGGCATAGTGCTGGAATTTATCTTATTTTTTAATATGTACATGCAACCTAGAAACTTACCCATCTATAACCTTTAACCTATGACCTTCAACCTAATATTACTTTAAAAAAACAAACCGATGAGTTACTTCTAACAAGCTACGGGTAGTAATTTTATGGCACTTCAAGAATTCACTTTAGACATGGATTCCATATTTGAAGAGAATGTGAAATTAAACAGCGATAACTCAAGATTTACCTCAAGGTTTACCTGGAGATTTACCTCAAGGTTGACCTCGAGATTTTCCTCCAGTTCTGCCTTGAAATATACCTCAAGATGTATCTCAAGATTTACCTTGCAGTAAAACCCTGAGTTACCGCTGTTTAAAGGTAATATGCAACATTTGCAAAACATCCAAAAACAAAACTACCAAACTATTATGAAATAGCTTACTTGACTGTAAGTGAAGAATGGTCTCAAGCACCTGGTATGCTGTCATTTTCAAGAAAAGTGGCCTTTTTGTATCAATTTCCAACGATGGTCAGCCGACCATAGTTGGAAAAAACTTAATTTATTTTTTCAAAAAATACTGACCCCAATTTACCAAATTTAGTTAGTCCACATTTTGTTTACAATGAATGTGTGCAAGCCAGCTAATCTGGTTCCCTGACCTGACAAGTCCCGACGTCTATAAATTGCCCTGTTTTAATAGTCTGAAGTAGGGTCAGGAACCAGACTATATGAACATCATTTTTGTTTCTTGGTTTCTCTAGCATCTAGAACACAAGACTTTAAACAGGTCGGAATCAAAATATGCTGTAAAATACTAATCCCCAAATCCATCAATTTTTTTAAACTTACAACAAAAGCAAGTGTTGTATAATTACCTATAATTTTGCATTCTCCCTTTGGGATGGGGATACAATCCACAAAGTTTGGTCAAGATAATAAACGGTTGGGAATTGGCACATGGTTTACGAATGTTGAGTTGGTATATAATCTGGTGAGAAATCACCACATGCGAATCATTGTATGCAGCCTTGATAAAAACCTCAAATTAGCCCTTCAAATTCTATGCAAACTTGTCCTTTCACTTGTGAATTAGACTGGTTACCTATCTCACTGACTGACTGTCTCTTGTGAATTAGACTGGTTACCTATCTCATTGAGTAACTGTAACGTGTGAATTAGACTGGTTACCTATCTCACTGACTGACTGTCACTTGTGAATTGGACTGGTTACCTATCTCACTGTCTGACTGTCACTTGTGAATTAGACTGGTTACCTATCTCACTGACCGACTGTCACTTGTAAATTAGACTGGTTACCTATCTCACTGACTGACTGTCACTTGTGAATCAGACTGGTTACCTATCTCACTGACCGACTGTCACTTGTAAATTAGACTGGTTACCTATCTCACTGACTGACTGTCACTTGTGAATCAGACTGGTTACCTATCTCACTGACTGACTGTCACTTGTGAATTAGACTGGTTACCTATCTCACTGACTGACTGTCACTTGTGAATTAGACTGGTTACCTATCTCACTGACCGACTGTCACTTGTGAATTAGACTGGTTACCTATCTCACTGTCTGACTGTCACTTGTGACTACACTGGTCTGGAACCAGATTTACGTGGCTTGCCTATTCATGGAATTGGTGCAGTATAGTCTGGTCCCGCTTGTTTCATGCACATTTCATGAAACATGCAAATGTCGACAGTGGATTTTTAACTTCCATCAACTTAGCACTACAGCTTATTCTAGCAATTCTACCACACTAAAAAAAAAATTGAAAAAACAAATGTTATCTCACACACAATGTCCGTATTGGCAATTGGTAAAATTACAAAAAAAACTTTGCATTTTGTCCCAAAAATGCAAAAATTTCCTCTTTTCAGCACTGCTACCCTTAAAAAACCAACATTAAAAATGGTACTGTATTTCCATTATTTACAACTGCACTTGCAAGGGATTGCGCATAGACTTTTTCTTTATACTAGGCACTGCTGCGTATAAATAATAAAGTATTCTTTTTTTTTTACAAAATGAAATTGGCCAAAGAGCACTTACAGTAATGTACAAGTCGTCATTTTCAGTAATAGAGGAAAATTTACACTGCGTTTGTACATACCAACCATCCACAAAATTACTTGGAATATCGCTTTTCGGTCACATTTGCATTTCTTTTTTTAAAATTTGTTCATATGACATCTATTTCAAAGATGAAGAGAATTTTGCCTTTGTATGCTACTTTTTTTCACTGTGCCCCGGAAGTTGCATGATTTTGAGAGAAGACCACGTTTTGTTTGCTGCAGGCGCAACTGCCGAAAAGGCTACGATTTTTGGAAGATTTTTTTATCTTGCACGACATGTTGGAAGCGTAGGAGTTTTAAAGTGCATCTCTCATTAGCTTCACGTTTCTCCTTGATACTGACTGCTGCATTTTAATCTAATAAACCTTGACGCTTCTTTTTAAAAGTACAACTATTTTCTTTAATATACCACAGCCTTGAAGGGCAAAGCCTTTTTGTACCAATATCTTCATTTCTTTAATTTCTTCTAAAGCTTTAAATGTGCCATTACCAATGTATTAAATGCACTCTTTCTCTAACTTGCACTTTCATCCGAGTTTGTGTACTCATTTGTCTCCTTATCAAGTCAATAGCGATATCCTTTAAATGATTGTGTTTTGAATCTTTGTAGGTTTGAAACGTCTGTATGAACAACAGAAACATTTTTTTTAAAGGCAAATGCCTGTTTGTGTTCTGTTTCATAATTTGTCTTTCACCTTGTGTTTGTTCAAAACTCAATTTCCGGCTCTGGCGGACCCATCCGCGCCCGTCGTTTGTCCTGAATCCTGCTCAACACCATAGCTGTGTCAATCAGCAGCGAATCAAAGATGGCCTCGGTCAGCTGCATCTTGACGGCCAACTCGTCGTCGTCGTAGTTCACCCACTCTTGCTCCTCCTCCCGCAGCTCCAAGGTCAGAATCTCATCAACGTGGTCCTTCTTCTTCTTCCCGTAGCGGTTCAGTGTCGGGTCCAACTTGGGCCGGCCAGTCAGGCCGGCTACAAACAGAGCCCGGTCCTCTACAACCTGGGCTATGTCCGGGAGCTCCCTGGGAGGCCTGTCAAAGAAGTACTTGCGGGGTCTCCGTTTGGTCTTGGTCCAGGGGAGCTGCTCGCTCTGCTCTTGCTCCGAAGTGATGTCCTGGTAGGCTTCACCAACCAGGTCAAAGACAAGCCGCTTGTAGGACTTCCGGCTTGTGCTCTCAATGTCTGAACCCTGGGTGTCCTCCCCCATGATCTCTACTGGTGGTGAGAGGAAGACTGTCCTCTCTCCTTGGACGACCTTCTCGTGAAAGACTCGGACGGACTGGTCCACTAGGGATTTCATATCCTTACGGTTGTGTGGCACTGCGTAGAAGGGTTCCTGGGTGATCCTAGTCAGGTCTAACCTGCTTGGCTCTGGGGTTCCGGGACTTGGCAGGGAGGGCACTGGAGTTTCCTGGTTCCGGACCGGCACCTGAATGATGCTCTTGCTCTTGGGCATGGAGCCAAAGTCATCATCAAACCACTCTTGTTCCCCGAAGAGATCCCCCTCAAAGATGTCTTGTCCGAGCTGTTGCATCTGCTCTAGCTTCTCACTGAGGGCCTCAGGGTTGAACCCGCTGGACTCCCCGAAGACGGGAGATCCTGGCCGTGCCACAGGCAGCTGGTCCTGATCTTTGAAGTCCTCGTTGTTGGTCTCCACCTTGACGCGGTTGATGAAGATGTCATCAGCGAGTGTTGTATCCTCTTGCTGGACTGGGCTCTCGCTATCCGGTGTGTACGGGGTGGCATTTCGCACAAACGGTGATGGACAGGGGGTCTCTGGGGAGGGCGATTTGGGTGATTCTGGCATAGGCTTAGTCCTCAGGTTCTCTGACTTGATTTCATCATTGCTGATCGTCAGAGACTCATTTATGTCTCTTTTGGCACGTTTGTTTCTGAGGGCCATCATGTCCGTAATGGCATCATTGAGCAGAGTCTGGGTTGTGGAGTCGAGCTTTCTTTTGATCTCAACCTTTCGGTTTTCCTTCTCATCCACTTTGTCTTGTTCTTTTACCCTTTCCTCTGTATCATCTCTTGGAGATGTGACAGCATCATCGTGGACAAGCATTTCAAGCAGAGAGCTGCTCGGCTTCTCTGTTGATGTGATTCTCAAGGGGCTCTTGGCATCCCCGACTACCTTTCTGCCATCCATTGAGGTCTGCTTCTCGGCTGCCTCTGATATTGCCTTCACAGAGTCCCTGACAACAAGTGTTGTCAGGTGGTCTGTGATCGAGTCAACAAGCTGCTCCTTTGATTGCAAGGAAGTGACTTCTGGTTCAGGAGCTCCTCGTGGGGTCTGAGCATCCCCAGTTGGAGGGAAGATTTCATCGATGTCGTCCTCATGGAAAGACTCCACTGCAGCTGCCGCCGAGTTGATGAGGGCAGCCAAGGCAGCATCATCGGTCATCGGCTCTGAGAGGTCCTCAACAACTGAATCATCATCAGTGGCTTCAGACTTCAGCACCTGAGCTAGAGGTTTCATGGACTCCGATGGGGTCTTGGAAGAGAGTGACGACAACAGGGAGCGTTCAAATTTGTCTTCCTCCTTGTCCTTAAGACTTTGAACAAGCTTTCTATGGCTTGGGTCAGAAACTTCAGATGCCGCGCTGGGGAGATCCTCCTTGACAGAAGAGACTTGCTCAGGTTCTGTTTCTGCTCTCTGAGGTTCAGGAGCAAGGTGCTCTACTCTGTCAGCCGGGACAAACATGCCATGACTCGGTGTGCAGCGGAAATAGATGTGCCCATCTAGCGAGCCATCATTTGTCCCTTTTTGGTCATCAAGTTCAACGCCTCCCCACCAGCCTGGGGCAAAATGGGTCAACCCCTTAAAGAGGAGGGTTCCCTTGTGCTGGCCACTCACCGTCACTCGGTCTCCGATTTGGTATCCAGTGAAGTCTTGGGAGAACTCAAGTTGTTCTGGAGAGGCCACAGGGGTTTTGTCATCCTCTTCACCGATGGCTTCCGACTTGTGCTCTTCGATGACATCCCTCTCTGAGATGGTCACTTCGGGAGCAGCCTCTTGGTCATCCTCTGCCGCCTTTACTGAGAGCTTGTCCGTCGACAAATTGAATCCTAGCTTCCCGCTGCTCGCCACACTTGGCTCAGAGGGTTCACTGGCAATGGATAGTTGCTCACTGATGTCGTCATCTGTGTCTTCTGAGGGACTCTCCTTGTTCCTCAGTCCGATAGAGACAGACGACTCAAAGAAATCATCGCTGTAGCTAGCTCCTGATTGTTCACTCTGAGTCCTAGATCGATGAGAGGATCTCACAGAGCTGGAGTAGGAGTGTGATTTTTCACTCCTCTGGGACAGCTCATCCACAGAGTGAACTGATGCTTGTGATGGTGATCTCTTCTCCAGCATTTCTGCGGTCTTTACTAGGTCTGTCTCGGGAGAATGTTTGGTCTCGTCCAAGACGATCTTCTTTGAAACGGACTTCACAGAGTCTTGCGAAACCGAGCTCGCTGCAGAGAAGACCTCCTCAGGGACATCCGAAGCTTCGGATTGGTCTGACCTTTGACCCCTGACATCTTGAACGGTGACTCCAGCGTCCCCGGGAGCCTTCCCGATTGGGCTCATTTTCCGAGTGTCCCTCTCCGTGTCAGACCTGGGCGACTCCTTCTGGGAGGCATCAGGCGTGGTTGAAATTGAACTGTAAGCTGACGGGATGTCCTCAGACACTTCTGACACCACGGAAGAATCTTTGCGTTCCTCTGGTTCTTCCGACTGATGGGGTCCTTGCTTCTGGCGAAACAATTCATCAGGACTCTGGCCGGCGTTTACTGCCCTCTGGGAGTCTTCATCTGAGGTACTGCTTGATGTTCTGTCAAAGACTTCCTCGGAAATGTTGGAGGAGACGCTGCTTCTGTTCTGTTTGGCAGATGGTGATGGTGATGGCGATGGTGATTTCGGAGGTCGTGGTGTGATATCTAGTTTTAATGAGAAGAGGAAAAGCAGAAAGTTTAATATTTAAATCGATTAAGAGTATTTGAAACATGTCATATTTTCCCATTACTGTTAAAACTGTTAAGCAAAAAAATCCCCCTGGCATGGTGGCAGTATTTATACAGCCAGTTAGTAAGCACACTTTTCAGTGTACCTAACCAAAATCAACAATGACCTCATTTGACCGTTAGATGAACTTTGACCTCAAATGTCTGAAGTCATCTGAAGTCCCGCTACCCAAAGATTATTGTCACCAAGCTTGGCTGAGAGTGAAGTCTGACTTTTCATACGACAGCACTTTTCAGTGAACCTAACCAAAATGAACGATGACCTCATTTGAACCCCAGATGACTTTTGACCTCAAATGTCATCTGAAGTTAACTACCCAAAGTTTATTGTCACCAAGTTTGACCTGAATTCAAATAGGCCATGCACCTCTGTCTAGCTCAATGGCAAGCCATGGCAAAAGGTCGTGGGGATCTTGTGAAGTATTTTGTACCAAGCGTTGGAAGCATGGGTTTATAATATCAGTGAAGGGCAAAACGAAAAATTCAAATTTAAAGGGGAGTTAAACAAAAGCTCACCTTCAACCAGACGTGGCGTGGTGGGTGGGGTGAAGACAGAGCCCAACGACGTGTAGGAGTGATCTCTCCCAGGCCCGGCTTCCTCATCCAAGCTGGACCTGCTGGACATGCTTCCCTCCGACACCGACCGTTGCTTCCGTGAGACTCCCAGCTCGGCCCCGCCCTCCCGGCTACTATCGGAGGTAGTGCGTTGGCGCAGGGAGCGGGCGTGGGAGCGGTCCTTGAGGCGCTGGGCTTCTGACATGCGCAGCTGCTTGATCTGGGGTTTGACGGCCAGGGATGTGGTCTTGGCGGTGGCCTCCGATTCATTCTTGAGTTCGGCTTTGGTCTTCTCGATGAGCTTGTCGTATGACTGATAAAAAAACAAGAGGGATCAAGATGTCATGAAACTGAACGACAGAAAGATAAAGAAAGGGCAGGTTGAGGGTTGGTTTCAAAAGAAACTTCACAAGTCTCAATGGAACTGGCATCAAAGAGGTTTAAATTGTACACCTCTGAACTAGTTAAAGCAAGCAAAGCATCATGGGTGAAGTCCTACCCAAACAAGATAGTGAATTCTTTTCTCAAAAGCTCAAGGACGGGATAGAGTATACATTGCTTATAAAATAATAAAAGGAAGGGCAAAGACCGATATTACAGTGAGTGATCCTCATTTGTGGTCTTAGGGGGAAGATGGAAGATCTAAACCATTTTTTTTCCAGTTCATTGGCAGGGTCGGCGACAAGTGCCTTGAGAAAACTGCAAGATTCACAGCAAAAGATGGCAAATCCTGAGGATTTCTTGTTCAAGGAAGCTTTGTAAATCTGCCAAAAACCAACACTGTGCAGTAACTCCAATGCAATTTCCTTGTGCTTTAAGCTTACGGGAGGGAGATTTTTACGGGAGGGAGAAAAACCAGAGAACCCAGAGAAAAACCCTCGTGGCACAGGAGAGAATCAACCAATAACTCTACTCACACATGTGACCTGTTCTGTCAAAATCAGACTTTTCTGGGCATAAGGTCGAAAATGATATTTTAACATATTATAAACATATGTTCTTTTTCCTTTTAATAGGTGGTTTAATTTTTGAAACCGGTCATTCCTGGGCAGAGTTATGCTTTTTTGAAGTTCATTGTGTCGAAAAGTAGAAAACGGAGAAAATGGCCACGAACGTCACAAAACAGTTATTTCTTTAACTGATATACCTTATCAAAATCATCAAAAATAGTATATGTAGAGTTCAAATTAGGGTTTCAAACTTTTATAATATATGTTCAGGATTACAAATATGCAAAAATTTGAAAATCAATAAAAATCACCCCGACAGCGTTTTGTGGCCCTATCTCAATTTCAACCTCTGCCCAGAAGCGTCTGCTTTTGACAGAACAGGTCACATACCGGTATGACCTGAGTCGGGAATCGAACCCGGCCACAGTGATGAGAGACGAGCGCTTTATGCACCGCGCCACTCCTGCCACTGTTACTCACCTCCAGCTGTTTCTTGAGACTAGCCTCCTGGGCTTTGAGCTTCTCCCGCTGCATGCGTTTCTGCTGACGGCGCAGCTTGTCCGCTTCCATCTTGCGTTTCCGGAGCTCCGACTCCAGGGCCTTGACCCGCCCTTCGATGTCGCTCTGGTCGGACGCGATTTCTGTCGTATGAAAGAGCAGGTTGAAGAAAACAATGAAAGAAGGCCTTTCCAAATTTCAATTTGTAGTTTGTTTTTATTTCGGCAAAGTGCGCGTAAAGCGTTGACACGACCCACACGCACATGCGGTTGCTATAAATCATTGGTTCAGTGCAGGACATTGCGTTAATGCAATCGGTTGAGAACGCTGAATTAGGTGCAATTCAAAACATGGTTTGGCAACTGTTGATTTGAAATCGAGATCCTAGAACATTTTTCTATGAATATGTAGCATTCACTGAGTTGAAACTTCATCAGGTTAGTTTTAAGCACCCTTCTTTAGATTTTGAGCGCTTTTGTTGCTTCAAACGAACATAATGCACAAATTACAAATGATGGACTGTTCCTTTTAAGTTTAATTTCCGAAGTAACAAGTCAACACTATTGTCTTCGAAAGGGACTCACAAGCTATAAGTTGCATTGTCAAAGAATTAACTGGTTTCTCATGAGTTGGTTTACGTACCGAACGTGGCAGTGGTTCTAAGACTCACCCGACACAGTCTGAGAGAATGACTTCTCAGACTCGGACCCGCTCTCCGACTCCATGATCCTGCGGTGGGGGGACAGCGGCGCCCGGAACGACTCCAGACTAGACGGTGGACTGTGGTAGGAGCGTTGGGGCACTGCAGCTGCCGCTGCGGGGGGTCTGGTGGGCGTGAGGGTCTGATCGGCGGACTCGAAGGACTCGCTGGCGTACTCCTCGGGGACGGAGTCGGTGTGTTTGAGGGTGTCATCATTGGAGACGTTGTTGACGACAGAAGCCGTCCGTGAACTGCTGTAGATACCACACAAAAACAACAGGATTAATACAATTTTTCTCACGGACTTTTCATAATCTGACCACAAGTCCTGCCCACACCGTGGTCACATGACCAAAAAGTCATGATCTAATTGGTTCAAGCAAACTGTTTGATTGACAGGATCTACAGCCAAGTAAGAACATGTGTTCACATTTTCTTTCTCAGTAACATGAGCATGCATGAGCAACTTACTTTTTTATGCTTGCATAGGTAATTTAGAGAAAAAGTTAACACTTAAAGTCTTCTGCAACTAGACCCTCTAAAATCCTGTTAACCAGTTGGCACCAGAGGCCGTGTATACTTGTACATGCCAAAGTTTTGCGGTATTCGAAACGGATGACAGATAAACACGCAGGGAAGTGAGGCCGGAAATATTTGTCAGCGACCCGCTCGCAGCAATCGAGGCCGGAAATACGAGTCTACTGCCCTAGGGTGATGGCTTCAACCCGCCTGGCTTGAGCAGGGGTGTGAGTGACCACTGATAAAAATAGCTGAAAACAGCTGAAAAAGTTGTAAAAAAGCTGAATTTTGGAAATCTCCTATACTTTTGTACACAGCAAGTGAGGGGAAAAAGCCGAAATCCAAAACAAAAAAAGCTGAAATCAGCTAAAAAGCTGAGATTTCACACCCCTGCTTGAGGTCGAGTGAAAGGTAATCCCGCGCCTCGTTCCGTTCTTGTCAAAATAATCCAGACGTGAATTGGTTAAAATAGATTTGTCACTTAGCAGAAAGTGGCCTTTTAGGGTTGACGGCAGTTTTCTGAGTGTTTTCTGACCAGTTTTGTCGACAAAAATTGATCCTTACCATGTACATGTATATGGCACTTATTGTCGTAACTCCCAAGAAAATTTAGGTCGGCAAAAATAATGTGCCTTTTTACTACCCTGCATAACGCACTGTGGGTCATATTATAGGAAATCAAATGTGTGAATATAAAACACATACATCGTAAGGAGAACGAGTTAAACCTGATATCATTATAGTGCTGATCACTCAACCATGGCATTCCTTTCGCAGATGACTAAATATAGCCAATCGGCCAAGCAGAGATAAAAACTTGTTTATGCAAAGGATAGTCACAAATTGATGTTATGATTTTTTTCCATTGATCTCCTAATCAGAAAGTAAAACAGCAAACTGTTGTGCTAAGCACAACTCAATTGGAAACTTATCAGAAATATACTCCTATGCCATTTCTGTTGGTAAGCTATTCTTGAGTAGCCCTTTTTTTTTATTGTACTCGCATATTTTCTGCACTTCACAAAATTCCTATGGTCAGCAAATTTTCTATTCTAACCAAATTTTTCATGCTCACCAAATTTTTCATGCTAACCATTTTTTTTTCATGCTAACAAAACTTTTGAGGCTAACCAAATTGTGTTTGCTAACCCAAATTCATTATGCTTACCCGATTTTGGTATATGCTAACCTACTTTTAATTATGCTAACCCAATTGTTTTTATGCTGACCCAATTTGTTATGCCAACAAAAATTTGTAAGCTAACCACATTTTTTGATGCTAACCAAATTGCTTATGCTAACCAAATCTTTCATGCTTAACCAATTTTTATGCTAACAAATTTTGTTATGCTAACCAAATTTTTTATGCTAATTGAATTTTTTTATGCTTACCTAAATTTTTGTGCTAGCCAAATTCTTTTTTGCCAAACAAAATGTTTCTATTTTTTTATGCTTACCATAAGCAGAGCCATGAAATTGGTAACCCGTTCTACTGGTGACCCAAGACTAACCTGATCTTCTGTGATCCCTCCGAAATGACTTCTTCCGGAACGCTACTATCATGACTGATGTCTTCGGGCACGGAGCTGCTGCTTGCCGCCCGCCCACTGATATCTCTTTGCCCCTCCCCCCGAGGGGTACTGTTGGTGTCCGTCATTGCATCCGAGGTGATCCGGGAAGGGGAGTCATCAGGGGCGGAGTCATCTCTCGGACTGGGAGGCGGGAGTGCTTTCATTGGTGGGCGGGGTTTAGCGTTGCCGTTGTCCAATCGTCGCATGGCCTCGCGTTCCATGTTCACTATCTGCGACTCCTCTTCGTCCAGGCGTCGCTGCCAGGCAAGTAACTCTTCGGCATTCCGTCTGCGCTTGGTTAGTTGGTGTTCGCGCTTGGTCAGGTACCTGCAAGGGTGGAACCGGCGAGTGGTATGGAATATCAAGGCAAGCTGCACACTGGGGAGTCGTGGACCGAGACTGATTTGATTGGATGTCCGTATGGCGATTTGGAGTGCATTTTAATACCAGGACTACACTGGATCACACATTGCGAGGAAATTTGTGTTTATAAATTCATCATAGCTGCTCAAAGGATCTACAGCGAGAGTTCAAATTTAGTCGACAATAACAAATAAACTCTAATGCAATTCAATTCAATTTTTATAAATGTATGATAAACTTCTTCTTAGAACTCATACTTAGGTAATTTTAAGTATTAGAAATATATGCCAAAAAATTGAATTTAAATTATTAAAGATTGACAGAGGTTTGGTGCACTGATAAGATTCAAGATTTTTTGATGATTTCTTTTGAACAGTGTCACCCTAGCATAAAATTGTTTCTCTTTTCTTTAAGATGATTAATTATTTAGAAAAATGGCTTAATTAATATTCTTTTTATAATCTTTCCTGGCTGATATAGGTTTTCCCGCCCAATTTTCTGAAATATTCATTTACTTCTAAAAATCAGTCATTCACTTTCGTCTGAACTTAAATGCAGTTCTTTAATCACATTTCAATTCAGCGAGAGTTCAATCATTTTCATTGTCTGTGCATTCGGTTTTGAGAAACAGACGGCCAATTACATTACCTATTCATTCATTTATATACGCAAGCATACCTTTTCGCGCAGAGTTCTGGAATACAATTTCGTGAATGTGCAATCAAAAGTACATTTTTCTCATTCAAAATTGCAGATTGCATCACAGAATTCCAAACCTGATACCAACATGTAAAATAGAATGGTGAATGTTTGAAATCGCCCTCTAGAAACGAAAAAGAGGTCTTGTAAATGAATCTGAATGAACATAAACGAAAGGTGCTGCTCAATCACTTAATTGATTGAACTGAAATGGTATCGAATGCTCTGGTAGCGAAAATGAAACGCGTGTTCAGAGCGATTCTCAAATTCAGAAGAAAATGAATGGCCAATTTTCAGAAGTGAATGAACATTTCAGGAAGTTGGTCGAGGAAAAATATATTTGAGAAAAAAAACATTTGGAGTGTCAAAACGACAAAAATCCATGGCCAGTTCAAACTCTTTTTCAGTAGGAACACCAAAAGAGTTCGGATTAATTTGAAACAATCGTACAAAGATATCGAACTCACTTCATGCTCAGAGGCTGCTGCATCTTCTTTAGTTTCAGCATAACCTGGGCTTGCTTCTCGGCAGGCGACAACCCGCCCTTCGCCCCGCCTTCTTTCTCATGATCACCGGGCCCCGCGCCCTCTCCGGGCCCCACTTTCTTGACCCCTGTTGGACTATCCAATGTGGAGTCGGACAGAATTTCGGGGAGTTCTGGCGAGGAGGGCGACTCCAGCGATACCGCGACCACGTGGTTGTCGCTGAGAGCGCCCCCTACTGACGAGCTCATGGAGATGTTGGACAGGTCCTTCATGTGGTCCTTGACGGCCTCGGTGGCCTTGCGCATGCGCAGGATCTCCTGCTGCTGGAAGAGTAAGAGTTGGCGCTCGTGACTGGCTGCTTTCTGGGCGGCACGGAGTCGTCGAATCTCCGCCTACAGATCAGGGAACAAATTCCAAGAGTTATCAAGCTGAACAACAATATTTTGGAGAGGTTTCTGACAGGCCAAAGATAAAGGACACTGAGACGAAAGAGGAACCCATTTACCATTTACCTGACACAGCCAGGAAGAAGAAATCAGGCGTAAGTGGTACATGTATAGACCTTCGACACTTGCGTTGTGGAATTAATAGAGCACATCCTAACTTGCTCTTAGCACAAACCGAAGAGAGAGCCATGAATTTTTTTTCTCCAAAAGATCCTTGATTGAGGTCACTTTTGGAATGTTGGCAACATTTCTGGCTTGGGCTCCATCGCTGGCTTCAGAATCATTTACAAGCCACAACAACGTCCAAAACAAAATGTAAACACCCTAAATTTTGGTATTATTTGGTAGGATTTCACATTCCTGAAACAAGGACCAATACCTAGTGTCAAAAGTCAGTGGCCTTAAAAATCTCTTAGAGAAGCCAAACAAAAAAGCCATGGTGTTGTAAAAATCCTGTCTACAAAATCTAACAATGAAGCTGCGCTTTCCACAGAAGATCTTTACAAGTGGCGTGGTGCATGACCTATAGAGGGCGCTATTCAACCTTACCTGTTCCTGTTGGACCTTGGCCACCAATGCCTGCTGCTTCTTGCGGACCGTCTGCAGTTTCTCTGCGTCTCCGCTCTCCTTGAGCCGTCGCTTCTCATGCTCCAGCCACTCCAGCTCCACTTTGGCCTTCTCTAGAAGCGTCTTCTCCCGCAGCTTGAAGAGCGCCCCCTGTTGTTGGGCCCGTACCTCCTCGTCGCGCAGCTGTTGTCGAAGCATCTCGGCCGATAGGTGGAAGGAGTCATCCAGGAAGGCTAAGTCGCCGGTTGCGGACTGGCGGATGTCGAAGATCTTGGCTTCTTCTTTGCCTCTGATAGGGGTGCTCGCTGAGGACGGGGTGAGACTCGAAGATGTCTTGGTCCTGGACTCGCTCGGGGAGCTGTAGTAGCTCTGCTTGTTGTCCAGGATGTCCTCAGCAATACTAGGGCTCCTGACTGCAGTCGTTGCGTCAACATCCGAGGCGGTCTTGATTGAGGAGTTACTTCGTCGGCTCGGAGGAGAGTAGTCAGTCCTGACTGGAGAAAAGCCGGACTCTGTCGCAATGGACGAGCTGGATTTCTCTTGATTTGTGGAGACGTTGCTTGCCGTTCGGATGGATTCGGATGCGGTTGGGGACTTAGGAAGCCTTGAGCGGGAATCGGTGAAGTCATCTGAGTAGTCCTGTTTTGGGGAGCGGGGGCCGTCTGATCGACTGCTCATACTGCCGCTGCTGCTGCTGTTGCTGTTGTAGCTGGGCTGGTTGGAATGGGCTTTTGGGTCACCCACGCCTAGTGATCTGTACACGTTGACAGAGAAAGAGGAATACACAAAAATCTTGAAATGTAAGTCCGTGATTTTTCCATGGCCTTTCCAGGACAAAATAAGGGCTTTTCATGACCAATTCCAATGTCGTTTTGATCTTAGGAGCCTCTAGCTCTGGAGGTAGAGAACAGTGTCTCTCTTTCGGCCTTCCAGTTTGACACAAGACCACTGAGAACCACAACAGCATCACAACGGTGCACTGAACAAGCAACAAGTACTGAGCATACAAGCATAAAGAGGAGCACAGCAAACTGGAATGCAAACCGCAATTCTTCTGCAGCCAAATATTCCATCATCATGTATGGGTGGTGCAGGATTCCAAGACTCTACCATGATTTTTTTAACAAACAGTGTCTTCACTGAGACTTTCAGGTCCAGGCTGACAAAGGTAAGCCCAGCCTTCTTCTCAAGAATCTTTGAGGGTTAGAGTTTCAACGCACCTTGTGTGGACAGACGGAGCGGGAGGGGCCAGGCTGCCCTTCATCTCCTTCAGGAACTCTATCTGCTGTAGTCGCTGCTGTTCTAGAGCAGCCGTCACTGCCGCTGTGGTTGCCGCTGTCGCTGTGTCGGAGGCCAGCTTGCCCGGGTCATAGCTGGGCGCCGGTGGCTGCAGCGGATTCCGATGCGCCTGTAAGATAGTGTTTGACCAAGATTGTCTATCTGGGACCAGTTCGTTACATCTAACCACAGAAATATGCTAAGCATGGAAATCTGCCAAGTACGGAAATCTGTCAAGTACGGAAATATGTTAAGCACGGAAATTTGCCGAGCATGGAAATCTGCTCAGCACGGAAATCTACTAAGCACAGACATGACAGGAAATCTGGTAAGCACAGAAATCTGGTCAGCACAGAAATCTGCTCAGCACAGAAATCTGCTCAGCACAGAAATCTGCTAAGCACGGAAACCTCCTAAGCACAGAAATCTGTTTAACACAGAAATCTACAAAGTATGGAAATCTGCTTAGTACGGAAATCTGTTAAGCATGGAAATCTGCTAAGCCAGAAATATGCTGAGCACGGAAATCTGCTGAGCACGGAAAACTGCTGAGCACAGAAATCTGCTAAGCACGGAACTCTGCTCAGCACTGAAATCTGCTCAGCACAGAAATTTGCTTTCACTTCTTATTTATAATGCAAAATTCTAAGACCGTACCTCTGCCATCTGTTTTGCCGCCTCAGCCGTGACTCTCGCAGCTTCTGCTTGAGATTCTATCAAGCGACGGGCGTTATCGCTGACGGCGTCGGCTGCCTCGCGACGCGCCTGGGCCAGGACGCGTTCGGCGTCAGATGCGGTCTCGACGGCTCGCTGACGAACAACCTGTAAGGATTTCAAGTTCAAATTGGAAAAATTCTTGGCTTGAAGACCGATATTTATTGGAGGGGCTTCTGAACCTGCAACTTCTGGAACACAGCATGGGTGCTCTACCAACTGAGCTACTGAGTACTCTGTTGTGGTCTGCCAAGGGCAAATTATTCAAGGGTGCCTTTGTTGTCTACTTAGAGCTCCTTTGTCATAAATTGACTATAAAATTTAAAAAAAGTAAATAACTTTGAAATGTTTTCGCATTTCACTCGTACTAAGCTCAGTAAGCTGTAAGCTTGCTGCCAACAGTTTTCAGTTCAGTTTTCCTTTTGCGAGAACACCCTCTGAACTAAAAAACCTTATCTTCAAGAAATTTCTGCTTCCAACATTTGTTAGCAAAGGTTATAATAATCACGCAGCAGACAAAACAGGCCTCACAAAAACAGTAGGTTTTTGTGAGGCCCATGCATTTGTCAGAAACCTTCCTGAATCCTCTGAAAACCTTTAAAACTTCTAAACTTAGGGACCTACCTCCAGCTGTTTGTTAGCCTCCTCAACCTCCTGTCGAGCTTTCAGCGACAGCAGCTGAATCTCCCGCTCGTGGTCTCTCTGCCGGGCCTGCAGCACCCGGGCCAGCGACACGCTCTCCTGCTGCGCCAGGGAGACGTGGCGGGTGCGCTCCAGGTCCGACAGCTGCCGGACCGATTCCTCCAGGGTCTCTAAGAGGTTCAGCTCCGAGGCCATCTTGAGGCTGAGCGCGGCGGGGGAGTACTGGGCAGGTAAAGGGGGCTTGGCGGTCACGGTAGGGTGAAGCTGCTGAAAATGAAACCAAAAAAATTCAAATTAAACTTAGGATAGAACCTGGACCCGATTTGATTGAGCTGCTAACCCATGAATATTGCTTAGTCAGATTTTGCGCTAAGCACAAGTCAGCAGCGAACCGGTGTCATGTGGTTAACATTGGAAGCACTGAAGTATTACTTTTAAAACACAAGTGGAAAAGGTTTTTCAACTTACCCTCGGATCAAGGACGCCCCGCGGCAGAGGTCTTTCTGATCCCTTATCGCCGGTGATTTCTGTTGACGGTGCACCGTCGACCGGCATAAACTGGTTCCCCGCACCTTTAGCCAGTGAAGACCTGGTGGAAATGGACGAGCGTGTCCTGGTGTCCGATGACCGCGATGACGACCGCTTGGACCGGCCGCTTTTCGATTGGCTCCTACTGCCGGACGACTTGCTACGACTGGACGGTGACCGGTGTGCAGGGGACCGGGGGAGGGACCCGGAAGACAGAGTGCTGTTGGGGCTGGACGGCGATTTGGAGCCCGGGGACTGGGCGGGACTTAGGAGAGAGGGGGAGGCTTGTTTGTCGGTGGGTGTGTTATGCGGGGAGAGAGAGGCTTTCGGGCTCGGAGTACGCGGGACTCGTTTGGGGTGAGCAGCATCGTCACCAGAACTGTGTAGAAAATGTAAAGATGGAAATAAGCATACAAAAATAGATTCCTTATGAAAGATTCGCACAGAGAATTCCAGCATCTTCTCAAATTGAACACTGTGCAGTGTCCCCAAAATTATCCTTTGAATTTGAAGCAATTTTTATTTTCAATTCATAAATACCTCAGACAGTTTAGCTATTCCTATTGGTCGAGAGCCCGTCACGTGGCCGGTCTTAAACGGATGATAAAGACATGGCTAGCTGGTCTTAAACACTTTTCCAGTGTCACAATAACATGTGGACTCCTAAAAATCCAGTGCCTCTTACCGTTTCATTGGTTGAACGTTCACAATCCTCACGTAGGCATGCGCAACACTACAAGCGAGTCAGAATTTTATAGTTCTAAATTCAAAACGCAACGCCCCAGGTGCGTTCTGCGTGACATCGCGCAGAACATGTTACGCGCGCGTCAATCTCCATAAAAGGGTTGTTTACATCTTACTCGCCAGCAGAACACTCCATTATTTTGCTAGAGGGATGTTTCAAAAAGCATGAAGTGAACTTGTTGAACAAAATCGGGATTTTTTGAACGAATTATTTGATATTTTTTACGGATAAGGTATTTATGAATGGGAATAAATATGTGCTCGGTCGGTATTTATCACTCTGTTTAATACCGCTTATAGTCTGGGTGCTGATAATTACCCTCGCCTCCGGCTCGGGTAATTATCAGCACCCAGACTCTAAGCGGTATTAAACGAGTGATAAAAACCTCCGGAGCACACATTTATTCCCTTATTCATAAATACCTCAGACAGTTTAGCTATTCCTATTGGTCGAGAGCCCGTCACGTGGCCGGTATTAAACGGATGATAAAGACATGGCTAGCTGGTCTTAAACACTTTTCCGGTGTCACAATAAAATGTGGACTCCTAAAAATCCAGTGCCTCTTACCATTTCATTGGTTGAACGTTCACAATCCTCACGTAGGCATGCGCAACACTACAAGCGACTCAGAATTTTATAGTTCTAAATTCAAAACGCAACGCCCCAGGTGCGTTCTGCGTGACATCGCGCAGAACATGTTACGCGCGCGTCAATCTCCATAAAAGGGTTGTTTACATCTTACTCGCCAGCTGAACACTCCATTATTTTGCTAGAGGGATGTTTCAAAAAGCATGAAGTGAACTTGTTGAACAAAATCAGGATTTTTGAACGAATTATTTGAATTTTTTTTACGGATAAGGTATTTATGAATGGGAATAAATATGTGCTCGGTCGGTATTTATCAATCGTTTAATACCGCTTAGAGTCTGGGTGCTGATAATTACCCTCGCCTCCGGCTCGGGTAATTATCAGCACCCAGACTCTAAGCGGTATTAAACGAGTGATAAAAACCTCCGGAGCACACATTTATTCCCTTATTAATGTTTAAGAATCCACTGAATTCAAGTGCTGTACACAAATACAACACTGACCTGCTGAAGCTTTCCATTGGCGACAAGTCCAATGTGTTGTCGTCCGCCTTCCTGCTCCGTGTCTGCCCTGTGACCTCTGACCTTGACGACCTCTTGCGACTGTCGGTAGTCCTGGAGCTGGACTTGCTAGTCGATGTGGTCGACTTGGACTGGTTTGTATTGAATTTAAAAATAAAATAATTGTCTTACTACCTCTGATGGTGAAACAAGCAAAGATCAGAGAGAATTCAACAAACTTGTAACCCCATTTGGCCATCTTGAATGGCGCCCTCTATGTGAATGCACAGAACCACCGACTTTCCAACAATTGGCACAGAGCCAACATACCTCTGATTTCCTCTTTGTCTTGCTGCTTTAGATGGTGAAGTCAGCAGAGTCAGCAAGATTTCAAGAGTTACAACTTTAGTGACCCCATTTAGCCATCTTGAATGGCGCCCTCTATGGTGCATGCACAGAACCACTGACTCCGCAAAAATTGACACAGAGCCAACATACCTTTGATTTACTCTTGGTCTTGCTGCTGCTTCCGGCGGTGAAATCGGCAGAGTAGGGCTCCTCGTCGTCCTGCCTGGAGCGGGGTGATTTGGGGGAGGCGCTGGCGCTGCCCGTGAAGTCGTCATTGTAGGAGTAACCGATGAAGGAATCCCTAGGGGCTGGCTGGGAGGAATCGGCGGGGAGCTGACCGTACACAATTGCTGTACACCCAGGATCGCAAGAAATGTAAAACAGATGAGGAAAAAGTGAAATACCTTCGAATGAAGATGCTCTATCCTGAAATGATGTTAAGGAAATGAGGTAGGGGATTGTTTTCTGGTTCGGTCGATACAACACAACGGAAAAGAGAACGAGTTTAAGATAAAAACTCTGCAGTTTGACAAATCAAGACCATTTCAGATTTTTGAAACGGTGTCTTAAATATCGAAAAATCGGTTTTGACTCTAGACTAGGCATTGAACACATGTATTTATGCTGCAGTCCGATTTTTCTAAAGTTCAAAATCAAAATCCTAAACTAAAATCTTACTAAAGCATGTTTTTTTTTCAGACAATTAACTTAATCAATCCAAAGCCAAACAATATGCTGCAGCAACAAACGTTTTGGATCATCATGAACTTCGTAAATTTACCCTACCCACTCCCCCCCCCCCCCAGGGAATTTTCTCTAGAAACACTGCCCAACACAACAATATGCAACACTTGTCAAAGTGACAAGCCTGCCCAGTGTAGCAAGATCCATCAGGCCAAAATTCCCAAGGCCAACCAGCCTCAGAGTCTGTGGTCACCGAATGCAGCAGGATACAACTGTGGCATTGTTCAATGGGACTAGCTCTCAATTGTTTCAGAATTGGCCGTCTATGCACAGGGCCCAATTTCACGGCGCTGCTTAACAGTTGCTTGCTTAGCATCTGTTTGCTTAGCATGAAAAGCACATGGAGTTTTGGCTGGTTACCTGCTTTTATAAGCCAGACTTTTTTGTGTGCTAAGCAAATTTTTGTGCTTAGCAGCTCCGTGAAATTGACCCCTGGTGTTGATGGCCCAGTGCAGCAAGGTTCCACACATTTTTACACCTGATGCACTGTGTTGCGTCTGGCAGGGCTAAGAGTTTATGGGGTCCGTTTTGAACACTTATATAATTCTAAGATCCTAAGGGGCCGTGACCATTCAGCCCTGGTATGCAAAGGGCCCCCGGTACCTCGTCCGGTCCAAAGCCAGTCCGGTCTTCAGCCCAGTCTCGTCCGGTACATGGTCCTGTCTGACCAGAAGTTTTGAAGTCAGTCAGGCGCATCAATTTATTGCCCTTCAGAGAACATCCAGAGCAGAACAATAGCAGACTTAAAGATAAAATCCTTCCATAATGCCTTGGTAATTTACGGTCCCATTGTGCGCGAAACCACATGGCAGGGGTTTTGATCTGTGCCGACGAAAGTGTTCTATTGTTTCGCGCTGAGAGATGAAAACCACAAGCGGGTTTCTTCTGGGATATATCACATGTGTCAATACTTGCAAACAATAGACCCCAGGATAGAGGAGTTCCTGATTAGCAACCGGACCAGCTCCTGGGCCGGTAGCTGGGACGGTACGAGAGGACTTCTTGGGAGGGGACGAGCTTACTGGGGGGCCCTTTTCATACCGGGGCTAAATGGTCACGGGCCCTAAGAGATTCTAAGATCTTGGTAAGCTTACCTCGATTGGAGCTCTGGTACTTCCTAGTGTAGATGTTGATAACACTGAGTCCGTCCGCCAGACTGTCCTTCCATTTATCCGCCCCGTGAAGTGGCAAGCTGATTGGATGAGCCGGCGAGGCGGGTGATTCCATGGCAACCGGACTAACTCCACTGGTACCCGGCGGTGGCTGGTGTACGTGACTGTGCGTAACGGGTAGGCTCTTGAACGTGGGCATGTAATCTTTGTCCTCTGCTGCGCTGTCCGACAGCGACCCCTCACTGAGGGACTCGTCAACACTGACACCCCTCTCCCGAAGTGGACTGGTCCACTGGCCAATGGACCGATCAATCCCGGACACGTGGACCTTATGGAAAAGGGGAGAAGGTAAATTGGACTGCATTTAAAATATTCTGATACAGAACTGGAAGTCAACAGAAATGATTTTACAGCGATTAGAAAGGGTCTATGAAGTGAATTTTTCCTAGAAACATATTTTGTGCAACTTTTTACTCTGAAACGTATGAAAAACATTTGACATCGGCTTTTGGTGAATTTCATGGAAAAGTGCACTTTTTTAAGCATTTACAAATTGTCATGCTTTTCCGGACAACTGAGGGCGCTGTTGCTGTGACGTCGTTTCAGGAAGACACCGTTCAGTTTAGAGGTGTTCTGTTCAAATTGTGAACTCAAAATTTGCTTATTGAAAATATTTGTGAGAAAGTTTGCTCATTGGCTTACTGCCATGTACTGACCCAACAAGGAATCACCAAAGAAAACAAAATTTATGCAAGAAAATATCAAAAATTCCGGCAACTTTTGGTGCTGAAATAGCTGCAACATTGAGGTTTCTGCGTGAAATTACATCGCATTTTTGCTCATGAATATGGTAATTGGGTACCATTGAAAATGGCAAAACGAAATTGAAAATAGAATCAAATGGGACACAATGGTACTTTTTCAAGGATTGCATTAAAAAATTACACTGCATGGGCCCTTTAACCCTAACCACCCCAACTCCATCAATATCCATCCCCTACTTTGGTGGATTTTGGGGGACTTGGTCCAGAAGGCCTGGCGTGACTAAATATTGATGGCGTATGATGGACTTGGGCCTAATGGCCTGAAGCAGTGCTAGGGACATCCGATTGATTTTGCCTAGCTTCCTGTACTGCTCTTGTGATAAAAGCCATGTGTAGCAAGTCCATGAATGTCAAACCAGTGCGTCTGTGGTGGATTCCATTATGTCATGGACAGTTTTGTATTGGACGCACAGTGGTTGCTGAATTTTGATGGATTTGGTCCAGTTCCTAGTAAAAGACGCCAGGGGTTACGGTTGAAAATGCCTCATCCATCACTACTGTCCTGGCAAAAATACAGCGGTTCTTGTACCTCAGGTATAGCGTTTGAAGTCTTCCCCCTGACGGCATCGCCCAGCGTCAGTCCCGATGGTAAGTTCCAGTCTAGTCTCTGCCTGACGCTGTGGCCGCGGTAGGCTGCCTGGATCCGAGTCGCTGCGTTCTCTTGGTCAGAGACGTCCAGGGCCAGCTGCGCCTGGGCTGACAGGGAGCCTGTACCTGTTTGACAGTATTACACCTCATAAATATGCATGAGCCAAAAGCAGTGTTTTCATTGGTCAATGTGCATGTTAAACCTCCCTCTCTGGCTGGCAATTTCAACAAGGCCGACAGGCTCCCTGTACCTGTTTGACAGTATTACACCTCATAAATATGCATGAGCCAACAGCAGTGTTTTCATTGGTCAATGTGCATGTTAACCCTCCCTCTCTGGCTGGCAATTTTAACAAGGCCAGCCCGGCAGTCAAAATCAATCAAGTGACTGTTCTGAACAGTTGAGTGCTCCCTGCCTTCGTAAAGCAGGATTGACTGGCTGTGATTGTTTTGAAACCTGATACAGCTATGCTTTGACTGTAGGAGATTGATAAGCCAGCTGTGCTTACCAGTCACCTGCTTTTGTCTGTGGAAGGCCTAAACCTTACTTCTCCATAGTTGTCTGCACACGTTCTGTGCAAAGTTTCCTTTCAGTCAAAATCAATCAAGTGACAGTTTTCAACAGTTAAGAGCTCTCAGCCTACATATAGGCTCTGACTGTTTATGTGACTTGATACAGCTATGTTTTGACTGTAGGTGATTGATAAGCCAGCTGTGTCTACCAGTTGTCTGCTTTTGTGTGTATTGACTGAATTTGACTACTCACAGTGCTTGCTTGCAATATGATCTGACTGTTGGTGACTAGCCTGTGTAAAAGGCACGGCAGGGGAAGAGGATTGATTTTTTGACTGTTTGTGACTGTTCAAACAGCAGGAGGACTAATGATTTGTATAAAATATCTATCAAAATTCATAAATGTATCTTACCAGGCAAGGAACCGGTGAACACTCGATGGTCCCTGTCGCTCCCAACCATGCGCTGATACCGGGTACCAACCTCGGGACTGTCGTTCACCCACGCTGGCGATTCAACGGCGCTCCCAATGAAATGCACACTGCGGCTCGGGGTGGCCATTCTCGTGCCGGAGGGGTAAGCCCACCTGTCAGCGTCCCCTGGGGAAGGAACAGCCTGGGGCTGGTAGTCTCCGGTTAGTTTCTTGACTTCATTGTCTATTTTGCCCTGTAACGCGGCAGCTGTTGCCTTGAGGGCCTGGATCCTGTCTGCTTTGCTGCGAGTGGCCGTTGAGATTCCGGAGGGGGCTGACGAAGTTGGAAGGGGTGCTTTGCTCAAAAGCCCTTTTAAGAATAAACAGTATAATTAGTGATGTCAAATTGAGTAACATAATATTTAATATCCAACACTTCAACTTTTTGAAAATCCAACACCTAGTTTTGCATCAATTTACAGAGAGTGCTCTGAGTCCAATTTATTTGCAAAGATGTGCCAGTTTTAAGTACAAAGTTATGCACAAAGTCATATTGCGGCGTACTTTGGAAAGACCCCCCCCCCCCACACCAAAACAATTCCCTTCAGACTTTTGGTCACTGCATTGCTATATCAGATGCCAGACAATGTTCAAATTCAAGCATAAAAAACAAACGGTCTCTGTATGATGACAGGTTTGCAAGACAGCAACAGAGCTCGGAGGTTCAAAACTTTGAAAGAAATGATCATGGATGTCAATGGAACCCACCTAGTCCAACGATGGATGGCTGCATGACCTGTGCTCTTTGAACTGGGTCATCTCCCACCGGCCCTTGACCTCGGTCAGACACGCCCCCAGCCATCTGCGTGATAACAACGCCAATGGGGGAAGTCGGTCGCGGCGGCTGCTCGCCCGTTGTGTTGTTATCGTCGGGCATCCTGCCGTGCGGTTCGGCATGGGCGGGCAGGGCTTGGTCCGAGGGGCTGTGGGGCGGGTCCGAGGGCAGGCTGGACTGGGTGCTACTGTCGCTGCTGGAGGTGCTCCAGATGTTTTTGTTCTCCTTGTCCGAGCTGGTTACGTCCATCTTCACGAGAAAACAAAGAACGAGGATGTCAAGAAAACTAAACCAGTTGTTAGAACAATGTTATACAAATTGTATGTTACAAGGAGTTCTGAACAGAACTTGTGAGAAATTCAGAAGGTTGACAAAAGATTTTATTACACGATACCTTCTTGCCATCTTGACGAAAGGGATGGTGCCTTGGAAGCTGATCCAAGCCGTTGAGTTGACCACCGTTGACCTCTTCCGTTGGTCCTTTGGAGAAGGTTTCTCCGAGTTGGCTGTTTGTCACGACGTTGCGAGCCCTCTGGCTCAAGCGGACGCTATCCTTCTGCTTCTTGCTTAGCTCCTGGAGTTGCTCTTGCTTCCGTTCCTGGGCTAGCTTCCGTTCTTTCTTCTCCTCCAGGAGCTTGCGGCGACGCTCTGCCTTCTGCTTGGCCATGTACTTGCGGACATTGTCCGTGTCGTAGTGACGGACCCGCTCTGTCGGGAATGTTGGGTCTTGGTTTTGCTTAGCTGACTTGGTTGACTTCTTCTTGGCAGCCTTTGGAGCTGTCTTGGATTCCTTTTGCTTGGGTGGTGGTTTTTCATCCTCGCTGTAAGGGTCTAGATGGAGGTCCTCCAGGACATTCTTGGCTTCCGAGGGAAGCTTGTCCAGATCAGGTGCAGGACTAGCTTCCCGCTTGTCTTCAATGATCTCCTCAGTTTCAAGAGGATGTTCGGACAACTCGGCATCTGAGATGTCATCTTTAGTTCTCTCTTCCATAGGGACTGGTTGGTCCTGGGTTTTAGTTGATGGTGGGTCTTCCGTGTCATGGGTTGGGGGCGAATGGGGAGCTGGACTCTTTGTTTTGGGCTTCTCTGGAGGAGGTCCTAGGATCTTTAAGACGGTCTTCTGACCCTCTCTCCACGCAGTTGTGGAGATGATATCCTTGCTGCGGTCAGGCCGCTTAGGTCTCTTGTCCGGGACCTTGGGGGCTTTGTGAACCTTTCGAACAGTTCGGCCTGACCTGGACAACTGCTCCGGTTTATTCTGCTGCTGAAGGGCTTTGCTTGGCTTCAAGGCGCGGTCTTCCAGAACCACCGCTTTCCCCGTCCCACGGTCGGTTGACTTTTCTCGTGTCTTCCGACTGGTTTTCCGTGTGAGGTGGTCTTCCGTGACCACCTTCCCGTCTGGCATCTGGAAGCAGGTCTCCACTTCGCTGAAACCCTTGTACGCTGGCGCGGCTGGAGCTGTAGCAACTTTACGGACTGTGGACTTCCCCGTGGAAGGTGGGAAGCCAGCCAGGAGGGAATCCTTTTCTCCGTCCAGGTCATGAAGGACGACGGGGTCGCTCTCCCGATGCCACGTCCTGTCGGAAACCGCCGGCTTGTTGCTGGCTACAGCTGCTTTCTGTTGTTCTACCTTCTCCCGGAGTCTCTCCATGTGATCTGAGGCGCTTCCCCCCGACGCCAGCTTCCTGCTCTCCCGCAATCTCTGCCTAACAGCATCTCGTTCCCTCGCATCCGATTCTGCCTCCTTGATGAAAGTCTCCTGTCCTTCGGATGACCGCTCCCCTGGGCAGGCTCCGTACAGCCGCTCGTAGGCGGGGACGTACTCTTCCCGGTACCCATAGTTCCTCTGCGACTGGTTCCTGTCACGCTCCAGATGCTGCCTCGAGGGCAAATCATTCAGGACTCGCACCGCCGTGCTGTTGTCGATGGACATGTTAGCTGATCCCCGACTCAGAATCTCCTGGCTGGATGGAGACAAAGCGTTCATTTTCGGCGCAGTCCGTTGATCGTAACTCTCCACGTGAGAGGAGCCACTGACCCAATCTCTATCAGTCGTCCGAACTCCGTAGTTGTCCCTCTGGGAACGTGTTCGATCGCCTTCAAAGTTTGAAGACTTGAGAGTCTTGGAGAGGGATTTCAGCTGGTCCTCCAGCCTGTGAATCTGGGCGTTGTCGATACTCCTGGACGGGCTCAGTGAGTCTAGATTCCCGACTCCCGCGAACCGTTCTCTCTTGTTTCTCGGTGGGGAGTGGAGACGGGACGAACCTTGGTCAGCGTCAAGGTTATCTGAGGTGCAAAGAGATGACATAGTTCAAATTTACAAATGAATTCGTCTTGACAAAACAACATCCACCAAAGTCTGTTCCGGTTTTTCCCCAAGTTTGTATCAATCAGTGTTGGCTTTTGGCAGATTTAGGTAACTTCCTAGTAAAATTGTTTAAGATGTATCTCATGCTATTTTCCAGTTTCATCCTGAAAAATAGATTCCTTTTGTAAATTGCTTAAAGAGGTTGTGGAATGCTCGAAGACATTTCCGTCATTTTTCGGGTATATGTAGCCTAAGGTGTGATGAAATAAAAACGACTATTGTTTCTGTCATAAAATGAGTACAAAAGGTACTTTTGAGAGCTGTTTTTCAAGTCCTGTCATGTCTGTTTCGACCCGAACGTGCAATTTGTGTAAACGTCATCGTTGCGGGCAGCAAACAAAAAACAGTAAATCGTGACGTGATAAACAGGACTCCCGATGCAGAGTAGCATAAACGAGTCCTGTTTATTACGTCACGATTTACTGTGTTTTGTTTGCTGCCCGCAACGACGACTTTTACACAAATTGCACCTTCGGGTCGAAACAGGACCTGAAAAATAGCTCTCAAAAGTACCCTTTGTACTCATTTCATGACAGAAACAATAGTCGTTTTTATTTCATCAAACCTTAGGCTACATATACCCAAACAATGACGGAAAAGTCTTCGAGCATTCCACAACCTCTTTAATTTCTAGCAATACAATAGTTATTCACTTTTGAATGAGACATCGACCCAAAACAAAATCGGCTGATGTTAAGTTACTGAATTATTACTTTACAATTTCAAATTATTGGCTGCCAGACGATAATTCCGTTCTCTCGTGGGGAATTAAATGTACGGACCAGGAGTCAGTCTGCTCGAAAAAAGTGGATCTGTTTGTGCTCAAAACAAAAGCCTGTTTTTCAGAGGTTGCAGACATCCACAAAATGGGGAGGTTGGTTTTTTGGAATAGAACAAAAATATTTCAAGAGAAAAAAAATGAAAATTGTTCATGAACAGGGGAACGCAGCTTTAACTGCAGTAATTAAAAAGTGCCAGAAATGATTAAATTTAGGCAGTGGGATTTCTGACAAAAATTGGGATAGGTCAATAAGAACTGAATGTTTTCTAGAGATTAAACAAAATCAGAAATTGATGATGAAACTCACCAACTATTGTAACTCTCTTCCTGGTCGTATCTCTGCTGTGGTTGAAACGGCTGAATTGATTTGAGGACTATAGAAAACAAAAAAGTTAGAGAACAATTATTTCTAGTTTCTGACAGTTCCCAAATTGGAACAGGCCTTTCTACAGAAAGACTACATGCGCAGAAGCAACTGTCATGACTCTTCCAAGTTGGGCAAACCCGGCCTTTTCGGGCTGATTCCAAGTTGGGCAAGGTGGCATTTCATTGGAGTGTTTAAGTATCAGTTGTTGGGGTGCTTCTTCAAAAATACTTGAGCTGTTCCATTTGGTTTATTCCGGTAAAAATTTAGTTTTAAAAGGAATGTACAACATTTAGTTTTGCTGTAATTTTCAGAAATAAATGAGATTGGGAGGATTAGTATGTTATAGCAAATATTGTTGAAATGACTTGTTTCATGTTTAGCGCTCGTAGATGCTGGAAAAACCAACATGTTTTTGGTGTCTGGTTCCCTGACCCCACTTAAGATGAAACAGAGCAATTTATAGACTTTTCTGAATTGTAAGGTCAGAGAATCAGTCCAGTTGGCTTGTACCCCTTCACATGTGTGTCATCAATTGCAAAGACAATGCGGAATATTACTAAATATGAAAAATTAGGAGCACTGGAAAAAACAAAACATTTTTCTCCAATGCTGGTCAGCCGACCAGCGTTGGGAAAATACAATTTTTCTAGAAAATGTCAGCACACCAGGTGCCATGATGTTACAGGATGCTTTAGACTGTCATTCCCTAACAATCCAGTAAGGTATTTTGTGATAATTTGATCATTTCGTTTTTTGATGATTGCAAATGTTATATCTTTCCTTGGCTCTCATAACAAAATTAGAAAATCATCTCATCACCATGATCACAGTCAGTACTTTTATCAACTTGTGTGTTGTTTTTTTATTTTCCTTTCAGAGCAAAATGTTTGAAAAAAACTCACCTGGCTAAGATGCCTGCTCCCTATCTCCATTGAGGGGACTCTATCGACTGGTACCCGGACTCTTGACAGATCCTCCATGCCAGCCAGGTGATGTTTGTAGCCGGGGCTCAGTATGCCTCGGGGCTCCTGACTACTAGAGCTGTAGGCGTTGTTGCTGTAAGACTCCGCCTTTTGTAGCCTGGCTTCTGTCCTACGAAGCTGGACAAAAAAAAATTAACATTTAGATGATCCATCCTATTTAACTCAAGAAATCCAACAGTCTGACTCAGTGACAACATTTCGGAAACATTTGAACACAGAACTATTCAGACTATTCAAAGTCTCCGGTTTCTGGTATGGAGCTTGCCACAAAAGTGGTGCGGCGACGCGGCTTTTTTCTTTTTCTTTTTTTTAAACCTTTTTTCTTCTTCAAATGTCGGCTGATATTTGCGTTGTATGTAAAGCTGTGCAAAAGAGCCCACTTTGAGGGTTTGGTTTTTGTGAGACACGCTACTTTGCAAATGTGTATTTATTTCAATGAAACAATTTTCACTTACTGCACTCTTTGCTTCAGCATGATTGTCCCAGGCAGTTGTCAAATCTGAAAAGTGAAACCGAAAAATGATGGCCATTCTAAACAAAAAAATTAAAATATATATATCTGAATGTTTATATCGCTAAGTTTCTAATGTGATTGTACTAGAACCACACCTTTTATTTTTACATTTTTGCTTTCGAGATATGTACTTGTTGAAGAATCAATTACAAATTCTTCTCTTTTTGGGTCAAATTGGGTAGCACTGAGCGCAAAATGCCAGACACTGCAGCTATAAAACTTTACGACTTCAAAAATAATACAGCGGCACCTTGCAATATAGAGGTACATGTAATTCAAAGTATGTGTGTACAAGTAATTCAGAGAGGCTGCTGAAATGTACTGGTAGGCAATATAAACAGTCAATTTAGGTACATGTAACTGACGGTACATGTAACTGAATTGCGTATTCTATCATTTCCATGTGTGTATATCACATATTATACAACACCTGAATAAATCCCCGTCATCTGATTGGTGGATCGTTGATCACGTCTTGAATTATTCGTACCAACCGCGTGGCGCGCAACGCGCAGTGCAATGGTAGTACTATTGCACTGTGATTAGAAGTACCATTGCACTGTCACTGCACATGTTGCCGAAGGTGGCGCTGTGGTGTTTAAATTGGCAATAAAAGTTCTGGACTTATTGAACTGTTTGAGTTCTAAACTTATGGAAAAGTTTTAAGGCATGTAAGGTGAGATAAATTGAATATTATAGGTCTCAACCTGTTGAACAGTTTGCATAATATGATAACTCTGAACTTGTCAAACTTGTAAACAATTTTTAACCTGAATAAATTGGCTATTAAAAGTCAACCAATCAGATGACGAGGATTTATTCAGGTGTTATACACAAATAATGAATGTTTTACGTTCGTGCAATAGAAAGAATAATTTTATTCAGTGACAGATGTCACCTCATGAAATTATTCTTTCCATTGCACTCACAAACATTCATTATTACTGTTATAAAGCAAGAAATTTGAAGGAAAGAAAGGTGGGGAAAAAAATTTAATTTTTTTTTTTAAAATGACATAATAAAAAAGACCCCCTCCCCTAAAAAAAGGACACCCCCTAAAAAAATAATCTTCTTTGAACAATGGAAGATTTTGCAGGATTGAGGCTAGCTCGTAAAATGTGTGACTGATTTCGAAGGATGCGCTGTGTCAAGGTCTTGGGCCGGACCTTGTGTTGTTCATGCTCAGCCGTGCACAAATTCAGGCCTATTTTGTACTTCAAATCCTCCGCACCGCTCCAGGATGTCACTGGCTCTGCCTCAACATATTGACAATGATTGCTGGAGGATTCTGCAGGATTGAGGCAGTTTTCACCCCTCCAAGGATCACATTCAAGAAAGAACAGATGATTTGGTAGGATTGAAGCTGTATGCTACTTTAACATGGAGGCAGTTAGAGGATTTTGCAAGCTTGAGATCACACCCACCAACAATGCCTCTATAGGGTTAATCAAACGACTGAATGAACATTGTATCTGGCCTTTTCACAAACTTGTGCTACAGTAACCATGGTTACATTACTCCTCAATAATGTGATGATAAATCCCCTTGTTCCGTACTCACCGTCGTAGCTAGGGAACGGCGCCGGCCCCCGCTGAACCGGCGTAGGGTCTGCTACACGACGTACTCTGATGCCACCTGACATGGTGTGGGCATAACGGTAGTATCACTCGACAGCTGGATTTGCACAATTTAACTGCACCTGTTAATTGCCAGAGAAAGAATAAAAACGAAACAAAATCATTTCTAGGCCCCTGGATGTCCCTTTTCTCCGAACTTACATGTAACCATGTGACCTAGTACCAGTGATGGTCTTGGAACAATTTCAAGGGAAAGCAAAACGAAAACACTAAGCACTACTGCTTAGCAGTATACTGCACATGTACCGGTACACATGTACACAAGTACAACATGTACACATGTACAACATGTACACATGTACAACATGTACACATGTACAACATGTACACATGTACAACATGTACACATGTACAACATGTACACATGTACACATGTACAACATGTACACAGGTACGCATGTACATGTACATGTACATGTGCACATGTTTACATGTAAACGTACACATGTTTTACATGTATACATGTACACATGTTTTACATAGGCATACATGTACATGTACAGGTACATGTACATGTAGGCAAAAATGTATAAATGTGCAAACACGTATATGCCGTCACCGCGTTATGGTGAAGTTTTTCAGGTAATTAGGATAGAGTTGTGGGGACTTTCCGCTGTCCCCATAGCGTCTTCGGTCCCCATAGTACCAGGGGTGTAGTCCACAGTTACCGGTACTAAACAAGAATGCACATACATGTACATGTACATGTTTCCATGGGATGAGGTTTAACATGTACATGTACACATGTACATGTTCTTGTACATGCACGTATGTACATGTACGTATTAGTGTCCATTTTAAACTGTGAATAAAAGTAAAACCAAAGCAAACGGGGGAAAGCAAAACAAGTTTCAAAGAAAAATCCATTTTCACTTTCAGGATTTCCTTTTTAACTTCATGTGAATTCCTATCACAAAAGTAAACATTGTTTACTTTTGTAGTCAGAATTCATGTGAAGTTAAAAACAGAAATCCCGAAAGTGGAAATGTGTTTTTCTTTGAAAGTTGTTTATGTAAACAGTCAAACCGTACAAAGTTTTAAGTACCATGTGAAATAAAATAACCTGAACATGATATCCAGATTTTCAAAAAGGAAGTACGTGTGCATTTACATGTATGTTCATCATAAAGGATAGCATTTGAGCTTGGCAGGGCTTTCAAAAACAAAACGTTGTTTGTTGTAAGGCTGTAAATCAGGAAGCAAAACGGTGCCATAACTTTTTTGGTTGAGCGTGAAATTCTATACACAATACATACTTCATTTCCTTCAAATCAAAAATATCAACAAATGAGGAAGTCATTTTGTTTAACAAGGGCAAGCCACGGAAACAAAGTTTTATTTGTTGGTGGCCGAGTTGTCGAATTGGGGAAATGATGTCGCACCAGTATGACATGTTACCGGATGGTGTTGCTTTTCCGGAATAAGTCAACGAAACAATTGAGGAAAGGTACAGATCCGTAAGAAAACCTTCTGGAAGATTGTGTCACTGGAAGCCGTTCCAATGTGTGTACTTCAGCCCTCTGGTCTACGTGACACATTTGTGTATTGTATTAGTCATGGAAGTTTGGTCGGCGCCGAGTTTTGTTTTGAGGACAACTTTTCCCACGTTCTTGAACTGCACTCGTACAAGTGCGTACAGCGGGGGAAAAAAATCTTTCCAAAACACAATGGCTGACCATAACTTGTACCACATGTATTAGTCACTGGAATACGGATTCAGTGACTAGCGTTTACATAGAGTTTTTTCGTTTACTTACAGAACAGGACGGATATACATGTATTCCATTTCAGATTTTTGCTTTTTGAAGAAAACAATCAAAGCTACCAACTAAAAAAACGAGAACTTGAAGGGGAAAAAAAATCACTGCCAGTTGTCACGGAAACGCATGTTAACCTTTTCGCGCTGGGATTGTTTTGACATGACCGGACCTAGGGGAGGGACTGTTTTTCACGGACCTGGATGCAAGACGGGTTCAGGCCGTCATCTGCAGGTAGCACACCCTGATATTTCCAGCCTCGCTTGTTGCGAGCGGGTCGCAGACAGATATTTCCGGTCTCGTTCGTTGCGTGTCTATCCGTCATCCGTTCCGAATACCGCAAAACCTTTGCGCGTGCACACCTCATCTGACGTGAACTGATACATATGTCATGTATACTGTACATGTATAAATAATTTTGGGAAGTAGGACTCAAAATGTATTCTTTTCAAGAAAAAGAAGGGATTGAATTGAACAGACATGACAGATTTGTTCAATATGTTTATGCTGATTCTAACCAGCGTACATAACACATTTTTGACTGCCTCCTCCTCCCAAAAAAATCAAGAGGACACTAAATATACAAATAATGACACTTGCTACTCAAATGGTATACAGGGTGAGTCAAAAAAAGCGGAACCCAAACCCCAAACAATATATTTCACATTTAACAAAATATGTAGCACCAAAAATAATAATGACTGGAAAGCCAATTTCAAAAGCTACTCTTAGATATGAAAAAATTACTGAAATTGCTCAATCCGTTCAAAGAATATCACCATTTAAACGCAATGACCCTAAAACCTGTCTCGTCCAAAAAATCAATTTATTGTGTGTTTTGACTGTTTGGAGCAACAAAGAAAATGACACAGAATACTTGTTTCAACAACTGTCACCAACTGTAGTACACAATATTTTGATTAACAACCCTGGTTAGGCAAACAATATGATTTATAAAATCGACTTTTTGAAAAGACGGGCCTTCAAAAGGACTTTGTTGCATATTGTTAACGTTTAAACTAAGATTTCATCGCTGGTGATGTTTGAAGACAATTGTGACGACGATTGTTGAAATCGCATTTTTGGACGAGACAGGTTTTAGGGTCATTGTGTTTAAATGGTGATATTCTTTGAACGAATTGACCAATTTCAGTAATTCTTTCATCTAAAAGTAGCTTATGAAATTGGCTTTCCAGTCATTATTGTTTTTGGTGCTACATCTTTTTTAAAATATGAAATATACTACTTGGGGTTTGGGTTCCGCTTTTTTTGACTCACCCTGTATTAAGCCAAAGTTGAACTGCCTCACATCACCCCACTTGTTAATCCTTACACCGCCCTACCACGCCAAGGTATCGTTCAACAAGGAGTAAAAACAGAAAGTACAACATAATAAAAGTGCTTCATTTGCCCCAATTGTTAAAGGTGCATGTACATGTAGTAATGTTATGGTTAACGAACTCAGCTTCTTGTCTGCAAAACAAGCCTGGCCCTTTAATAATTAATTCCCCAAGTGCCTGATTCAATTTCCCCTTCGACCGGAGCACGCGAGCTCTCGCGGTATTGAACGCAACCCTGCCCCAACTGTCAAACTCCGCAACTTGGGACAAGGTTAACACGTTCCGCCGCCTGCCACAAACCGTGAGTCACATGGCAAACCTTGGCCTCTCTTTCTCCCCCACCCCCCCCCCCCCCCTTTCTGGGCCGGTAACCACAGTTTTACATCAACGCCTGTCATCTCGTTTGCAGGTGGCCGCAAAACGTTCTGCTTTCTTACGGGCTGAACAACCCGCAAGCTCATTGATTCCTTGAATAATGACATCGTTTTAAGCACCTATGGGCTTACCGGATGAAACCTATTACATCAGTACGACATCTTATTTGCAGATTGCGTTAGTGGAAACTTAGGAGCTACAGAATTAATAACATGGAAAGCTTGTTGCAACTGGGGTTTAATCCATCATAATCCATCCAGGGGTTTTGCGGGATATTGTAAGATTGAGGAGAATATCTATCGGTGGCTGAAAATAGTCCTTTTTATTAGGGGTTTCCCCTCATTCACAGTGAAAGTTACAATTTTTCTTACTACATTGTACCTTGTCTGCAACTTGGGAATTTTGTTTGTTGTTTAAAATACAGGGTGAGTCAACAAAAGTGGAACCCAAACCCCAAAAATTATATTTCATATTTTTAAAAAAATATGTAGCACCAAAAATAATGATGACTGGAAAGCCAATTTCAATAGCTACTTTTAGATGAAAAAATTACTGAAATTGATCAATCTGTTCAAACAATATCACCATTTAAACACAATGACCCTAAAACCTGTCTCGTCCAAAAAATGCGATTTCAAGGATCATCGTCGTCACATTGTCTTCAAACATCACCAGCGATAAAATCTCAGTTTAAACGTTAAAAATATTCAACAAAATCCTTTTGAACTTGAAGGCTCATCTTTTAAAGAAAGTAGATATTATAAATCATATTGTTTGCCTAATCAGGGTTTTTAAGAAAGATATTGTGTATACAGTTGGTGACAGTTGTTGGAACAAGTATTCTGTGTCATTTTCTTTGTTGTTCCAAACAGTCAAAACACACAATAAATTGCTTTTTTTTTGGACGAGACAGGTTTTAGGGTCATTGCATTTAAATGGTGATATTCTTTGAACGGATTGACCAATTTCAGTAATTTTTTCATCTAAAAGTAGCTTATGAAATTGGTTTTCCAGTCATTATTAATTTTGGTGCTACATATTTTATTAAATATGAAATATATTTTTGGGGGGTTTGGGTTCCGCTTTTTTTGACTCACCCTGTATGTTTTACAATAGGGGATTGGGAAGAAAATCCTTAGATGCAGTGCATACAATGAACATCGTGCTAGGATTTGGCATGTTGTTTAAGGAATTTGCTGGAGAGAAGCAAATTGTGACAAACTGTCTTGCCCATGGACACAACCCCCCACATTGGACCCGAAACCCACAAATCCACAGAATTATCCACAGATCTTCGCAGGGTATATATTTGTCTGGCCTGCTTAAAAAGTTGCCATATCCGTTCATGCCCCAAATACACAACTGCAATTGATGCCAGGGATCACGCAACCCTGGGAAAAAGTACAGTCATCGAGATATAAATAGACAGACCGAGACACCCTGGAGTAAAACCGCCGCAAATTAGCAGGCGTTTGTTTTTCGTACGGACAGTCACCCTAGTGATCCATTTTCAACTGTAAATTTGCAAGAGAAATGAATGATACTGAGCTGCAAAACTGCTTATTGAATACAGAGTGAGTAAAAAAAAAA